AGAGCAAAACTGGACTTTGTTTGGCAGTTCTCTACTTGCAGTGGCTGCTAAGGATTCAAACCCCTGTTGATTGATGGTTATATGATGTTGTATGCGGTCACCCAATGGGATTAATTATACTACCCAATATGCTGGGGATTACATATCTCATTGTTTTTGCATCACGACAGATTGATGCTGTTTGTCAATGTCATGAAAAATATTCAGCACTTTTGCAGCATGTTCAGGGTTTAACACTTGTTTCATCCCCAAACATTGGAAACCAGTCGGCCTATTTGGTCCCTCCCTTAACAAGGAAATAAGGCGGTGCCCCAGTTCGTCCGCCAAATTGCTTAAAGGAGATATCTCGAACTAGTTGTGGTGATTTAGTGGTGACTTAAATGACTGGATGATCAACCACAGACATCCACTGGATCAACCCAGTCATTTAAGTCACCACAGTTGATCCGTGTTGTGGTGATTTAGTGGTGACTTAAGATGACTTAACTATGAAACAATGGTGATCTCATATGATTTCATGGTGACTACCTGACTGAGAACTCTGAGGTTAAACTGGAGGGCAGCACAGATAGCAACCAGAAAAGTATGGCCCATATGTGGATCATTTAATCCTGTCTATCTGGATCAGCTAAGAGAAAAATTAGGATTTGTGATTGGACATGTTTTTTTTTAAAACAAATTACAGACATTTACAGATGCTGGTGTCCGGTTAGCTAACCTAGTTGTCGATATGAGGCTATCCGCCATTTTCTATCATGCCATGGAGCAAGGTATCAATGTGAGCTTCCAATTGCATGAAAAAAGCCACTTTTGTGTTTTCAAGATGTCTCAATTCTTGGAAAAAAATGGGAAATTCATTTTACCCTCTGGTAATTTAACATAGCTATTGAAAATCACCATTTATAGTGAATTTTCCCATGAAAAATGGTGATTTTCCATAGTTATGTTAAATTACCAGAGGGTACCATATTTTACCCACATCTCACTATGTTTCAATATCAATGACTATGAGATGCTTCGGGAACCCCCCACGGTCAGATCAGAGGTTGGAGGCCTGGTTGTAGGCCATGCACTGGCGGTGCGTGGCTCACGTCTCTGCCAGACCCAACACAACAACTTGGGTATTTCGCTCGCTTGGTTACATAGATTTCGTCAACTTACATAGATTGGTACATAAAATCTCTTAAATGTATAGTTGACCGTAATGTTTCGTATTAGTACTTAAAACCTCAAACTAGACGACGGATGGCCCGAGAGCGTAGAGGAGCAGAGTCTTCTTCTGCTGTTAGTATGGCGACACTATATTACAAGACAATATATTAAAGATGTATTACAGGCAGACAAGAAGAGTAGTATCAAGACAATATTATATGGCATCGTATCTTTTGCATCGTATCTTTCAAAAAGTTTTTCACGCACAGAACTTTTTACAGACAGACGCTTTTGCACACAGACGCTTTTACACACAGACGCTTTTACACACAGACGCTTTTACACACACACAAACACTTTTACACACAGACGTTTTTACACACAGACGCTTTTACACACAGAAGCTTTTACACACAGACGTTTTTACACACAGACGCTTTTACACACAGAGGCTTTTACACACAGACGCTTTTCCACACAGAGACTTTTACACACAGACGCTTTTCCACACAGAGACTTTTACACACAGACGCTTTTACACACAGAGGGTTTTACACACAGACGCTTTTACACACAGACCCTTTTACACACAAACACTTTTACACACAGAGACTTTTACACACAGACACTTTTACACACAGACGCTTTTACACACAGACGCTTTTACACACAGACGCTTTTACACACAGACGCTTTTACACACAAACACTTTTACACGCAAACACTTTTACACACAGAGACGTTTACACCCAGAAGCTTTTACACACAGACGCTTTTACACACAAACATTTTTGCACACAGAGACTTTTACACACAGACTTACACAGACGCTTTTACACACAGAGGGTTTTACACACAGAGACTTTTACACACAAACACTTTTACACGCAAACACTTTTACACACAGAAGCTTTTACACACAGACACTATTACACACAGACGCTTTTACACACAAAAGTTTACACACAAACAGTTTTACACACAAACACTTTTACACAGAGACGCTTTTACACACAGAAGCTTTTACACACAGACGCTATTACACACAGACGCTTTTACACACAGACGCTTTTACACACAGATGCTTTTACACACATCGCAATTTTACTTCAGTTTTTGGCGATCCAACCTCATTTCGTGCGAAAGGGACGTGCGAAAGGGTCGCGCGGGACAAGTTGAAATCGCAATTTTACCTCAGTTTTTGCCGATCGAACCTCATTTCGTGCGAAAGGGTTCACCGGAAACACGAAATCGCAATTTTACCTCAGTTTTTGACGATCGAACCTCATTTCGTGCGAAAGGGTTGCGTTTCGTGCCGTCTCGTTGGCACTGCCCCTGCTCCCGCCTTCAAGAGAGAAATAGAAAAGAAGGAGAGGGCAAGAGGGCAAGAGGGCAAGAGGAGAAGGTGTGAGATGAGATGTAAAGATGAGAAGATGTGAGAAAATGTGAGAAGATGTGAGAAGATGTGAGAAGATGTGAGAAGATGAGAAGATGTGAGAAGATGTGAGAAGATGTGAGAAGATGTGAGAAGATGAGAAGATGTGAGAAGATGTGAGAAGATGTGAGAAGATGTAGATGAGAAGATGTGAGAAGATGTAGATGAGAAGATGTGAGAAGATGTGAGAAGATGTGAGAAGATGTGAGAAGATGTGAGAAGATGTGAGAAGATGTGAGAAGATGTGAAGATGAGAAGATGAGGAGAAGATGGGAGGATGAGAAGATGTGAGGATGAGAAGATGTGAAGATGAGAAGATGTGAAGATGAGAAGATGTGAAGATGAGAAGATGTGAAGATGAGAGATGTGAAGATGAGAGATGTGAAGATGAGAGGATGTGAAGATGAGAAGATGTGAGGATGGGAAGATGAGAAGATGTGAAGATGAGAGGATGTGAAGATGAGAGGATGTGAAGATGAGAGGATGTGAAGATGAGAGGATGTGAAGATGAGAAGATGTGAAGATGAGAAGATGTGAAGATGAGAGGATGTGAAGATGAGAAGATGTTTTACAGACCCCCACTATTGGAAGAACCCTGCGCTCAGACGCTCTCGGGAAAAAACAACAAATGTGTGACTTTTTTCCGGGGATATGTCACCCTTTCAGAAGCAATCTAAGATGTGACCTGTGCTGCCCATAGTGCGAAACGATGGATCCCTTGATGAACATCCATTGATCAAGCTATCTTTGCCCGTGAAAACCCGGATTCCCAGATCGCCAGATCCAGGTAGCAGGCCCCCGGTCGATAGCTAAGTTGGATCACTCCAATTTCACTATGGTTTATGATACGCAAATAATATCTTATGACTAGTTGATAGATAATAGATGTTAATAGGGTTTATAAAGCAACAAATAAGACTGAAAAAGGCCCACATTGTAGATGTTTTTATCTGAGGTCCATGGTTTTTGAGCCACTTGCCCGGTCGCCCAAGAAAAATCTGGGGCGTGCCATTCACCAGCGGTAGATCTTCCGGAGCCCGCCGGCCGCCACGGCCTGCCGGGCTCTGCATGACCGGTTCGATATGACCCGGAACTTGGAAGTAGGACCAGCACAGTCCAGCAGGATTCACTGGTGCTGTGGTTGAAACATGTTGAAACTCAGATGATTTCAGGCTAAATTTAAATACCAAAGATTAAAAAACATATCAGGCTGAATATGGTTGTTTAGAACCATCCGAAATTGGAAATCAGTGGGCCAAATATATGTTCTCACAGGGAAAAACTACAAATCAATAGCTCTATGTTTGGATTGGTTTTCGGGGTAAAACCTTAAACTGGGATGATTCCAGGGTAAAGTGGTGCTTAGCATAGGGGAGCTCATCCAGTTGTAAAGCAGAGGAAACATCAACTCAGCCAGCAAGGAGCTTTGACCATGGCACGCGCGAGAATGTCGACCCTGGCATTGAGCCAGTCACCAACAAAAATCAGCCACCAACAAAAATCAGCGGCAGGAGCAATGGCTGGGTCGACAGACACGGGGATGGAAGGTGTTCCTTTGGACAGGACGCCAAAACCATCCGTGAATGCCAACTGGATTCCGAACTCTGCCACGACACTTCAAAAAAGGACGCAGCTTTTTCGAACGTAGCTGCTAGACCGGTGGGATGTGGACCTGGCTGATCTGGTTAGGTGGCTTCAACATATTTCAACCAGCCATGGTCTAAAATCATCTAAAATCAAGAGGAAAGTCTGAGAAAGTGATGGATTTTGCCAATTTTGCCAACCCATCAACCCTGTGGACATGGGTCAACCTATCTTGATGATCCGAAGTTTTCGGGAGTCCAAGTTTGACCAATCGATATCGCCGAAAAGGCTTTCGACAAGCCGATGCTTGTCGAGGTTTCCATGGTTCCTTTCCATTCCTTTCCAAGTTTTGGCGATGTTCCCATAGGATTTCCACATGTTTCCAATGTCTAATTGGAATTATCTCCCTGGTGTTCGACATTTTTGGGTAAGAAACACCAAGCTGTGACTGATTTTCGAGCTACCACCATCAAGCCAGATTCTTGGGACACAGTTGAAAACATGGGGATTGCTCCCAGAAAATTGTTTTGTAGGGCGAACATGATGAGGAACCACTGGATTTAGGGGTACTTTATTTTCAGACAATATGTTTATACAGGCAAAAAAAATATAATCTATGACATCCTGTGAAACAAAAACAGATTAGAAAAAACACAATTGCAGGGCAGGAGCTAGTATAGCTAATTGGGCCTTCTTGTAGGTGGTTTGTTAAGAGTTGTCCTTTCTTTTCGAAGAGTTCACTTAGCGGTGATGAATTGTGAAGAATGAATGGGTCTTAACATGTCTTACCTCAGAAACTGGATGTTCCTAGAGCATCCTAGAGCCATTTTGTAAGTTGAAGGAGCTACCAGTGGTACAGCTCAGCATCACCGTCACCTGTTGCACCGGCTCAGCCTGCAAGCTATCACCCGAAACAGCACCTGAGCATCGGGCATGACTTGAAGGTTTCGCGCGATGGGATGTCCATTTTAAGGTGTTAGTTTTAAAAGATGGTTACTTCACCAACAAAAATGGTGCTATAATTAATGCGGGTAACATGGGATATGATATGATATGATATGATGTTCATTTTTTAATGCGACCTCACGTTGCAACGTCACTGGAATGATGGATAGTAATTAATGGATAGTACGGTTAACTATCCCCCTTTCCAGTTGCGAGGAGAGACTCCGCCCGTGTGACCCTTTGTGCAACATGTCTTATTTCGGGTGGTAAGTTATCATCTATAATTCGTTCAGTAACGTGTTGTAACTATGATCACTATAATCATCTATAATCAAGATAATCAAGCCAGTTGCGAATGAAAAAGAAACAGGTACAACACTGGAGTGTGAATATTCGTCCTAGGTGGACATAGATAAAGCGAGGTAACCAGGAATTGTGGATGTATCGGATCTTATCAGACTGGTATCGTCAAACGTTGCGCGCATGTCGATTTACAAAAAACGAAATATATGGGGGAAAACATTCCCAACATTCTTGAGTTCTTGAATGTTTGTCCCACTCAGTCGTTGAAACATGCAACACGAACCTGAACCTTGAGGTGTGAGAGGATGGCTGGCTTTAGTGCCCAGAAAAATCCCTCAGATCGGAATTAATTTGAGCACATGCAACTATTTGTAACCCGATACTAGTTGCAAACAAGCACGATTTTGTTGAATGTCTATCAGATTATCACAAGAACGGAAAAAATAGGTCCGATGTTTGGTTTTGGATTTAGCACATGAGTCGTATTTCGTATCCCCAGAATGGAGCGCTTCTAGCTGGTGGCCATTGAAAATCCCACCATTTGCAGATGATTTTCTTATAGCCATGGGGGTGAACTTGTTGTGTAGCCACCCATAACATTGAGTGTTTTGAAGATGTTCAATCCATGATAATTATTCCTACAGGGTACTAACCCCATAAGACTATTTGTATAATATTACAATATTCTAAGATATATATATATATATGCCACCTTAAATCCAACGCTCATCCTACTTACCCACTTAATCACTTACCTACTTAATCACTTACCTATTGCGCCAGGCTGCCCCAACCCTCATGTGTCAGGCTGGCGCTTTCGACAATGGACCAAGAAGCTCCAGCAGGATTGGGAGATGCAGGTAGGAAGGGCACCCCTCAGTGATGTTTCTTGGTTACCTCATTTGGATGAAATAATGGGATATAACAAAGAACTGGGATAATGTTATGAAATCACCTAAAAAACTGTAAATCCATAGCATTTAATGTTATAACTGTGAAAACTCTATGAATCCCAAAATATCACAAAAAGGGTGGTTCCTGATTTAATGGATTTAGTAAATATATGTCAATTTTCATGCTTTTATTAATATGGTATTCCATGGAAGATGTTTCCCCAACGTCACGTCATACCAGTTAGGTTTGTTGCTTTCTGTCACCCCTTTTTTGAGCAGTGTGAAATGTTTACACCGCTTGGTTGATAAATCCTTCTGAACGGGGAATCCCTTTCTCAGTCGCAACCAGTTTTTGTAGAAAGGGACGACACCACGGCTTTTGAACACAAATTTTTGTTGCTTGAGATAGTGTATTTTGTGCAGCGCAAACAACTTGAATGGGAATATCATGGGACATATAGCAAGCATCAATATTAGATTAATGATGATTTTAATGGGATGTAATCGAGATATACAATGCATGGGTCAATTATTTGTGTTTGTATGAACAAGAGGTATACCCAACAGTTATGGCCAGTTGAACAGGGAAAATGGTGATCAAATTTCAAACCAACTGCCTATAGTTTGTTTTGACCACCTTACCTATTACTGTAATAGAGGGTATAGATATGTGAACACCATCATTTCTACATTTCAGATATATGTGGATACATAAATTGATAAACCATAAATCCATTCCAAAAAAAATATGACTTGTGAGGTTATCAGTGAGCCACAAGCTGCAGCATCATTACGGGACCATGGATTTTGCAGGTGCCAGTGGAGGACCTGGCAGAGGCCCTCCACAGCTGTCCTTGGAGGCGCGAAGCGATTGCTCATGGCTTTTCACATGTTTTCGGTTTCACTTTTCCACATCCCTACAGCTCCAAACACCGAGACTGAGACTTTTTTTGGATGGAGTTGTTTAACTTGGGCTTTGTTTACACCTTCTCAGAAGGTATTTGGAGCACTAGGGCATGTATTCAAGCAACAGTTGTTGCTTCTGGGAGATTTTGATTGTTTTGGCTGACCATGGACATGTTTAATGAATTTGATAAAGAAAGAGCAAGAAATTACAACAGCTGTGGGAGGTTTCATCAAACAACGATATCCCTGAAAACGGCGAACTTCCAGTTTAAGAAAGCTAAGGATTTGCCTGGATGAAAGCAGTCAAGGGATGGAAAAGAATAGACGTGAACAGCTGCTACATTGCAATATTGCGCAGCTGAAGGGTGTAAACATGATAAACAATCTACTTCCTGGAAACTATTTATCATCACTATGGAACACGACCTTGTTTAATAGGTCGTAAATCATTGAACTACATGGGCCATAATATATATATATATACATACATATACATGTATGTATTTATATATATATATATACATATACATATACATATACAATGACATATACATACATACATCCATACATGCATACATACATACACACATACACACATACATACACACATACACACATACATACATACATACATACATACATACACATACATACATACACATACATACATACATACAAACATACATACATATACATTTACATACACATACATACACATACATACACATACATATACATACATACACATACATACACATACATACACATACATACATACATACATACACATACACATACATACACATACATACACATACATACATAGACATACATACATACATACATACATACATACATACATACACACATACACACATACATACACATACATACACATACACACATACGTACACCTACAACACACACATACACACACATACACACACATACACACACATACACATACACATACACATACATACACATACATACACACACATACACATACATACACATACATACACATACATACACACACATACACATACATACACATACATACACATACATACACATACATACACATACATACACATACATACACATACATACACATACATACACATACACATACATACACATACATACACATACATACACATACATACACATACATGCACATACATGCACATACATGCACATACATGCACATACATAGATACATAGATTCAACGATACATAGATACATAGATAGATAGATACATACATACATACATATATACATATATATATATATACTGGTTGGTGGTTTCGAACATTTTTTTATTTTCCCCATTAGTTGGGATGATGATCCAATCTGACTAATATTTTTCAGGGGGGTTGAAACCACCAATTAGTATATATAGTATACATATATGTAATATACATATATATATACACAAACATATATATATACACATATAAATATATATATATATATACATATATATATGTATATTTATACATATATATATATGTATATACCACAGCTATGTGAACTAGAAAGTAGGTCCAAATCAATTATGTCAAGTCAGAAACCAGCCAGGACAAAGCGTTCTTGGATGAGTTCACTCCTCAGCCAGATTTTTGTTCGACGGATTTCTGGTGGTTTTTTTTGTCGTTAGAATGGGCAGTATACCCCCTGGTAAACGTTTACATAACTATGGAAAATCACCATGTTTGAAAAATCGCATTGTAAATGGACAATAACTATGGATAGCTATGGAAAATCGCATTTTGAATAGGTAAATCAACTATAAATGAGCCATGTTCAATAACTTTGTTAAAATTCCGAAGGGTAACCATGACAAAGCAACACACAAATACTGCATGTTCATCCAGTTTTCTTCATATTCATCTTCAAGACTATCTTAAATTTCTGGGCTTCAACATTTCAATATATCTCTGGTTGGTGGCTTGGAACATTTTTAGTTGTCATATATTTGGAAAAATCATCCCAATTGACTCATATTTTTCAGAGGGATTGAAACCACCAACCAGATCTAAAACAATCTTAAACTCTGGCCAAACAATCATCTCAACTCCATGTGTTTCATGTTCCCTTAATTATCCGAAATATCACTGCTGATATGACCATTGTGAACTATAGTAATAGTATTATTTCGTAACTCAACCTCTGTTGGATGAAGATTTCAATATTGCAAAGTTCCTCCACACAACTATATAGTCATTATTATGGTTATGTTAACTAAAACTATTGCTAAGTAAACCTATATCAGAGATATCAAAGATATCATCGATGTCATCTATAATCATCATCTATAATCATCATTAGTATCTACAATAATCACAATATCTTTATAGGTATAGTCTATAGACATATTATCATAAACATATAATATAGACAATGGATATATATATATATATATACATACATTGTAAGTGATATATATATATACACATTGTTATCATTCTAGATAATATACTTTATCCTATCTCTCTATATATATATATATACATATAATGATATAATTCACATATAATGGATATATATATATATACATAATCCCTAGTGCTCCAAATACCATCTGAGAATGTGTAAATAGACCCCAAGTTAAACAACTCCTTGTATACAGTCTCAGTCTCGGTGTTTGGAGCTGTAGGGATAATTTCCCCATTAACAATTGGGATAACTATCAACCATCTAGTATTATATATATATATTGGACATATAATGGATCTAAGTTCCCCCCATCCTTAGTAGGCTTAATTGAACATTAGTCACCATATAGTTACCCTATAGTTACCATTAACTAACCATATCTAGCCATATCTACCCTCTGGTAATTTAACATAACTATTGAAAATGGCCCATAGAAATAGTTGATTTACCCATGAAACATGGGTGGATTTTCCAGTTCGTTATGTAAACGTTTACCAGATGGTAAATCCTATTATATCTCACTATATCCGCATTATAATTCCATTGTTCATATTGTTGTTGGTGAGTTTACCAGAAATTGTCTAACCATATAGTTGCCATATAGTCACCATATAGTTACCATATAACTAACCATTAACTAACCATATCTAGCCATATCTACCCTCTGGTAATTTGTTACATAGCTATTAAAAATGGCCCATAGAAATGGTTAATCCACTACCATAGCTATGTCAGTTTACCATTAACTAACCATAGAATTACCATATAGTTACCATATAGTCACCATATAGTTACCATATCATATAGTCATATAGTTACCATATAGTTATCATATAACTAACCATTAACTAACCATAGAGCATTCTTCGGCTCCAAGCAAGTGATCGAGGTTCGGGCGCCGCATCTCCACCACCGCCTTCGTGGCCATGGTCGTGGGCGCCAGCGGCTTCTACGGCCTGGCCAGGCGACGTCGTGACGTAACGGTCAACGGTGGGAAGTCAGGGGATTTCGCCCGTTTTTTCACCGGGGAAAATGGCGATGTCATGGGATTTATCCAAGAAATATGATGATTCTGATTGGTGGTTTGGAACCATGGAATTTTATGACTTTCCCATCATATTGGGAATAATAATCCCAACTGACTCATATTTTTCAGAGGGGTTGAAACCACCAAGGTGACTTGATGGGATTTTTCACCAAGGATTGTATTTTTGTATGTATTTAATGGGATTTAAGCAACACAAATTGTGATTTATAGAATGATATTTAATATTTGATGTGATTCAATGGTATTTAAAGGGGCAGAATGTGTGTTAAGAATGAACAAATCTAATCTTAGCTAACGCATTCTTATGGGAAAAATTATGAAAAACACATGTCAGAACATCGATCGTTCTGAGGGGTCATGTTTGAATGAATCCACCCAGAAAATGTTGGCACAAGATAGAGAAGCTGCCGCATCATGGGGGAGTAGGGAAACTGCAGCGTATAGTCTTTTGTCAATAGTAATTAGTTGCTTTTAGCACGCACTTGCTTAGGACAATTTCATCGGAGTGTTGTTTCAACACACTGGTCAATTTTTGCGTTACTTTGCATTGCAAAGGGCGTGTCTTTCAAAAAAAATCCACCGGCAGGGTTTCTTGTAGGGCATCATCAATGGGCATCCCAATCGGCCCATCGTTCTCACGAAAAGTTTGCGCTCTCAGTAGGCCAATCGTTCTCTTAAGAGGGTTCGTTCTTCTGATGAACTAGAATAATTTATTTTGCCAGACTGTTTTTGACGCAAAACAAATAAAGAAGGATCCGGGTGGGAATGGGTGTGATTGCTCCCAGGAAGGGAACAAAAACTAGTTCTGCATTCTTAGCAAGCAATCCTGCTTCTTGACGAACATCGTTCTCAGGAAAAAAAATGAACGGTTTTGACCAGAATTGTTCAGCTGAGTTGGGGCAGGGAACAGGAGTGCGTACTCAGCAGCACTGCGCGTTCTCACGAACACCGATCGTGTTCACGAACGCATCCATGGACTTGGGACTAGACTGATTTGGTTGCCTAAAACGGTTCTCCCGATCAATCATAATAAATTACTGTACTACATGTTTCCGTTTTTTCTTCAGAATTTGGTTCATATTCAGCAAAGGATTGCCTGAAATTTGGCTGCAGCAACTATGACCTCCATAGGTTGAGATTCCTTTGAAAACGATGTGCATTTTGCACATTGCCTATATGAAGGATGATTCGTGAAACAAATTTGGCATTATGTGTTCATTCAAAAATATCCAAAGTTGAAACAGCCCTTCGGAATGGGCAGGGTCTGAATAGAAAAATAACTGGCTGATTGAAATTTGAACAGCCAACCTATTGGTTTTGACCAATAAAATGGTTCGTGTATATATATGAAGGTATAGATGCTGGTTGGTTGGTGATGAAATAGGGAGTATATTGGCCCTGGTTTTGGCTGGAAATAATATCAGCCAACTCATCTTTAAAAAAAAACAGGCGCCATTTTCTACACATATGGGTTGGTCTGATATAGCACATCCAAATCCCATGGTTTATATATATATAAATAAATATCATCATGTTTCCCATTGCATGGCCACGATCGGGGGCGGTATACCATTGAATATCACATTTTCAGACAAACCCCTATGAGATGATTTACCATTATATCCCTATAGAAATATGCCCTTAAATCCCATAAGAACACCATGACTTGTTGGTTAACCAAAAACCAGGTGAATGTTTTCTGGTTCAGACATGATTTTGTGTACCCTGCTCTCATCTCCCATAGACATGCCGTGATATCACCACGATACCCCATTATATTTACATACCCCACTATATCCTCCTAACACGGTTGGGTAAATAATCGGTAATCAACACATAACAATTCAAAAAACAATCACATAGATAATCACATCAATATTGACATAGTAATTCAATTCCTTTCAACCTAGGAATAATCAAATCACATAGAGAATCAATATAGAAATAACAACCATAATGATCAAATCATAGTATAAGAGATACGTTGTACTATCCATATCGGATAGATAACCAATAAAGTCCATTTAGAAAACAATCATCATTGTTATTGTTATATATCATCAAATCACAATATTGAATCAACATAGACATAATACTCAAATCCTATCAATTGCATTTGGTGGAACATCTATAAATGGATTATTTAGGGGTACCCCTATTTGGGAAACCTCCATTTAATCAATATGAATTTCAGGATCCTAAAATGGAGGTACTGTACCATATAAGGCCATATGTTGCTGGGATCTTCCCTAAAAATCAGGCCTAAAAAATGGTAGCTACCTCCAATCAATCGGTTCCTGAGTCATGGCCATTGATTTTTTCAAGAATCAAAGTACCCTGGTAATTTAACATAGCTATTGAAAATGACCATTAATAGTGGATTTTCCCATTAAAAATGGTGATTCTCCATTGCTATGTTAGTTTACCAGAGGGTAACATCATCACTCGTCAAGTCATGTCATGTCGTGGCAGGCAGTTGGCCTTCAAACGCCGCGGCCTCTGGACCTTCTTTGGTGCAACGGCCTGTCCCCTGGTGGCATGGTATGCGGTGATCAACCAGGATGGGGCTGGGGAAAAGGTGGGGAAAAGGTGGGGAAAGGTGGGATTTCAACTGATTCTAGCATCCGAAAATTGAGATTTCATGGGATTGAACCATGACACATCTTTTTTCCAGCCATCAAACATGGGATTTAGATCTAACCATGAACAAATTGCATTCAACCATCAACCATTGAATTTAAACTCATCAAATTTCGCATCAAATGACAGTTTTTTTTGATAGCAAAAATGATGTTAAACTATACGTAGTCCAACTCCCAAATTGATTAAAAACAACATTTGTTTGTAGGATTTTACTTTTCACTTTTTGTTCGGGGTTGCCAAACATGGGATTTCGGGCATGTTTTTGTTTGGCACCCAAAAAAGCCACAGAGTTTGATCGTGAGGCCTGCGGTTACAAGTTGGTTTATCAGCGCCATTAGCTATTAGTTGTTGGTGCAAATAACTCCAATAACTGGGGTTTCTGGGATATAGCTGATATAAGAGGTATAACTATATTATACAAGGTGGTGCCCCCCAAGTTATAAGTTGGTTTATAATCCCATTAACTATAGATATATCTACCATAAGTTCAAGTTATTAGAGTTATAAACCAACTTAGCTATCTTGGGGGCACCACCTTGTATGTTATAGTATCGTTTTGTGTGTTATACAGGGTAGTAGACCTTACTCGTCTCATTTTACGAGAAGTCGTCTCGCAACCGTCGTGCCTATGGGAAGTGCTGTTAGACACCTCATCCCAGATTAGTCATATGTCTCGTTTTCTTCCCCCACATCCTGACACAAACACTTTGAGGCTTCCATTTCCTGCAGATTTAGCGTGTACGTTTAGATGTTTCAGTCGGAACTTACAATGCAAAGTAATATAAGGTCTCTAGGCTAGTGTATGTAACCCCTTCTGAATAAGCACAGAAAATAACCCAATAACTTCAAAGGATTTGATTGTCTAACCTGTTGTGCCAATGGCCGGTTGATCAGTAAATGCTGATTTTGAGAACGTATATTTGAAACAATGCAAAGGCACGACGAGATTCTAGACCGATATCACAAAGTTTGATTAAACTTTTGGGCATGTTGTGCCATGGTGATTTGCCAATGGTGGGGTGACTTCTGGATTTCGTGGGGTGACTTTATTTTTCGCGTTGTGCCTTGCAGTGGGGTGACTTCATGTCAAAAGGGGTGCGAAAGGTCCAGCACTCGTAGGTATATCAATTCTATTCTCCATAACCTTTAGTCCTAGAGTTATTGGAGTTATTTGCACCAACTTAGCTATTTAGGGGTTTCTACCTTGTATTTGTTGGGAGTGATCAATCTTGACCATCCCCATATTTGACCTTTTGTGATTAATTCGCCATCTGCAAACTGTTTCAAGGATTTTTTTTTTCATGGGAGTCTCCCATTCCACCGAACGGAGTGTGACAGGAACCCTTACTTTATCCTACTGAAAACGTATTTTACTCATGTGTGGAACTCTTGCCCGTTCTGTTTTAATATCAATTACTGGTTGGTGGTTTGAAACATTTTTTATTTTCCCCAATAGTTGGGATGATGATCCAATCTGACTCATATTTTTCAGAGGGGTGGCTCAACCACCAATTAGATTACACCTGCTTTTTGGTAAGATATTGTTTCGCCCGGGATGGCCCTGTCAGGAGAGGGAGCGAGTGATGGATCTTGCGAAGAAGCTGCAGGTGGGGAGTAAAACGGCGGACAAACCAAGGGGCTTCGGGGCAGCCCAGAAACATATGGCTAATATGTTTTGTTAATATCCATATTGAGCGTCTTGGAGCTTATGAAACACTGATTTTGAAGTCCTCAAACTCCATCCTGTAGAGTTTATTTCTAATATAATTAGCTTGGTCATGCTTAAAGTTTTCTTTGTCTTACTTCGTAGCATGTTTTTTTTTTAAAGGTTTCATTGATGTATAGACTGTATAGATAATATATTATATTTATATAAATATGTATATATATATATATACATATACATATACATAATGAGGCCACCAAGCACTCACTCAAAAGTCCGTTTTTTGGGGGTCAACGCCGTGCTTGGAACATCCCGGAACCGACTTATTATGACCTCCATGACCTCGGTCCGGTGGGGTGGTTTTTGTCTTCAAAACTACCCGCGGTCGTCCCAATCTCCCAACTGATCTCCAGATATCTCCAGATACTGAAGGTAGAAATATTTCTCTTGCAGAACTTTGGAATGGTAATTTGAAAGTGCAGAAAAAAAAAACTTCCCCATTCAGTGCCGTGCCGAGTTTTTTTCAAAGGACATTCTTGTGGTGAAATTTGCTGGTCAACTCCGCATTGGTCAATTCCAAAATTGGGTCCCAATTCCCCCATGATTTACCCTCTGGTAATTTGTTACATAGCTATTGAAAATGGCCATTTATAGTTGATTTACCCATTAAAAATGGTGATTTTCCATAGCTATTTTAGTTTACCAGAGGTTATCATGGTTTATTTTGCTTTTACCTATTTGAGATTAGTGTCAATTGATGATCAATAATATGTGCAAATATAGGAATTGATGATATTAGTGATCTTAGTGTTAGTTGATATTGATATTGATATAGTTTATATATATATGATATCCCCTCAAAATATTGCCTTATATAGTACTAGCGCCTCCATTTTAGGATCCTCAAATTCCCATTGATAATATATCCCTATTAAGTTGGAGATAAGTCGCCTCGCGTCGCGTCTGGCAGTTTGATGCACCGCCAGACGCGCGCTTCACGTGCCTCGCTGGGATGGTAAGATGGGTGGGCGTTGGTAAGATGGGTGATCAACTTTTGATGGGATGTCCAACCACCAAGAATAGGGTGATTTACTATGATTTACTATGATTTACGATGATTTCATCTAATTTCACCAAGACATATAGGGAGAGAAGATGAGAGAATGGGATTTTGTTCAGCATATTGGGGACATGTTTTTTTTTTTGCGCGGCTGCAAGCTGTTGGGGGTGTAAGGCAATCGACTTCTTCAGTGTCAGGGGACGAGGCGCGGAATCCATATGGGTGATATTAGGGTGGTTTATGACATTGCTTTACTGAGATTCATTCATCTGGATTGATTTGGTGACTTGGATATTTTTCGATTTATTTGGATTGATGTATATTTTTGGATTGATTTGGGGGATGGATTTGTTCAGCGAAAATGACATTCTTGCGGCACACATCACTGCTCCAACCCTGTTCCAACCCTGCTCGAACCAGTTTGTCAGGTTTTTTTTTAGTACCATGACATCACAATACTGTCCGGACCATAGTTGAAACTTTAAAACTTAAAAGCCTTCCAAATTGATGTTAGCGAGTCATCGCCAAAATGTCGGGACATACCATGACTAATATCAAAGTTGCCCTCTGGTAATCCAAAAGGCGCTGGTTGGAACATTCCAGCAGTCAAGCGGTACCCGGCCTGGTTATGTCAAAATAGCTATTGAACATGGCCATTTATAGTGGATTTACCCATTAAAATGGTGATTTTCCATAGTGATGTTAGTTTACCAGAGGGTAAATCATGTACAAATGGGTGTGTTGTTTCTCATTGCCATGTTTGACTGCCAGAGGGTAGTTTCATTGTTGCAACAGAAGGGGATCAGGACATCTAGTAACCACTATGTTGGTCAATAATTTGTAATTTTATCACACCCACGAATTACAGATTTGACCAAACAAATGGTGTATACCCTAGATTTAAAGCCGTGGTTTTTGGTGTGAACCCGATGTCTGAACTACAGGATCAGCCTTGTATCCATAGATTCTATGGCATTCCCGGGGACCGGAGTATATCTGAACAGAAAAGATGGTAAGCGAGGCATATCATCCGCAAAAGTTTGTGTCCCTATGAGGAATTACTGGGTCAACCTCGGTTAGATACTGTAGTACTTCAATCGTTTGCTATTAATGGTAAAATGTAAGTATACTGACATATACTGACTAAAAGCCAGATAAAACTTTGATTTTTGTTGGCAGCTATCTAAGATTCACCAAGATGAGGTTTTCCTATGGTGTTCCCATGGTTTTTCGATGATTTTCCCAGCAAAAAAACCTCCATGTTTTGGGCAAGGCCTTGGCGAAGCTGTTCCCCCCAGCACCTTTAGCCTTGGTGAACAGCCCACAGGCCAGGAGGGTACAGCAAGTTGGGTCTGGAAATGGGGTATACCTCGAATATACATCCAATTATAGCCATGTAGGGAAAATGATCATTGGATTTTGAATGATTTTGAGGTCAAGCCCAGTTATTGTCAGTTGAATATAATGGGGGGATTTCAATGGGTACATGACGGGATATGATGCGGAGAAAGAACTAAGTGGATATTTTAATATAGTACCACCGATGTGCCAGTTATTTGGCTCAAAACCACCACCCAAAACCCTCATGGTTTATGCTAACGGTGTTCTCCATTGAAGTGTCAATATAAATGGGCAACCCGATGACCTGCGAACCAGCGACCCACTTGATCACTTGCATGAATATGTATCCAGGTAGTGTTCGCGCAAGGCTTGCATTTTCTCACTGGCCCTTTCTGACTCCCAAATGATCAAAGATGTATCAATGCATGAAATATTACCCTCGGGTAAACTAACATAGCTATGGAAAATCACCATGTTCAATGGGTAAATCCACTATAAATGGCCATTTTCAATAGCTATGTAACAAATTACCAGAGGGATCCAGAGGGTACATCATCATCCTGCAACATTTCTTCAGCCAGGTACCAAGCAGAGGACTTGGATTGTCTTGACCTCAGTCATTTAGAAGGTGTGGCCACGGGCCAGATGGGTTTGTTTGCAAATCAGGGATGAACCAACAATTTTTTCTGGCACGTGGGTACCCTATTCTCAGACAATGGATTGGTTTAAGGGACAATTTAGAGGATACATGAGGATACCCTTAGAAAAACCATCTGTTCTCAACCATGGTTTCCTCAGTTTCCTCTACATGTTCCCTTAAATCAACTTAAATCAGTCTATGATTCAGATCCAAATGATTTGGAGAGCCACGGCATCCCGCAACCCGATGGGCGAGTTTTCCATATGCTTTCATCGAAACAAAATTATTATGGCTTGGATTAAAACCATCCCCAAATGGTAGGTTTATGATGTTTATGGTTTATGGCATTGGGTTTGCCACATTAGTCACGTATGATTCTCATCGCTTTTGCTGGAAAGTTTGTTGCTGGGGTTCGTCCGTCATCAATTTGTTGTGGGAAAGCCATATGCTCCGGTGCTGATATGGCGATATAACGAACAATCTTTGTCCTAAACATGACCCAGTCATGTTACCAAGACACTCAGTTTGTACCCGCCCAAAAAAAGCATGTTAAACAGCATACAAAATAACTATATACAATTTATATAATGTTATATCAACTTGTAGCTTGATTGTTAAACACAACCAGTACATTGGTAAGATACTCTGAAATCTAAAAAAAATGGATGGTTCAGATGGTGTTGCTGGCTGCTGTTGTTCCAGAAGTTGCTTCAGGCCACCCATGGGACCGCCAGGACTGCAAGTATGTGTCCTTTTTGTGCACAGGGTGTCAGTCTGGCTTTGAAGATGAAGGAATTGGTTCATGGTTTCAACATCATCAACAAGTGCATCCACGTATTATATATATACACATAATACATGCATATATATATATATATACATATTTGGATGTATTTGGATGTATTTGGATGATGCAGGAAAACACATAATACAATGATGCTTGTACTTTTCCAATCATTTCCTTCAAAACCACACAGTGAGAAACCGATTTCTAGGAACAAAATTCAGTTCATGAGCTGAGGAAAACCACAGTGAAAGCATTGCATTTACATTTTGTGTGAGATTTCCTCAAATTCATTGAGAAACATGTTGAAGTTGCAGCGTGTTGGCTCCGCTTCTTGCAGGAGCTGCAGGACAGGCTCCCAATAGTTTCAACACTTGGAATTCTTGGCCAAAGTGATGCAGAGATGCCGCAGTCAGATGACAGTCAGATGGGCGTGTCCCAAAGTTTTGAGATAACGTCGAAGATTGAGTCAAAGTAGTCCGTCCCTAAAAAAGGGATGATGACCTGAATTGACAAAAAAAAAGATGGGCTGAAACCACCAACCACAGATAATGTACATAGTCTAGAATGTTTATGAGACTTTTGATCTGCGATCCGATCGCGTGGAAAAACTCTGCCAAACTCAAGGGACGAATGTGATCAATCGTGCTACCACTTGGATCCTTTTCTGTTCAAAGCAGTGTCCAATTTCTGACCTCGTTTGGGAGATACCAAAGGGATCCAATTCGGAATGGTCTTCACAAAATCTATAATGTGGGTTGGTCCACCAGCAACATCCAGCAACTATTACCTGGTTGGTGGTTTGGAACATGTTTTATTTTTCCCATCATATTGGGAATAGTAATCCCAACTGACTCATATTTTTCAGAGGGGTTGAAACCACCAACCAGTCTTTAAAATGTAAACCTGTAGGATTTCTCCTGTGGGTTTTTGATAGATTTCAGCGGTCTTTTGAAAGAGACAAGGTTAGATCTAGCAAGCAGATCTCCCAACGCCGTACTTGGTGGCAGAATGTGTTATTTCAAAGTTTTTTTTTTGAGGTGCCAAGTTTTGAGCCATATATCATATATCCATATATTCCAATAACTTCTTCATTCATATAAAATACATAAAAATACTACATCTTGATAGACATCGTTATGTCACAGTGGAAATGGCAACAAGTATGGATCCAGCCGTACCTTCTTAGCAAGTGTTTGGGGTATGATTTAGATTGATTTGGGGGGTTAAGTATCTTCTCAGGAAGTGTTTGGATCCATAGGGTATATGTAAAGCATATACCCTCTGGTTATTTAACATAATTAGCTATGGAAAATTGCCCATTCTATAGATGATTTATGATGATTTACCTATTAAAAATGGTGATTTTCCATAGCTACGTTAAATAACCACAAGGTAATTAATTATATCAACTGCCACACGAAATGTGTTCCCTGATGTCCGTGGCCTTTTTAGCGCCTCAAAATCGGGCGCCGAATTCCAGGGCTTGACAGGCAGGGGACCGCACGTTACGTAACCCCGAAGAGATGGGAATGTATGGAACAGGTTCATTGCACTAAAGGATATATATATATATACCATATATCCATATATATATACACGAGTATATACGTATATATATATATATTATACATACTCTATATTATATATATACACCATATACATATGTATATATATATATCATATCGTAAGACATCCCGGTGATTCGAAACTGAAATCTCTCCAGGGCCACGAAAACAAATGTGGCCCATCCTCCTGGCCCATTCCCATGACTTTCGGATGTGTAAAGACGTCGTTACCGTAACAAACTTGGGTCATCTTGGGTAACTATTTACACAACATGGGTCATATGGGTCATACATATTTCTGGGAATCCTGAAAAAATCTGAAAGCTTTTTCAGAAGACGGATCTTGGGTCATTGTTCCCTTGACATCCCGAAAAACTTCGAATTGTCTGAAATTGCCGCACAAATGGACCATTCGGAAGACCTTCTTCAAATGACCGGCAATTTCAAAGCCGAATCTTCAAATGAAACCACTACGGCGTATATGGCGCGGTTTCCGCCCTAGCAGGATGTTGAAACTCTTTTTTTTGTTCATGTTGGATCTAAACGTATCAACATGTCACGTCATTTTTACACCATCAATTTCTCATGTCAAGTCATTTGGCAGAAACAAATCCAATGATCGATTTGTTTTTAAAGCCCTGACATGTTAATACCATTAATGCTAATGATCCTAGTGTTATCCAATTGTTCCATGAACTTCTCATGTGAAGTCAGTATCCAATTCTTATCCAATGGACATTTGGCATTGTCCAATGATCCATCGATTGTTCCATATTGTTCCATCGTGTTCCATTTTCTGGGCAAATTACGACGACCTCACTGCGACCTCACTGGAATCATGGTTAAGAGGAATCATCCCAAAATCCAAAAAAAAAACAGGTGAGTGAGTTATGATAATTTGCCCAGATGTTCCATCAATTTCTCCATCAATTTCCATCTGGTTGGTGGTTTGGAATATGAATGGATTATTTTTCCCATCACATTGGGAATGGAAAAATCATCCCAACTGACTTTCACTCCATCATTTTTCAGAGGGGTAGGTATACCATGGTATACCACCAACCAGATATTCATATGGTAGTAAAACTAGTTATATATATATACAGTATATAATTATGGTCAACCCATTAGAATAGTTTATTTACATCAGATCTTGTTCCATCAATTTCTCCATTAATTTCCATGTGTTTTGCTTGATTCCCCCTGCAAAGGCAAAGCCCGTCTCAAGCCCTGGAACTATGTCCACGATGGTCAAGCCCAGGTACCGGAGGGTTTTAGCCAGAAAAATGGGATCAAAACCCAACGGTAACGCTACACGGATTTAAATGGCTGGTTAATGGCTGGTTATTTCCCAGTCATATAGGTAATTTTTCGGTTTTGAAGCCAGTTTACCCTATTGATGATGATTTAATGTTGTTTTGATGGTGATAGTTGATCAGCATATTTAACTTATTTAACCAACAGCAATGGTGATTTAATAGTGAATTATAACATATTATGACCCTTCTGAATATAATCCCATCGCCCTTTCATATTACCCCACTTGCATGGTCCCAGCCATATGTTGTTTCATCACTTAATAACTAAATCTTGGTTTCTTTCGGGGTGGTTCATATATTGAAGCGAGGTTAAGGGATGATATGATGATAGACCATCCCAAAAGCCATGGGAATTAGTGAAGAGAGGAGAATCGATGTGAATTGATGAAATGTAATTGTCAAAAGAGAGTGGGAATGAAAACGATGAACTATCCAGTGTTTATGAGGGAACTAAGGAACAAGGGGTATGAAAATAGTCCCTTTTGAATGGGGAGCCAAGGAGCTACCAAGAGTTTCCCAGCCATATGATAGTTAAACTATGAGGACTTTGATTTGTTTAACCATTCGGAATGGATTTCATATAGTTTAACATAGTTTAACCATGTTTAACATAGTTTAAGCATCGAACTTGATGAAACTGGAGTGGTTGTCAAGATTTTCAAGAAGTTGGAAATCTGGAGTAAAGTCATGCCATCTTGGGAGACCAATGGACTCTGCCAATGGATACCCCGCTGTTAATGTTCCTCATGAACCCAACAGTTCAGCTAGTTCGGTCCATGTTTGAAGATGTGAAAAAAAGCACATTAATCACATGGATCATTATTTGCTTGATGTGGTTTCACCACCAAGCTGGAAAAAAAACATATCCATTCATCACATGAATTTTTGCTTGGTGGTTTCAATCACGTGATTTCTTTTATCTACAGACACATTTGGGATGATGATCATATCTCAAATCACCATGGTTTCGGTGAAATTCACCAGACAATTCTATCATTTTCCAGAGTTTAATCAGTTTAATCCCCTGAAATGACCATTTTTTCCATAGTCAAACTCCATGAAACCAGGATGTTCATAGTAAAATCCCCATGAATTCCGGTCTTTTTCGATGGTGAAACGGTGAAAGTCCCGAGTTTAATCGCCAGGGAAGCCATCTCGGACACCACCCGCTGGTCCATCTCCTTGGTAGAGGCCTCCAAGCTTGGGTAGCCCAGAGAGAAAAAAACGCCGGGGAAGTCACCATACAGACATGGGATTTCTGGAATGTTCTGGATTTCTGGTTGGTGATTTCAAAGATTTGGATTGTGTTCCATTTCATATATGGGATATTCTGGGATAATCCATGGGATGTCATCCTTCCCATTGACGAACACTCATATTTTTCAGAGGGGTGGCTCAACCACCAAGCAGATTTATATTCTATATTATAACTATAAGCATATGCAAACTATAACCATTCAATTCCATCTACAAACAATCATTATAACCATATTATACGACATGTGAATCGAATCAGAAAGTAAAGGTTACAGTAATCAACTGAATGAGTAGTCTAGTACCTTTTTTTTGTGTCATGGGGACATATATGAACCTGTATAACCAGCTAAGTATGTGGAACGTGAAGCCATGGCTGAAGCCCAATGCTCAGCCCCAAGGGGTTCGGAAAGGCCGCTGTGGGAAGTAGCTAAGCATGAACTGGGAATTTCACGTGATGAAAGAACAAATGTTGTGTTATGAGTTACATCTTGTCAATAACAGATAAGCTATCTCAGCTCCCTTAGAGAAAAATAATGATAGAAGGTAAGTCATCCACTATTTTGTGGCTGATGTCCTCCATTGGGTTAGAAAAGGAAACTCAAGAAGTGATCCATCATTCACGGCCCTGGCGCTTTAGGATGTCCAGCTTGAGAAATGAATCAGAGAATGTTACTGTCATTATGTTTGGATTGGTTGGTTGGAAAAATCTACGGTTGAAACCCTGTTTTTTTCCATGAAATATGGGTGCTTCCGGTTTCTACTTTCCCTTAAACCGATCCAATGATATTAACTAATGCAAATAACAGGCGATTTGAGATTTGATAACATCATCATCATCAACAACAGCAACAACAACAATCACAACAGCAGCAACAACAACAGCAACAACAACAATCACAACAGCAGCAACAACAACAGCAACAACAACAACAGCAGCAACAACAGCAGCAACAACAACAACAATTACAATTTGTCGCCACTTCACATCTCCGTTTTCTTTAACAAAGGTAAAAAACAAAAAATCGCATCCATCTTCCCACTTGGATCAGTAGCAGATCTTGCGGTGATCACACCAAGGGCACAAGCAAAGCGGAGAGAAGAAGAAGAACGCTTCAAGAGGCATCTTGGGGTCAAACACTATGTAGATCTACATAGTATGGGAGAATATGTGATAATATGGAAGAATAGTATCAGAATATACTGTGAAACCCGGATTCCTATAGTCTTTTTTTTATTGTTTATTACTGGGAGGCGTGGCATTGTTGTAGCAGATGACCGCACTTTTTGTGGTTAACCAGCATAGCCCAAGCACGACAGGGCCCGAACAAACCCAGTTTGGGATGGTGACTGTTGTTCATATGAAGCAACACTCATTGCAGGGCTCCAAATATGTGGGTACTACTAAACTTTACTAAACCATGGTTATTGGGATGTGTCTAAACCATGGTACTAAACCAAATATGTGGGTACTAAACCATGGTTATGGTACTAAACCATTGGTACTAAACCATGGTTATTGGGATGTGTCTAAGTCTAATGGGGGAAGGGATGGGAAGGGACTATCATTCACGAAGCCTCAATGTTAGGGGTCCATCTTTGGCAGATGGGAATGACTCAGATTTCATGCAGCTACAGGACCAGATGACCAGAGATTTGTTGATGAACGATGCACTAATCTGTGCCATGATGCCATGGTCAAAATTTTCAAAATTTGGTCAATTTGGTCAATTTGCCATGTATGATATTGGGCCATCATGATCGTTCCCTCAATAGGGATTTATATACACATTGTATATATATATATATGTATATATAATATACATATATATATATGTACAATTATAAGGAATCCCTCATGATGGTCGGATGATGGAAACCCCATGTACTCCTACTGTGTTTTGACAGGTTGTTTTTACCATGGCACATATACTAACTATTGATGTGTTGCATGAATGGGCTGGTGCGTCCGAAGAAGATGGAAAGCGGACGCATTTACTGTGAAAATACGCTTGTCCGAAGAGAGGCAAAACATGTAACTGCCAGATGCTGCTACTTGTAGTAACAGTGACAAACAGTTTACTTTTTCGGTGAACCACCTGTTGATGAACTATATTAATATCAATTTACAACTTACAACATCAGTTGATTATTGTTATTAGTATTGACATGATTGGTATCATTGATGTTATACCATTTGGTTATTTAACATAGCCATGGAATATCACCATTTTTAATAGGTAAACCATCTATAAATGGGTCATTTTCCGTGGCTATGTTAAATGACTAGAGGGTAATTTTATTGATGACATTAATATCAATTGACATTGTAATTCCTTGATGATTCCAGGCCCCGAACTTCCCAACTTCCCACGCCTTTTCAAACGATATCTTGCAGAAAAAACATAGAGCAACTGGAACCCTAAGCATGTTTCATTGGAACAAACATGAACAACACATGCTTCCCTTTCCCGAATGTTTATATGGGTATGGGTCAATACCTATAGATACATTTTTAGGGGGATGAACATCCATTTACCAGCTATTTTGGTGTTCACCAGGGGTACAAGGTTTTGACCAATAGCCATATATCTATATTTCCTACAAGCGTTCCGAATTGTTCATCTGGCCTTGGTGCGTACGCCAGGTGGAACGCCGGGAACCACGACAGCACTGCCTTCTTTAGGCGGGGATCGTCCCTAAATGGGATGGTTTGTTCAGCATTTTTGGAGCTTAAATTATGATACTTAAATAGTACATTAAGTAGTTCATTTGGATGGGACTAAGTTTTAGTTAACATGATTTAACTCGCCGAGATTTTTTTTGAATCTTTAGTGAGTACCAAGTACTAAGCATAAATAAATAAATAAACAAATAAATGAATAAATATATGTATATATGTATATATATCTCCTAGATTTTGATGTTGAATTGAACCTAGATTTGATCCTAGGAAGATTCTGCCAGGATCCCCAAATTGTCCGGTACTTTTCCAATTTATCTCAGTGTTTGCATATTTCCACTCGTTAGTTGAACCCGATTCTTCATTGGTGAGTTGTTCTTTTGTCGCGCAGTTTTGTCCATTGTATTTATTCATTCATTGTTTATTTATGCACCATGGAATACCATTTCTACCCAGGTCTTTCTTCTGACAATCCCCCTCTTCTGACATCCGCACTTTCTTTATTAGTTTCCCCAACTGGTACATTGTAAGAGCGGCTCATGTTTGTTGATTCTTTAATCATAACATGTTGGTGATGTTCTGTTGGCACCATGGACCTGGAGCTATGCTGCAGTTGCCTGCTGGCATTGTTTTACGGATGTTCGAACGGTTCAAGGTATCCATGGTGAATTTCCTGTACAGCCGTACAGCCTGGCTGGTCTCTTGCTTGAACATTCTAACTCCATGGTGAGCCAATGGTATTGGCTAATATATTGACATGGTGATGTTGTCAAATGGTATCAAGATAAGAAAACATAGTATTATATAGTATTTGATGGGAACACATTGTTTGTTTCCATTCTGCAGCTGCTAAGAAAGTTCTTGTGCTGACTTGCAATGGGAACACATGGAAAAAAACAAAAAAAACATGGTTTCCTATTTAAGTGTTCCTCAGCCTTCGGCAATGAAACGTGGTTAAAATCCACAGGAAGATGGGGCAAAGTGTGGCCGATACCGAGAGATACAAGGCTCAATGTGTGGACCTCAAAGAAGGATCATGGCGATCTGGGTGGTGTTTTGGGGGAATCTGATTATGGTGATATCTATGGTGGTTTCATAGTGATATAATATATATATATATATTATATATATATATATTTAGAATATATATATATATAATAATAATATATATATATATAATATAATATAATATAATATATATATATATGTGGTGTTGTTGTTTAATGATAGCTCAGGGAATGTGTCATTTCCCCCCCGGATTTCTGCCACGCGATTCGAGATCAGGTCGGAGCGCTGCCTTGGCCTCTCCCTCCCGAAATGCCGAAGAGAAGGTGAGTTTAGACTGCACCACCAGGCCTGGATCCGGGGATTCCAGGGAGTGTTGCTGTGTGCACGGTTGGGGGAGGTCTTTTTTTTCAAAGAAAAAGGGCTGATGTTAACGGGATTTAAAAGAGAACAGTAATGATTCAAGAAAGAATAATGGTGATTTCATGGGATTTAAGAAAGAAACATGGAGATTTCATGGGCTTTAAAAGAGAAACATAATGATTCAAGAGAGAATACTGGTGATTTTTATGGGATTTATGGGAGATATCATGGGATTTAGAAGAAAGCAATTATGATTCAAGAAAAAATATTGGTGATTTCATGGGGATTTCATGGGATTTAAGAGATAACAATAATGATTCAAAGGAGAACACATGTGATGTCATGTAAGCAAGAAAAATGGTCACTTCATAGGATTTATGCAAGAACACGTGGGGTTTTCATGGCATTGAAGTGGCTGAGATTGTGGGAATGGTGTCAATTCAATGTCATGATGATATTAGATATATTAGATGATGTCCAAATCATTTTCTCAAAAATCACATGTGTTTTTTTTCAGTCAAAAGAATCGCAATCGCAGCAGATCCGCGGATGCGGTGCCCAGCTTGCCACCAGACCTACAGCAAAAGTGGCTGGGTGCCACGGCACTCCTACGCCACGCGGGTTGTGGGCTGGCGCCGATGAGGTATGGAGCTGGCAGGCAATGGAATGCTGCCCTCGTAATCAGTGACCTACTGGGTCCTGTAGGGTGGCTAGGTTAGCTGTGCCTTACGTGAGGTGTTCAGGATTCCTTTCTATAATTTGGCGCTGCGCCCTTCAGAGTCCGGTAGACTCAGTAGACGTTGCCCGTGTGGACAAAACCAAAAGAACAGATGGGTAATTTTCTGGGTGAATTTGGAGGACCGCAACAAGGGAGAATCATTCCCAAATTGTTATAATTTGGAAAGAGAAGCACGTCTACCAGTCATTCAGTTTTGTTGGGAGTTTAGTATCTTCATAGTAGCTACCGAGTATACCTCTTTTTCCACTAGTAGCGTGGGTATCTCTTGGATAAACCTACTCCATTGACTCATGAACATTTCTTTCACCCCAAACCAATCCTCTCTCCCTATTACTAACCCCCATTAAGGTGCCCCTAATATTTCAATGAAAAACCCTAAGAATAAAAAACAAAAAATAAAAAATAAAAAACAAATTTGATTAAACTCCTTATTAAAATCCATATAAATAAAATATTGCCAAAAACATCCAAAAACTGGATTTCGACGCGTTCCCCTAATATTCCAATGAAAACCTTAATAATAAAGATAAACAATTTGATTTCAATTTTGATAAAATCCCTTATTAAAAACTATATAAAAAGTTTCTTCGTTGCCAGAACTGTTTCTTCTTTTTCCAATACGGGAACTCGCCTATTTGGCTAGTAAAAAGGCAGGGTTTTTGGATGTTTTCTGGATAAATGACAGGAACTCACATACTTAGATGGGCCATGGGATTAGCGATTTATGGTTAGTAACTGGGGATTAACTAACCCCCTATATCCCAATGAAATAATCCATTTACTAACTAGTTAACTAACTCCATGGCCCATCTAAATAGAATGGTGAATGGATAGGTGTAACTCTTCCACACCAGCCACGCCAGGCATGTGGACGTGGCCAAGGCGCTGAAGTTCTCGAAAAAAAACATGGGAGAAAACTTGGAGAAAATGAGGACCCTACGATCACACGATAGCTAAGTTGACGCGCACAACATGGTTGACTAGGATTCATGGGGGATATATAGAAGTATAGTTGATGGGGTTTATAAGCCAACTTACAACTGGGGGGGCCTCATGTTGTATACTCTGAATTCTAAGAATTATGGCCACGGAACGATATATGGGATTATTTGGGGACAATTATGATTAGAGCAAGTTTTATTTGGGTTCCATGTCTTTTCAGCTGGAGTCAAAATTTCTTGGTCGGTTCTCTTTAAGCTTTAAACCCACATCTGATTTGCCAAAAAAGCTTCAAGAACGTCTCTGTTGCGTCTTTCAAAGAATACAACAGAAATATGGGGTAAAACATCATTAAACAAACATTTATACAAATTCATGTAAATTCACGTTTCAGTGCAGCCATCCCTGTTTCATGTTGATGAAATGTCCTGGATTTTCTTCGTCTCTCGCCCAAGGCCTTCGCAGACTTCAGTAACGTGTGTGTCGTGCCACATCCCGAGATAGCTGGAACCATGGGCATGAACGCCGATGGTTGGGAACCTCAAGCGGGGCCGATGGTGACGACTGATGGATTCATGTTTAAATATATTTAGCCATATTTAGCCTATGTTGATCAAGGATTCAAGGATTGATATTCCAACAATTCACATCAATTAACTGGTTGGTGGTTTCAAACATTTTTTATTTTCCATAATATATGGGATAATCCTTCCCATTGACGAACTCATATTTTTCAAGCTGGTTATTGCACCACCAACCAGTTAGTCATATAGATTGATATTCAACAATGAGCAAATCAAGGAAAATCATGTACTGTACAGAGTCGTGTACATATGTATGTATATTTATGTACCATATTCATATTTGGATGGTAAAAACCATGGTAAAATCCATGGTTTCCGGTTAAGATTTTCCCAACCAAGCAATCCAACCAGAAATGTCGATCATTTCCCCAGCGGGAAGACCAAAGAAATCGATGGATTGGTTCGGGAAAATCTGAAAACCGGAAACCAATCCGAATGTCCCATGAATATATGGGTCTTTACTCTTCATCAGCAGTACTGAATTCGTATTTTAATGGACATTTTATGATGTTTTTGGCACATAGTCTAGTATATAGACAATTATACACATATTATTTGGATACTTTGATACGACTTCAATTCAATCAACCTTGCGATAGATGATGGTCAAAATTCTGAAACTGAAAGCCATCAAAGTCATCAAAGCTGGCCTCAACTTTGGATTTTATATGGATTTATGATAAGCTTTCCCTATGTATAATGATTTCCCTGACACCCTGGTTTGTATTGGACATATTTATCTTGGGGCCGTCGGCCATAGGGTGGAATTTCATATTAAGGGGAGGAACATTACAGGATGGGGCCCCCCAAGTTATAAGTTGGTTTATAATCCCATTAACTATATATATATATATATATCTACCATAAGTCCTAGTTATTAGAGTTATAAACCAACTTAGCTATCTTGGGGGCACCACCTTGTAATAGCCCTCCTCATCCCTCTTCTAACTAGATAAGCAACCAATCACATAATACGAAGACCTTGGACATTGCCAGCACCTAATCACCACCCCAACATGGCTACGGCTCAAGAACGCTGGGTGTCACCAAAATTCGAGCTCCACGGGCTCAGTGGTGAAGGACTTTCAGTGGCCTTGCTTGGACTTTGCGATGCGATTGGCACGCAGAAATTTTCGCAGCTGGTTTTGCTACTTCGATGGGCCATGGGATGTTGCCGATTCCTGGTTAGTAACTGGGGATTAACCAACCACTAACCCTCAAAAAATCCCAATGAAATCATCCATTTAATAACTATAGTTATTAAATGGATTATTTCAGTGGTATATATAGAGGGTTAGTGGTTTAGTTTTCCCTAACTCCATGGCCCATCTATACGTACTTCTGACTTCTCCGCGGCAGTTGTCAGTTTAACCCGCTGGAACCGTTTCTGGAAGCGCTCTGCTTCGCTGTTGCAATGAGGCCAACATGAAAAATTGGAGAAAAAACAAGGTACCCTCTGGTAATTTAACAGTTTGCTATTGAAAATGGCCATTTATAGTGAGTTTTCCCACTAAAAATGGTGATTTTCCATAGCTATGTTAAATTACCAGAGGGTATGTCACTAAAAACATGTCATGCATAATTTTAGTTTTCAGCAACACACACAGAGATTAACATGATTAAAACGATTAAAATACCTGCAATCAATGTCCGCTCAGCCAGTCATTTGACTGGTGTTTGCCAATATGCTTCACTCTCCACACGCATGACTTTGATATACGTTGATATGCTTTGTGTTTTTTTCTACTTCTATAGGACCTATGACTTTGAGGATATGTCCCAAGGGTTGCAGATGTTGCAGCATTTCTATATTTTTTTGTCACCCCAGCATTTTGCGGGTTGAACGCGCCAGCCAAGAAACAAGTGTAGCATCCCTCACTATGGCAGCTCAACGCCAGGAACAGTCGATGCTCCCAAGGGCCTAATGCACCTCAAGGCGAGGAATGAATCTGCCTGGGTTTGTATTGAATTCTTGGGATCTTCACCATCTTCACATGTTTTCACCATGCTTTTGATTTACCTAACATCAACAGATTCAGCTAACAAACATGTAGACAAAGTGACAAAGTGATGATTCATATAACACCCAAACATGAACAACTTACTATTAAACATGGTGGTTTTGAATCAGGAAAAAAAAGGTGGTCATTTTTCTCGATGTTCGTTGGGTTTTTTATCTGACTGGAACAGGCATCTGGTGACGTTGATACCGCTCCATGGGTGCTGGTATATTTACCTACATGATCCCTACGTCTGACTGGGTGATTTTAGATTTTAGGGCAAATGTTGGGATGAACATATTCCAGCACCCTGCTTCGCAATGCTTCGCATATGGGATATTGACTTGTTTGACCTAATATTCTAACATGGATTGTTATGTCGGCTATACATGAAGGTTTGATAGCCAAAAGCGTCATAGATAACTAACACCAAAATTCCGCTGTAATGAAATCATTGTGGCATATTGATTGTGGCTGCCCTCAAAAACTAGACCATTCCGGAAAATCAACATGGGGATGGATCAAAACCGCATATGCCATTGATATTGGGTGAACACCCATAAACAACAGCTATATTGGCATGAAAGCCGACTTCCATGGATTTTGAACCATACCAAAATATTCGAACTCGAAGGTTGCCTTCGCCACGTCACGTTTGATGGTCAGAATGGATTGGGGTAACTGTATCCCCAAATGGCCGACAGGTTGGTGAATTGTGAGAATTTCTGCAGATCGGTTGGAATAATACATAAGTGTATATATATATACGCATAGTGATATAAGACAAAACAAATTGTAGGTTCAGTCAAACAAAAACTAGTTCTTTTTGAGAAAAGACATTTTTTTTAAGAACCCGTATTTTGTTTTTTGTTGGATTTGCACAAATGTGTCCAAATCGGGTGGACCTGTATCAAATTCATCCTCATTACATATTACATGTAGAATTTCATACTGACAACTTCTGATTTTTTCGATACTTTGTTTGACTGTTTGTTGGGCTTGGGCAATCCAGAATCATTTTTCCCATGAAAAAAATACAGCCATGTCTCCACGTCCTCGGGGGTAAAGAGTAGCTGACCTTCTTTCTTATATAACTGTAGTGTTTGGCTCTTAGCCGATGGTTTGTGCAGACTGTCGGGTGTTCCCCGGGACGCCTGTCTGCGGATCTTGCAGAGCAGTCTGTAGGATCACAGGGTTTCTCCGGTCCGGTCACCTCAAGGATCAGGAGAAACGGGTGGTAGAGGTGCTCCGGGTGGCTGCCGGAGAGCTCGCTGACCTCGTTGAATCGAGCGTTCCAGCGGTCAGGGCAGCGGAGGCGCTGCTTTCTCAGGAGGGAAACGAGGGCCGCACCTCCGGGCCACCCGACGCTCCTGCAGCCCCGAAAAAGGCTGGAGAGGGGAGCGAGTACACCGAGGAGTCGAGTGAAGAAGAACAGGTGTCCGTTGAGATAGAAGACGAGGAGGCGCCTGCGGTAGTGGGCGACAAGGACAAGCGGGGAGCTAGCAAGGAAGCCCCTGAGTCTTTGGAGAAGGAAGCCAAAGTAGAAGGACACAGCCCAGGGGAACGTGAGGTCAGTCCCTCTTCCCGTGGTAGGGAGCTGGAGCTGTATCCCGCTTGCAAGGCTTCCACAAAGCACTACAAGAGGAAGTTGCAGGACGAGCGGCAGGAGGAGAAGCGCCAGAGAGACTCGGGTAGCCGTGGGTCCCGACGCCCTGTGTCACCTGAGAAGCGGTCCAGGCGGGCCAGTCCAGGTCACGGCGAAGAAGAGGAGAGCGAAGGTCGGGCCCCCTTGCCGAGGCGGCAGCCCAGGGGAGCCCAGCCTAGAGACCGGGGCTCAAGAGGAAGGAAGAAAAGGGAGCGAGCCAAGGAGTTCACGCGGAAGAAGATCGAGGAGCGACGGGCCCGCAAGAAGCAGAAGCAATGGCACCAAAAGCCAAAGTAAAGGCCGCCGCACGGCCAAAGGCCATGGCCGTGTTGAGAAGGCCAGCAGCGAGAGGTGTAGCCGCCCAGGGGGCTCCTCCTGGGAGGGGCGTCATGAGGAGGCCTGCGGCTCGAGAGGGCGAGCGGGGCAGAACTCCCCCTCCACCTCGTCCCGTTGGACCTCTTCCAGCCGGGGTCCTGCTTGGTTGTGTCGGAGGGCGGCTATTATGGGGCCCCTGTCAAGTTGGCGGGACAGATTCTGAGGGTCGAGCGCGACAAAAACGGCGCCCACATTCTGCTCCGCCCCACAGGGACCGACAGCGAACAAGTCCTGAGAACCTTCACGTCGGCCAAGGACACGCCCTTCAGGCTGCACGTGTGCCCGGAGGGGTGCGGTCGTCAGGAGAGCGGCGACTTCTACGTGCACGCAGTCAGAGGACGCCAGGGGAGAGCCGACGGCGAGGAAGGATGGGTGAACAGCCTAGACGGACCGGCGACAGGGGGTCCGGACGAGATGGCGGCCTTGAGGAAGAGGGAGCAGGAGCTCCTGCAAGCGCGCCACCCCCAACAGGGGGAGGCTGTGGAAGCGCCCGACGGCGAGGGGAAGGACCCGGCGCCAGAGAAAAAGAAGAAGGAAAAGAAGAAGAAGACAACTTGGTGATGTTTAGTGGTTTCCGGGTATCCCAGATGGTTCTCATCTGCAAGGCAACCAGTGGCTTCTCACATTCTGCAGTGTTGCGTCTGCCAGCTGTCAAGACAATTTTTTGGTTTATTACTCCAAACCTGTAACTTTAGGTAGGAGCCAGGAACCACGCACTTTATTTAGTGTCTGGCTGCTTCTTGTCTAGAGGACAGCCTGGTGTGTGATTGATGTCTGCCTGGGCAAGGCACTGTCAAATTTCAAATTCCTTCCTTGAAAGTTTTCACGGCTGGGAAGCCAATTAACACATTCAATTTTGACATGTTTGCAGGATGCTGCTCGAAAGAATTTTCTGTTTAGGAAGTATCCCCACAAAAAAAAAATGTCTGGGATTGTTTATTGGCGGAAAAGTGTTTGAAACCGGCCTTGCTTCGCAGCAAGGGGGCTCGCAGGTCACAGGAAGGGACAGAACATGTTTCAAATGGGTTTCCAACAGACATTTTTGCCAAGCCGGCTTCAAAGAAATGTATCTTCCTTTTACTTTCAGCACGTTTGTCTTCCTGTTCGGGTCGGCAATGGGGAAGCATGCCTCTCAGTCTGGCGTGAGCATCCTGCCTAGCAGGCTGGTGCGCGAACATGCCAAAAGCTGCAAAAAAAAGGGCAAATGCTCCTTGTGCTGTTGGAAAGCCAAAATGGATAAGTGGCAGGCAGAGAAGAATTTCAGACCTTGGCTTGCGGTGTCATTGCGTCCGCGTGTGGGTGTGGGGTGCAAGACTTGCGCAGACAGCAAATCCCAGACGCCATGGGGCCAATTTGAAATCAATCCACGGTCTTTGAAAATGCAACAGGTCGAGAAGCACGAAAATTCTCAAGTCCACAAAGTGGCGAGCGAAAGGTGCAGCAATGAAGAAGATTTATTGCTGGCTCCTCCAATGTCTGAATTCTTAGATGCCTATGAAAACATGCGGAAGGGAGGGAGCGCAAGGCAACAAGGAGTCTCTTCTGACAGGAAATCTAGGATCAGATACTGCATTGCCGAAGCGGTGATCCGCCGAAATGCCCAGTTCTTGAGATCTGCTTCTTCAGTGGCTTTGCTTAGGGATGAGCGAAAAGGCCGGCTTCTGCTGCGGTTTCGGGCAGCCCAGGCTGACTTGTCAACCTTGGATGGGGTGCTGGGGCTTGTTGACACTGAGCCTTCTTCAGAGCAATTGGCTGCTGCCACCACGCACGCCTTGAAAGTTTTCTGCCAGCCCTTCACAGCATTGCCCCGAGGAAGCAAAGCTGTGGCCAAGCCTTACGACCGCGCGCTGCAGAAAAACTTGAAGGACAAGATTCAGATCTTGACCACCGACAATGCGTCATCAGAGATGCTGGCGTCGCAGCAACTACGGGGGGCCCGCCCACATGCCACTCCAGGCGGTCTTGCAACCAAAGCAGCTTTGCCCAATGTGAAGTTGGTTGCGAAGGACAGTGCCCACTCTTCAACTAGAGTCTTGAAGAGGCCCTTCGCAAAGCATCCTCACATCAACTCTGTCATGTGTGAGCTGGTCTACAATTCTGAAAGCTTTTGCCAGAAAATTTTCCACTCCCCTCTCTATTCCAAGTGGTGGAAGGAAGTGACAGCGGAGGAAGATGAAGAGGGACCAGGCCAGTCTGCCAGAGTGACCTCCATGTGTTCAGCCAAGCACCGCTTTGCCAGCTACTACCAACCTTTGAGCAGGCTCATCAAGAACCTCCCGGCGGCAGTCAAATTGATGCATCGCATCAGTTCCATGCGGGCCGGGCAAGATAATGGCCAGTGGGCTGGGAAGACACTGGCCACTTTGAATGGTGAAAAATTGTTGCTCCTTGGCATGTGCACGGATGCTTCAGCTTCATGTTTGGAGTTTACCCGGTACAACGACCAAGAAGGGATGGACATTTCTCAGTTGACCAATGAAGTGGCTGCCCTCGTGTCGCAGCTTCGCGTGCAATTTGAAGATGGACAATGCTTCCACTTGCCCACCTACACTAAGAGCTGCCTTGATTTTCTGGAAGGCAACCCTCCGATGATGGTGATGCATGGCGGCGATGCCCGAGAGCTCCGTGTTGATCAGGCAGCCAAGACACGCTGCTTGAAGGTGATGAAGGACGGAAGGTGAATAAGGGTTAGTAACAGTAACACGTAACATGTTCTGTAATTTATTCGAACACTGTGACGCTCAATTTGCTGCGTCTCAGACATGTTTCCAGGAATGGGTGGCAGCTATGGAGGAAACTTTGGCTGCGGAATTTCCGGCTTGGCATGTCTTGCAATGCTTCGACATCTTTGAGCTGACACAGCCTCAGAGCCGACCTGACCTGAGCAAGCAGTTCGCCACTTTGGCACAAGCTTTCCAAGTGAACGAGGAGAAGCTCAAGGAGCAATACATGGCATTGATGCCTGTGGCCCAATCTTTGCAGCGCAGGACAGACATGGACAATCGCAGTGCATGGCGACAGGCGCTTCAACGGAAAAAAGGAGCTTCCAAACGCCACGGTGGCTACGAGTGCGATGCCTTGTTGGAGGCGCTTGTAGCAAAGTCACCCAAGTTTGCGTCTGAAAGTGTGCCCCGAATAATTTGGACCCATTGCTGTGAAACAAACTATATAAATTTTTGAGTTTTGATATAGTGTGTTCACGCTGCAGGTGCTCAGCGCATACCAAGCATGGACATGTTCCACTTCCGGTGTGGAGCAGTTGTTCAGCAAGGTGAAGCGCTCTCCCATCGAGAATGCCAACAGCTCTGCAGATACGGACCGGCGACTAGCCATTGTTATGGGTGACACCAGTCAAGGCCAGGCCCTCGAAGATTTGCTGCAGCAAGGCCGTCTCTTCTACGTTCAGATGTTACCATCAGCCCAGTCTCGTGAGCACAAGCATGAAAGATTGGACAAGGGCATCGCAAAACCCGACACTGACCGGACCCAGGGATCAGAAGCCGAATGGGTTCGAAACAGGAAAGCGGCTGTGAAGGCTGCCGTGGCACGAAAAGTTGCCACTCCTCAGGCCAAATTGGCGCATGGCAGTCTGCCTGAATCTCTCCAAGAAGAAATCAAGCGTCAGCAGGCTTGGGGCCAAAAGCGGAAAGCGGAGGCTTACCGCGATGGACTTTTGATTTCTGAAGAAGCTACAGCAGATGTCAAAGCCCAAGCTGCCAGAGATGCGAAAACCGCTGCTCGCAATGATGCTGCGAGGGCCAAAAAGTTGATGAAGCACTGTGCAGAGTCAGGCATGACTGTGCGCAGACCATCCACATGGGCCTTCCAGAGGTTGCCGGCGACCGTGTGGTTTGCTACAAAGCTGGAGCCATGTTTGAAGACCAGATGGAAACAGGGTGTGTTGTCGCTGGGCGTACGGAACTGTACTGAGGACCTTAACGCCGAAATGTTTTCAACAAAGAAATTTGTATTCAACACCACTTTTGCCGTATCATGGGCCTTGGCACCCGTGCAGGACCTCAGACAAGCCCAGCTCCTCGTAGTCAAGGACATGACCAGTATGAAACGCAAGGTGAAGCTTTTTGCTAGCCTCATGGGATGCACTGTGATGACCGGCTCTGCTTTCGATGGTGATGGTGGGGCGTGTCTCCAATACCATCGAGGCATGGACAACTCAGTCCTTGTGCTTGCGACAGACAGATTCAAAACTGAAGAGCCAGCTTTGACTATGATAGTGCGTGAAGCGTGCAGCTCGGGCAATTGGTGCGCTGTCACCCGTGACGGCTTGAGGTGCCGGGGCTCACTGGCCGCCATTCTTTTGAAGGCATCCGATGAAAGTGTTGAAGGCCGATTGCCTAGTGGAGTCAAATCCTTTGCAGGGGATGATCTCGTCACTTGGGCTGCTGAGAAATTCATCTGCCACGACGGCTGCGCCGTCCTAGACAAGTGACATGATCGCGGGGTCAGACAAAAGTCCGCAGCTTGTTTCTTCAGGTGCCTGGGAAGGCTCGTTTTTAATGCCTGGGAAGGCTCATCAGTTTGCCTGGGAAGGCTACTTCTTTGCCTGGGAAGGCTCACCCCTTTTTGCCTGGGAAGGCTCACGACTTTTTGCCTGGGAAGGCTCACGACTTGTTGCCTGGGAAGGTTATTTTTTTGTTTCTTGCCTGGGAAGGATCATTTTTACATTGTTGTCACTGTGTCGTTTCAGGCTCCTAATTTCAGGATGAAGCACGTCGTTCCTCACGCGCCGCGGCTGAAGGTTCGTAAAACACAACCCAAGCCAGTGCCGAGGCGTGCCTCCCAAGTCACAAAAGATGATTTGGTAGAAGCCATACAAAATGTGAAGCGTCTTGCTGCTTCGTGGAGAGATAGATTGCCCAGGCATGGTAAAAGTCAAACAGATGGAACCATCAGGCTGGCTTCGGAGTGCGCAGGATATGGCTCTGACATCATTGCCATGCACCTCTTGGGTCTTCGAAGTCGGACGCAATTAGTCTTGTGGTCTGAAAATTGCTCTACAAAGCAAGCCCTTCACAAGACAGTGATGGAAACTTGCGGAATGTCTTCAGCTTTTGCAAAGCACACGCCCGACGTGTGCGATCGCAACACTGGCAGTTTGCCCACCCCTGATCTCTATATCGGGGGATACCCTTGCCCCTCGTGGAGCAAGCTGGGAAAAGGCAAAGGAGTGAGAGATTCCAGAGGTTTCCTGACCCTCAAAGGGATCGAGTTCATTGCTGAAAAGCGGCCACGCATGATTGTTTTGGAGCAAGTTTCCAACATCAAATGCAAGAAATTTTTGAAAAGTTGGAACTTCTTGGTGGACACTCTGGAAGCTTTGGACATACCGTGTCCCACAGCACACTCAACACGAAAGATTTTGCTATTCCTCAAAGCAGACCTCGTGTCTACTTGCTTGCTGTGGCTCGTGAATCGGTTGTGTCACCCTTGGTGCCTCCTTCTCCCAGGTCAGATTGCCCGGCCAATCTGAGCCATTTCCTGGACATCCGCTTGCTTGGGTCTGAGACCTTGTCGATGCCCGAATATGAAAAACAATGTGGAGATTCTTTGTGGACGGTCCACAGGGTTTTGGATGTGGGCTCGTCAGAGCGTTTCCAACACGCTATGGACATTTCACCGTGCTTGACCCGTACACGGTGCCAGCAGGCAGGCTACTACCTGCCAACAGTGAGACGTCGATTGCTGCCGAAGGAGATGGCACGGCTTCAGGGGGTTCCTCACAAGATTTGCAAAGCTATGCTGAAGACCGAGGCGTCCGAAGGACTTTCTGCCAATGCTACTGCAGCTGCGATCGGCGACGCCATGTCCATAAATATTTTGATGACCGCCATCCAATGCACCTTGGAGTGTGCGGGTTTCTTGCCGAGAAAAAAACGATATTGGGAAATTGTGCCGCCAGGCAAAGAAGCTGCTCAGCTGAGCAACGTGCTTTTTTGACAAATTCACAGGCTGAAACTATCCGCAAAAAAGCCTGCATGCTTTGATACGTTTTTTTTTGGCTGGGAAGCCTTTTGAAACTCTGGTTGCCAGTACATCGGGACATGGGGTTCAGCAGACATAGGTCGTTTTGTTGAGTTTGGTGACATGGAACGGGAGACAAATCAAAACATGTGCAGAGTCATCATGGTTCAAGGCCTGAAAGTGTCAAGTGCAAAGTCCAGTGAGCAAGACGTTCAACTCTGTGGAAACACAGCAGACACACGGTCAGTCAGCTTCAGCGCCGGTCTCATCGCTTTGAATTTGTGTCACTTAGTTGTAGATAGTCCTGTGCCTACTCATGTCGGACCGTGACATTCTTCGGTTTCTTTGGTCCGAAGATGCGCAAGGTGGCAAAGCAGTTGGTCGCGGCTGGGCTGAATGGCGGCAGGAGAAAGCAAAGTTGATGTTGGCTGCAAAGGGTGAAAAGAATGAATGGTGGAGAACAGGCGGGTTGTTGCAAAAGTTGTAAAGTTCAAAAAAGGTTTGTTAAAAGTTTTCTGGAAGTTACAGTTAGAGTGCTCATGCCTGGCCAAGCACAGGTGATGCTGAAGAATGCATTTGGCATGGCAAGCTCTACAAGTGGAGTGCTGCTGCGCTGGCTTGGGAGGAAGTGCCAGCGGCGCCAGAGGTCAAAGTGGAGGAGCCAAACACGGTCCCCGCAAAGAGAAGTAGTGCCCATGTCGTGGAACCTACTATCTTGCCCATCGGCAAGACAGCAACCGCCAGTCAATCCTCCGCCGGAGGCGGAAAGTTTGCCAAGGTCCAGGTGGTGGAGCCTACTATCATTCCCATCAGCTTGACATCTGCTCCCAGCCAGCCGGGCATACCTGCTGCTGCTTCGTCTGCAAGACTTGCGCCAGCCGAGCAGCCAAGTCCTGAGGCTCTTGCGCCGGGGATGCCAAAGGCTGCAGGGCAGCCACCTATGCCTACTGCCGAAGTTTTGCACCCGAAGTCCTTCGAGTTGAAAGCAGGCGAAGCTGTCTTTCAGAATCATTTGTACAAACTGACTCATGAGGGTGACAAATGGATCCGCCAGCGGCCATTGTCGGCCCCGCTAGATGTGACTGTGTACACCAAAACCTTGCAAGAATGGCAAGAAAAGAATTTTCCTGGCTGCCCAGAATTGGTGAGTGCCATAGTAGAATGCTTGGAGGCGAAGAAGCTGCGCTGAAAAAAGGTGATTTAGGGTGGTGCACTGCGAGATGACTGGGAAGTCGGCTGGGAAGCCTTTTTCTCTAGATATGTCAGGCTGGGAAGCTGACGACTGGGAAGTCAATTTGTCAACTCTTTTCGGCGTAGTAGCTTTTTAAAACACGCACACGCACAAAACAGTCATATACAGTACAGGAAATCTTTTTTTCACCTGCACAGCCGCGCAGCGTGATATATTCTACACGTAGACATTTCATTCCCATGATATACTCGCTATATAATAGTAATATACACAATACCTGACACAAGGCACCCGGTATACCGGTAAACGTCGGTAACCCGCTAAACGTCGCGCAGCTCTGGCGCTTCCAGCCCAGACCTGGAACGGGGCCGGCAGAGGAGGCTGTGCGATTCGCACCCAGCTCTCCCGGCTCCAGCCCAGGCTGGAACCGGGAGGTGAGGGTGTGAAAACGGGAGAGGATAGTGTCACCGTTGCAACCGTGAGCGGGCACACTACCTTCTCCCGGTTTCGCACTAGGCTCTCCCGGGTCCAGCCTGGGCTGGAACGGGCAGCCATGATGCATTCCGATCCAGCGACGAAGACCCTTCTTGGAGAGCACCGTTGGCTAAGTCCAGCATCATGCTACTGGAGCTGGTGGAGGACTGACTGTCATATGGGCAAGCATTGGATATTATTGCAAACTTACCCGCGTGCCTGTGAAGGCTCCCCATTCCTAGCCTGGGAAGGCTGACCATTTCTTGCCTTGGAAGGCTCCTTTTTTGCCTGGAAAGGCTCGCTACTTTTTGCCTGGGAAGGCTCGCTGCTTTTTGCCTGGGAAGGCTCACCCCTTTTGGCCTGGGAAGGCTCGCTACTTTTTACCCCTTTTTGCCTGGGAAGGCTCCTTTTTTGTTCCTTGCCTGGGAAAGCTCATCGCTTTTTGCCTGGGAAGGCTCAATTTTTGGAGCCACAGCGCTTCATTGTTTTTGCATGCCAAATATATTTTTCTCGCTTGGTTATTTTTCTTCCTTCATCGTTTTCTGCTTCAAAGGCTTATGATTTTTTGCCTGGGAAGGCTCATCATTTCATTTTAGCCTCCGCCCCATGTCTCAGGAGCTTGTGTACGGACGAGCCTTTGACAACAGCTTGAAGGTATTGGCCAAGCAATCGTCTGGTGTGGATGGACTTTTGGATTATGAAAACATCAAAGAGCCCTGGGAAGCCATCAAAAACCAGATTGCAAACGAAGTTGCGGAGCGCAAAGCCTTGCAAGGCATCGATGGAGCGGCAAAGGTTGACGATGCTTCCGAGGTGGATGCAAGCATGGATGTGGAATCTCTGAGGGCACCGCCATCAGCACATAGCCAAAGCACACCGGAATACTGGCAATCCGTTGCGAACCAGACGGTCCGAACATATGTGACCCTGCTGCCCGAGCCCAAAACCGCAAAGGCCTTGGAGCTTGCCTTGTCACAGTCCTCCCTCAAGGACTGCCAAGCCATCCCTGGCTCCAATTCGGTCGTCATATGGCTTGACTTGGATTTGTTGGGGGAAAGCATGGGGCCAAGCCAACAGCCCCGGCTGAGGAAGCAATTCAATCCCGAGCCCAAGTTGATTCGCAAACTTTTGCATGGAGCCATGTTGGCAAGAGGTGCTACGGAACACAAAAGTTGCCCTGGGGAAGCCACAGTTCCACAGGAGGGGGACATTGTGGCCATTGTGTGCAGCAGCAAAGCCAAATTGAACGACGCCAAGGCAGCCCTGAAACCTTCCACGGCCAGATCAGACGCAGCTCTGGATGCAGAGGACAAGGAATTGCTTTTGACTTTCCATGATGAAAGCGTGCGGGCCAGGAAGAAGCTTGTTCGCGGAAGCGGCAACTACAGCTTGAAGAGCACCGTTTTGCTGGTCACTTCTGCGCCTTTGATTCCTGCTTGCATCCCGGAGCGGCAGTACAAACTCTTCCCGTGCCACAACACGTCGGATGTACTGGGATTCATCCAGGCTTGCCCGCCGGCTGATTTGTGGCACCTGGGAAGGACTGCTTGGTCGGATCTTTGTTGTATTTCGTAGGCCGTAAGCTACGTTTCAAAGGTTTGAACTCAATTTTGCATTTCAATGCCTGCCAGGAGCGCCAAGGAAGAAGTGCTTGGCCCGGACCGCATTTGCAAGATCTCTGACATTGCCCAGGAAAAGAAAGAAGCAGAATCGGAGAAGCAAGGCGATGCATTAGAATCAGTCTTTTCATCCCATTCCCTTCCCAAGGAGTTTTACCAGGATTTTCTGGTCGCCCATTCGGCTCTGGCATGGATTGATTTGGCATGTGGACAGGCTGAATCAGCCAAAGCCTGCCTTCTGGAAAGAAAGGCGTTTGTCGGCGTGACGCTTTCAGAGGCACACTCGAAACGAATTGAAATTCTCTTGACCAACTTCCTCACGGATGAATTCCAAAGGGAGGGATCAACCTTCTACAGACCGGAGGCAGTGGCTGTCTTGGGGAAACCGGAGAACGAGCAGAAGCCTGTGACAGTTGCTCCAAAGCCCAAAAAGGGAACCAAGCGAGGGAAGAAGAAGACTGATGGTGAAGGCAGTTGGCGGGTCTAAAATTTCATGTATCTACATCAGCATCGACCAGAATCAAAATTGCCAGTCTGAATCTGTTTCTCACGACTGTTGACATGTAAAATTACCTTCCGTTTCCCTTGTGCAACTTGTCCCATATAGCAGCTTTGCCGGTTTCCCCATCACAGGCGGCAATGCTGGCGAGGAGTCCGAACCGCCCAAAAAGAAAAACAAGCAGAAAGAGGAGCAAAACTCGGCGAAGGACGAGGAGTCCGAAGAGTCATTGCCATGGTGAACAAGTTCGCCTTTGCCATGCACACCGCGTGTGGCACTTTGACCCATCCAGTGGGCTTGATTTTGAGTTGAGCTGATGAAATTTGATTTTCGCCATGTCTTGCCGAGGGCGGCGAGGCGTCGTGGAGATAATTCCTCTCCAAGCAAGACCTTTCAAAACAGAAAGGCGTGGCAGTTTGAGAAAAAAGCGTGAGCAGTTGTCGTTTTATGGCTGGGAAGCCAATGCTTGAAACAATTTCACGGCTGGGAAGCGAAAGTTCCTTTTTAGAGATGGCTGCAACCATGAAGCATGAAGCTTTGAATCAATCTTAGGTCTTCAAGTCGCCTGACGCCTGTAGCCATATTTGTTTGAAGTCATGATGTTGCCGAAGCGCAAAGCAGTTGCCATGCTTGCGGGGCATGCTGCGGCGCTGAAACCGCCAGACTGGGCCTCGCACGGCTTGGAGATCATCAAAGAAGCCGCTGTTGGGTGCTTGAGGATCGCAACATGCGTCAAGCAGAATGCAGTGTTGCGGAACATACAACTTGTTGCCATCGCCGTGCGCTGCGCCCTTGAGTCAGAGGACATGGATTTTACTTGGCCAGACGTCAAGTCCCCTCCGACGTTCTTCAAACCTTGTCAAGAACTTTGCTCTGACTTGTCCATGATGAGCCGTTGCCGTGAACAGTTTGCTGGCCACAGCCGCAGATTTGTGGAGCTCCATGCATATTTAAAAGCGGCTCTCCAAGAATTGGACGACCCAGTTTTCCGTGCACCTGACAATGCTGAAATTTCAGCCCTAGTTCAGCAGGCTGCAGAGGTGTTCGAAGATTGCCTGTGTTTCCTCACTGGGTTTCAGAAGATGATGATGTAGGACAAACGGATGCTTTGTTGCCGCGGTTTTTTGGAGAAAAGTGGCCAGAGAGTCTATCAGATCTAAATAGCATGAGCTGGGAAGCTCCCCTTGTCATTTCATGGACAACAGAGCTTCTAATCTAACCAATCTTGGATAGGTCGCGAATCTCCATGGAAACGGTTCCCGGATTTCGATGTTGCAGCTGAAAGTTGACTCGCATGGAAAGCTTCCCTTGCTTAGTTGCGCAGCAAACTCAACGTCCCGTCGTTCAGCAAAACATTTGGCTAAATTGCGCCTCACTACTTTTCACTTTTGAGGCATGGAAATCACCGGCGACCAAGCCCGCCCAAGCGCGCCACCATAGCCTGCCCACTCCATAAGCGCCACGCCTGCCACGTGAAACGAAGGTGGATGTCGCCAAGTGCCACGCCTGCCACGCAAGATGACGGTGGATGTCACCAAGTGCCACGCCTGCCATGCAAGATGAAGGTGGATGTCACCAAGTGCCACGCCTGCCACGCAAAGTGCCGCGGCGTCACCGGCGACCAAGCCTGCCCAAGCGCGCCACCAGAGCTAGCCCAGTGCCATAAGTGCCACGCCTGCCACGTGAAACGACGGTGGATGTTACCAAGTGCCACGCCTGCCACGCAAGATGAAGGTGGATGTCGACGCGCAGGCGTGGCACTTCTTGGTGATGTTTAGTGGTTTCCGGGTATCCCAGATGGTTCTCATCTGCAAGGCAACCAGTGGCTTCTCACATTCTGCAGTGTTGCGTCTGCCAGCTGTCAAGACAATTTTTTGGTTTATTACTCCAAACCTGTAACTTTAGGTAGGAGCCAGGAACCACGCACTTTATTTAGTTTCTGGCTGCTTCTTGTCTAGAGGACAGCCTGGTGTGTGATTGATGTCTGCCTGGGCAAGGCACTGTCAAATTTCAAATTCCTTCCTTGAAAGTTTTCACGGCTGGGAAGCCAATTAACACATTCAATTTTGACATGTTTGCAGGATGCTGCTCGAAAGAATTTTCTGTTTAGGAAGTATCCCCCCAAAAAAAAACATGTCTGGGAAGACATTGTTTATTGGCGGAAAAGTGTTTGAAACCGGCCTTGCTTCGCAGCAAGGGGGCTCGCAGGTCACAGGAAGGGACAGAACATGTTTCAAATGGGTTTCCAACAGACATTTTTGCCAAGCCGGCTTCAAAGAAATGTATCATCCTTTTACTTTCAGCACGTTTGTCTTCCTGTTCGGGTCGGGTGCATGTTGAATGGCAACACCTTTCAACTTGAAAGTGCCGCGTGTGCTAGTGAAACTTCAGTCCTCTTGGTGGCACTGTTCCAAGTAAACTTGTGTTTCCTGAAAAACCAACCGCTTTCACCACTGCAAACCCGCAGGGTATACCAAGATACCGCCAAGACAAAGGAGAAGGCACAAGAAGTCCTAAGCGGGCGACAGCCGAGCAAAGCGGGCCGGAAAGAACTCAGCAGCCTTTACGGCGGCACGGCCCTGGATCCCAAGGAAAGGGTCCGCAAGACGGTCTTAAAGAAGGCCCGACGCTTTGCCGGCAAGAGGAAAACAAAGCGATCGACGTCGAGCAGCAGCAAGGGGAGCAGCGGCAGCTCCTCAACCTCGGAATCCCTGGGCCTGGGGACCGAGGGTGTGTTCGCGGAGGAGACAAAGGCTCGGGCAATCTCAGAGAGGTACCCGGGAGCGCTGACAGTGGAGACGCTCCTGAACATGAGACGCTCCCTCTTGACCACCTCAGGCGAGGAGGGGGAGCTGAAGGACACCAGTCCTGTGGCCATTTTGTACTTCCGGAACGTCCTCACCAAGAAGGCAAGCGGTGCCCAAGCCCGAGAGTTGTTGACTCTCTCAACAACGATCGGCGCCCTGTTGAAGGGCCAGCCGGCTCTGGCCCTCGACGTATTGTGCCAGCGGCTGAAGTCCCAGGAACTGGTGCTAGGAGGCACTCACTGGGCAGTTGCCCAGAAAATAGAGCTGGCGGCTGGAGAGGCGCCAGCCCTCATTGCCCGAGGGGAGCTGCAGACCGCCCAGAGAGAGAACTACCTCGAGGCGAGAGCTCGCTGGCAGACCCAGAGCAGCAGCGCCAAGGGAGCCCCAAAGGGGAAGACGAAGGGCAAATTCGACAAAGACCACCCACCACGAGAAGACAGGAAGGAGGATGCGAGGCGAGACAAGGGCAAAGGAGGCGAAAAGAAGTAGCAATGGAGAGGCTGGAGGGAGCCTTACCTATGAGGGCGGCACCGGACAAAGGTGACGCCACAGGTGGAAGTGTGCGGGAGCTGGGCAGTAGCTCCTATGCCACCCCAGGAGTCTTTTTGGCAGGAATTGAGCCGGACCCGGGAGTGAAGATTTTTCCAACGGTCCCAGATGAAGGGGCTGAGTCCCTTGCGGACTTTTCTTCGGGAACGGGAGCGCAACCGCGGGCCCACTTCGGACCTGACGCTCCGCCATTTTTTCCTCATCTAGGGCTGGACTGACTTTTAAACACCAGGGCCATCCGATCGAGACCCCACGCCACTGCGCTGGGAAACATCCAGGATTAATTCAACAAGGGACGGAAAAGAGTTTGGGTAACCTTGAGGGTTCTAGGATGGTGGATTTAGGGTTGAGGGTTCAGCAAATGCTGCTGGAGGTTTCTTCACTCCGCAGCCAGTCCATGGGTAGGAGAAGTAGGTCTTCCCTGTTTCCCCTACCTTCCTCTAGCAGCGTGCTGTCCTCTACCTTCCCCCACCTGACGGTATGTGAAGTTGCGTGGTTGTCATCCGTTTGTTTGAGCCTGAACACTCTGTGGGGTGATGGGCACGACTTTTGCGGTGAAGTCTCGCCATTGGTTAAAGCGTGTCTGGTATGGATTGTGGGGGACGTCCAGCGCATTGCTGCGCTAGAAGGGCGCTTGGAAGTGTTCGATTGGGACCACTTCTTCTCAACTAGGAGCATCGACTATAAGGGAGACGAAATCAAAACAGCTAGGGAGTTCACGTGGCAGAACATAGCACCTGCGTTGCCTAAAGAAATAGGTCGGGTGCCCTTAGCTGACGTCTGTACCTTAGGATCAAAGCACTATGTTGAAAACCTGGATCTCTACATCCGCCCACCTGACCGCTGGGAGCGGCACCGGCCACCCCGGGTAATGGTGCCCGAGGCTGCGTGGCCCGATGTGTGCCAGGGCTTGGTGTCTACGGGCATCTGCACACTTCTTCGGGCCAATGAAGTCTTTCAGGTGGACGGCAAACCCCTACTCAATGGCCTATTCGGGGTCAGCAAAGACGAATGGTCGCAAGGCCACGAGGTCTATCGTCTCATTATGAACTTGGTGCCCTTTAATGGCATTGCAGAGTCGGTGAAGGGTGATGTTGACACGCTCCCGGCGTGGAGCTTGATGTCCCCCTTCTACCTGCAACCAAGTGAGACACTGCTGATCAGCAGCGAAGATGTCCGCTGCTTTTTCTACACCATGTCGGTCCCGACCCCATGGTACAAGTACATGGCCTTCAACCGAAGAGTGCCGGACCAGTGCCTTCCTTCAGAGATGCGAGGCGAGGAGGTCTACTTGGCCTCTAAGGTACTCCCTATGGGGTTCGCCAACAGTGTCAGCTTGGCGCAACACGTGCATCGCAACCTGACACTGTGGAGTCAGGAGCACGTTGCGGGTGAGGCCGCTGGCGTGGCAGCACCTGAGGCCGAAATCCGCAAGGATAGGCCGGTCACCGTCGCAAATCCATCATGGCGGATATACCTAGACAATTATGACCTCTTAGAGAAAGTGAAAAGCGTCGATGTCGCCACCCTGACAGGGAGCTTGGCTCCTGCGGTGTTGGCGCTCCGCCAGGAGTATGAGGTCTGGGAAGTTCCCAGAAATTTGAAGAAGGCAGTCCAGCGTCAGACAGTGGCTGAGGTACAGGGAGCTCAGGTGGATGGCAATTTGGGGGTAGCGTATCCCCGTGAGAACAAGCTCCTGAAATACGTGGCGGCCACGTTGAAGGTCCTGACGTCGCCTGTGGTCACACAGCGCCAGATGCAAGTCGTCTGCGGAGGCCTGGTTTATGTCTCCATGTTCCGTCGTCAGCTTTTGGGCTGCCTGAATGAGGTGTGGAAGTTCATTGAGTCCTTCAACGATTCATCGCGCCAAGCGCTACCGCTTAGGCTTTCGGTACATTGTAAACTTGAGCTCATCAGGTTTGTGGGACCCATCCCCCTCGCACGTCTGGACTTCCGCCTGGATTATCACCCGGTGGTGACGTGTAGTGATGCCTCCTCCCAGGGTGGTGGCATTTGTGCCTCGGCAAATCTGAGCCGGGCAGGTCACCTGGCCGCACATGGCAAGCTGCGTGGCCAGTTGCCTGAGCTGCGACAGGAGCACCGTGTTCTCACGGTTGGCCTGTTTGATGGCATCGCCGCCCTTCGGGTAGCCGCAGACTTGCTGGGCTTGGAGGTTTTGGGCCACATCAGTGTTGAAAAGGAGTCAACCGCCCAGCGCGTTGTTACTTCACACTTCCCCGAGATCAAGCACATCACGGATGTGGCCGCAGTCACAGAGGCAGAGGTTCAGGGCTGGGCCGTGAGTTTTCTCAGGCCTCCCTCGTGCTGATCGGAGGCGGACCACCCTGCCAGGGTGTGAGTGGCCTTAATTCACAGCGCAAGGGTGCGCTCCGTGACGAACGATCCAGCCTTTTCCCGCATGTTCGCCGCATTGGAACCTGGTACAGCGCCACTTCCCGTGGTGTCAGGTTCATTGCATCATGGAAAGTGTAGCCTCCATGGACGCTCAAGACCGCGACATTATGTCCGCTGACTTTGGCGACAGCCCGTGGTACTGTGATGCCGGGACGCTTACGTGGACGAGCCGACCTCGGCTCTATTGGATTACCTGGGAGCTTCAGGGCATGAAAGGGGCTTCTCTCTCTGATGGGAGCAGCGGCGCTCCTCGGGAGGTCAGGCTTGAAGCTTACCAAGATTTGGAGGAGGTGTGCTGTGAAGGGTGGATCAAGGTGGATCCCTCACGGCCATTTCCCACCTTCACCACAGCACGCCCAAGGGCCAAGCCGGGACACAAGCCGGCAGGGATTCACACCTGCAACTCGCAAGACTTGGAACGGTGGGTGGCAGACCGTTATCGGTTCCCCCCCTATCAGTACACTTCCAAGAACCTCCTGGTGAACAAGCACGATGTCTTGCGGTTGCCCACCATTGAAGAGAAAGAGTACATGCTCGGCTTCCCCGTCGGGTACACTTCCAGCTGTTCTCCGAAACAGCTCCGAGGGACCACGGCTCATGCCGACACCAGACACACTCTGGTGGGAAACACGTGGAGCGTTCCCGTTATCGCTTGGTTCATCAGTCAACTGTGCGGTCCTCTCGGATTGTGCCCCCTATACACGCCTCAGCAAATTGTGGATTTCCTCAACCCCGTGCACCAGACGTTCCTGCAATCGCGTCTCTGGCGAGCGCCTGTCAGGCCACTGCGGGGACCGGCCCCTGCAGCCTCGCCAAATCTAGTGGCACAGCTCGGGCAACTGGTGAGCGTGAAGGGTGAAGATATTCTCCTCACCGCCGCTTCTAGCCAGTTAGTAAAGTTCCACCGGCTGCGCGCGTCTGTCCCCGCTAGGTTGTGGAAGTGGAAAGTGATCAGCGGGTGGAAATGGAGGGGCTCGCCAGAACACATTAACAGCCTCGAGCTTCGTGCCGTGCTGACGTCACTCAAATGGCGAATTCAACATCAGAAACAAATCAAATGCCGATTTTTACACCTGGTGGACTCATTGGTTGTCCTGCACGCAATGGCTAGAGGTCGCTCTAGCAGCCGCAAGCTTCGCTCTACCCTCTCCCGCATCAATGCCCTGCTGTTGTGTAGTTCCAGTCAAGCCCTGGTGGGCTATGTGCACACGGATCAAAACCCGGCGGATCGCCCCAGTCGATGGGGCAGCCGGGTCAAGTCGAAGTTTAGGAATGCCTAAAAGGCACCTTGAAGGAACTACACAATCAGACAGGGCAAAACAGCGGCAAAAATTAGGAAGCTTGCGTGAACTGACGGTGCAGCCGGCAACCAAACAACGTTACAATCGAGCAATTGACAAATTTCTGGTTTTTCTCCACGATAACGGCCTGCGGCTGCCCAATCGTCGCGATCAGATGGATACCTTCGCCTGCGATTACCTTGAGCACCTGTGGTCTACAGGGCAAGGCAGGGCACTGGCCAGCGATACAATAGCTGGCCTGCAGGACCAAGATGTGCGCTTGCGGGGGCAGCTGCCAGGTGCATGGCGTTTGTTGTTTGTTGAAGACATGGTCTCAGCATGAGATCCCGTGCCGTGCACCGCCGTTGCCGGCTCATGTCTTGCATGCCATGGTAGGTTGGGCTATATTCCACCAGCGTTTCACTTTCGCAATTTCACTATTGATCGGCTTCTATGGAATGCTCAGAACCGGTGAGATTATTGGATTGCGAGGGTCACACATCTTGAGTGACAGCCGCAGTAACAAGATCCTCATTTCCCTTGGCCTGACCAAAGGTGGTAAACGCCACGGAGCCGCCGAGTCTGCGGTCATTGGGTATGATCTTGCGGTTCACTTCATTCAACATTGGAAGACTCTTGCCACTCCATCCACCCCTCTCGCGGTCAATCCAGGCCAATGGCGCTCTCTGTTTAATGATTCTTTGGCTGCCTTGAAGATGTCACATATGAACTTCAAACCATACAGTCTACGCCGAGGTGGCGCTACTTGGTGGTTCTCTAAACATCACAGCCTTGACAAGATTCTGTTGCAGGGACGTTGGGCAGCACCCAAAACCGCGCGTATTTACTTGAATGAGGGTCTGTCCATGTTGGCTGAAATGGTTCTTCCCCCTTCCCATCCCTCCCTGGCTCCTTTTCTCCATGTCTTTCTCCAACACCGTTCCCGTCTCACCATCTCCACACTTGAGCCTTCTGTCCCAGAAAGGGCAGGGGGCCGTGGAAAGAAAGTTACCAAAAGATCTATGAAGAGATCTTCGAATAAGCGTCCTGGACGCCAGAAGGGCAAGTCAAGAGGAAAAAGTCAGTGGCCTACCACGGCCGGGCGGGAATGTTTGGTTTGGCTCATTCTCGCTCGAATCTCTTCTATGAGTTGCTTTGGGTTTGGCCTGGCAACTCTTTCACTCATTCCCGATTTCTTACCTAAGCGTTTGTCTTAGGTATCCCTTTTATTTAACAAACTTGCTGCGGAGTGGTTATTAAAAAGAAGGTTTGTGCGTGCTCTTTGTCTCCACGTCCTCGGGGGTAAAGAGTAGCTGACCTTCTTTCTTATATAACTGTAGTGTTTGGCTCTTAGCCCCCCCCTCCCTTCTTTTTTCTGTCTCCCTGGCTAAGAGTTCCTTCACTGGACGGAAAGAAAGTTACCAAAAGATCTATGAAGAGATCTTCGAATAAGCGTCCTGGACGCCAGAAGGGCAAGTCAAGAGGAAAAAGTCAGTGGCCTACCACGGCCGGGCGGGAATGTTTGGTTTGGCTCATTCTCGCTCGAATCTCTTCTATGAGTTGCTTTGGGTTTGGCCTGGCAACTCTTTCACTCATTCCCGATTTCTTACCTAAGCGTTTGTCTTAGGTATCCCTTTTATTTAACAAACTTGCTGCGGAGTGGTTACTAAAAAGAAGGTTTGTGCGTGCTCTTTATTTTTATGCTTCTAGGGTGGTTCTTGGGAAAAATCCTCCAACAACTCCAAATTGACCGTGATCACATTTAATGTTGTCCGACATGTTTCAAGAGCATCGGGTCCTTTCTTGTGAGAACTGCCAGCCAAAGCCAGAGGGGTGGAAGTATAATCAACATGAAGGGTACTGAGAGGGATAGATCCAAGGCTGGTATGGTTTGAATCGTCTAAGGGAAGGATCATGAGATGTCATGACACCAAGTCCAAGTGTAAGAAAAAGTAGGCGTTTTCACTAGTAAAGAAAAAACAATATTTTCTGAGAAAAACATTTTGTTCATAACTGAAGAAAAACCGGGTTTTTGGAAAAATACCTACAAATTTGTGAGTTCTTGATGCGCTAGGTATATATGTGTAGATATATGATGGCCCATATGAATCAACAAAATTATCAACAAAACGGAGATGTGTTGATGATGGTTCCATTCTCCCATTTCCTGGCACTCAAAAGATCAACCCTGATACTTGTTGATGCAACAGAAAAGGACAAAAAAAAACCTGTATGGCTCCATTGATATCCCAAACGGCTGGACCCATCAGCCCGATCAGCCATAAATAAGAACCCAGTGAAGATTCGCAAAAACATTTCCACTTAATGAACCAATTATCCAATTACTTTTCATGGTTAACAACTAAATAAATTGGTTTGATTAACACTTAGTTGTACATGTTGTTTTTCCGAAACACAAAGGCCTAAAAAATCCAGAGTTTCATTGTGATTTTTGCGTATATAAATATAAAAGGATTTATTTTGAATATGTCCCATGTCCAGACAAAGCCACCTCATCATTGATGTTGGTTTAAATAATTTGTGGACTGGTAAAGGTTACTTATTGAGAAATTGATTTTAGTATGCCATGCCAACCATTAATCTGATTATTCCTCATTGATTTGAACCGCTCCGAGTCACGCTTTTAGCCGGGCCAGCCGAGTTCCCCACAGGATCCCAATGCCGTGGAACTCAGACAGCAGATGAATGAGGCCCAGATGCGCGGCGGTGTTGAATAGGGTTTTCAGAAGGTAGCAATTTGCAGTTGGGGGTTACTTGAGTCATGGAGGACCCCCAAGTGATGGGTTTCAATACTAATTCATGGTCCAATTTGGATGATTTGGTGCTCCCATGACTTAGGAAACATCCAATTGATTCGAGATGTTGGGATTGTTTTGTTACTTTCACATACTTTCAGCAGCGCTTGATTTGAGATCTTTATGATGGCCCAGGTTGTGGGAATTCCTCATTTTCTTATCTGGGCTATCAGATAGGTAACCAGCCGCATATACTCATCAATTTAAATCAGTTTGTTTGTCTTCGAGGTATTTGGAAGAGGAATGTCAAAAAATGGTTTACTTGGACTTCATGAAAAGAGTAAGGAACGATTTGGATTTATCCCAGAAACAATAGAAAAAAAACAATTTCATTAAAAGCATGGTTAGAGACAATCGACTAATCTTTTGGGGGGCTGTCCTAGTCGGCCTCGTGTCCTTGAAAGCGCTGAATCAGGAAAACAAACAATCAATGGATTAGTTCAAGGGAAAATTAGCAGAACACCATTTTTTTTGCCATCAAATATATAGGTTTCCTGTATTGTTTCGTGAAAACCATCCATGGAAACATTACGCAAATCAAACAGCAGCAACTAGTCGCTAGTCTCTACGTATCCCTTCTTGCTGTTGGTGATGCTGTTTTAACAGTGGTCGTTGCAACTGATGGTTTCTCTGCTTGGCAAGACAAGATATCATCAAATACTCATGACAAAAACCATTGCCCATACAAAGTTGTGCCCCCGCCCCCCAGTTCTTCGTGTTGGTTGCTAAACCCGTTTAATTAGCTCGATACATAATGATACATCTACCATCGTCTACCCATAAATCCAACAGTTATGTCAGTTATTTCAACCAAGGTAGTAAACGAACTGGGGCACCATCTTGTATAGTCAATATCCACTCGTTTGATCAAGGTCGATCATGTTCCCAATGGCATCAAATTGCCACAGTATTATATATGACATATATATATATATGCATACATATCATACATATACATATTATCATTTTAATCTAAGATATTGGAATTCCCACTATTTATATATATATATATAAATCTTACATACCCCATAGGATCCATGGTGCTGCTATATATGGTAACATGGATCCCATCAATATACCCCCTTTATGTTAGCATATATAGCAGCACCATGGATCCTATGGGTACCGCTTTCCACCACCAGGCTGCGGTGAAGGTGCAGGCCCTGGAGCGAGGACGCAAGGCCCGCAAGCAGGTGCGGAGCGACATGGAGCGACTGCGGTGGCCACATAGATTGGTTGAGTTTGGACATCTACAAGGTGGTGCCCCCAAGATAGCGTTCAGTTGGTGAACATAACTCCAATGTCACTATGGTTTATGGTACGCAAATAACTATAGTATTCATGGGGTGAATCTAAACCAACAAACATAACTGGGGGGCACCACCTTGTACAGTTGAAACCATGGGATTTTTGACCATCTTTATCATTTTTTTTTGGGGGGGGTTGGATAGGTTTCAATTTTCCAAATGGGACAACAGATTGAAAATCATTTAAATGTATATTAAATATATTAATGTTTAGCATGATTTTGTCTTTTTTGTGCGAGGTGATGGTCATTTTTTTCCAGATCTTAGTGTTATTTGTTTGAAAATCAACGAATTTCTTAGGCTCAATCAGCAGTTTTTCAGGCTGGATCGCCTCTCAACGGTTGGTTTCCATGGCTGATTGGTGAGCCATCCCAAGTTTTTCGTGAAGTTCATTAGGCAAGTGTGGTTCTCTGAAAATAAGGTACCGCCAAATTTCATGGCGTTTGATGGTTTAAATCATGACTCTCCCCATTTAAAATGGCCACAGATGGTGGGTATAGCCCATGGGGCCCATGGACTGCCGCAAGGTGGCTTCTGAAGCGGTGCTGCGCGGCCTGTTTGCCCCAACAACCAGAAATATATTGGCAGTTTCACTATGACACAATGCCTGCACAACAAATGGTTGTTTGGGGAAACCACCATTTATTTCTGGTTCTGGTTCCAGGATTGTGCAATTATACATAAAAAAACATATATATATATATAATAGTATAATTCCATGGGGAAAAAACCTGGCTAAACTAGTGAAACCAACAAAAATGGTGGTGTTTTGTTTTTTGGTTTCCATGCCTGCGCGGAATAAGATGTTGATTCGACCAGTTGCACCAAGCATAACTCGGGTTTTGGGATGATTCCATGGAACATCAGCATGTTTAACGAGTACCACAAATCATAAATGATCTATACATGTGCCATGGATTCCGTAGCTATATCAGATAGCCGTATCGGGTATCCTAAGCTGTCATATCAATGGCCATGACTCAGGATCCGATTTTTTGGAGGTACCTACCATGTATAAGGCCTATATAAGGGCTATGTAAGGGGATATCCCCCCAAAATATGGCCTTATATGGTACAGTACCTCCATTTTAGGATCCTGGAATTCCCATTGATCATATGAAGATTTTGAAGTCATAAATGAGGATCATTCCACCATCAATCCCAAGCAGTCCTCGAGACTTCACAAAATTCACGCCAGGGCAGTAGCAAGCACGGCTCCTCTCGAGGACTGGATCCATGATCAAAGATCTGTTGACTACTCCAGCTAGATTTTACTATAGGTGAGTTTACCATAGGTAATAACTATGATGATATAAACATGTGGATGAGTTTAACTCCAAGTTCATCTAGTCTAAGATGAATCACCTATAGTTCTACCATAGTTTTAACTATAACTACTCCAAGTATAACTATGGTAGAACTATAGGTGATTCATCTACCAAGCCGCGACGAAACGACGAAACGTCGTTGCTTGGGGGTTCCGCGTCCCCATGGTGTCCAGTTTCACCAATGTTAGTCGAAATGGCCATGGAAAATCACCATTTTTAATGGGTACCCTCTGGTAATTTAACGTAGCTATTGAAAATTGCCATTTATAGTGGATTTTCCCATGAAAAATTGTGATTTTCCATAGTTATGTTAGTTTACCAGAGGGTAAATCTGGGAAATTCTCACATGGTTTTCGAAAGATAAAATTCAAATGGCACGTCCTCTCTTTTAAATTTAAAAACCCAAAGTTATGATCAGACAGATCTCGCCGAAATCAAGCCCTTTGCATCCCAGCTGAAATCATTATGGTCACTGGGAATCATGGTTGTTTTCAGGTTAGTGAATTATGATAATTTACCCATAGGCCCATATATATATATATATATCCTATCCGATTGTATAATTCCATGCTGCAGCAGATCTATATAAATATATGATATACTATATATATATATACTGTATACATATATCTTATCCCATGCTCTAATTCCCAACCATATGACCATATCCCAGTAAATCAACATCATATATGTTCCTCATCCCCAAAAATTGTTTCATTTTTCACAACAGAAACACAACCAGAGGAGAGGATCAGCAGCAGTCCCAGCACTTCGTTACCTCTGTGACATGGCCTTTTTGTAACTGGCAGAACGGGAAGAAATGGGGCTGTCCTAAAATGCTGAGACAGTATCTACCCCAATAGCTTGGTGCTTTCTCATGGAACATCCGAAAATCAAATGGATGATGATGATGATTTGGGGGTACCCATATCTTAGGAAACCTCTGGGGACTTAGACCCCCTTATGAAATCGATCAACCTGGGGATTTCGAGACCGTTTCATGAAGTCCCCACGTTAGAATCCATAGTACGAGGGGGAATATCAGACACACGATTTGACCAATGAGAATGGGTATCTCTATGTGCTAGGTATATCAGTGGTATATATTGGGTTATAATATGGGTAACATTAAATCCGGTTTGTTTGAAAACAGGGGTACTCCTCGAATTTGATGGTTTCTCATGATTTTCCCTCTTAAAATGGCTTGAAAAATCCATATTTCTAGTTTTTAAGGCATCCAGGATCCCTCCAAACAGAAAGAAGAAACCGGTCTTTCCAGGGTGTGAAAAAATATGTTTCCCTTACAATTTCCAGGTTTCCAAGTCTTCTATCATGATATATTGTCATGCGGAAAACACACCAGTACTTCGCTACAAAACACGGAAATCACTGTAAAAAACATGATGTGATGGTGATGGCTAGGAATAGGACTTTATGAACGGGTTTGATGGAATAGGTGATACATCATGTTACATCCACGTTATTGATGCTACTCTTTGTGTAAATTCTTATATATATATATATCCTTGGTCAAGTATCAATATCAACGATATAAACTGCATTTGTGGAAGATTACAAGTATAAGACATATCTACTCTCTAGGTCCGTCCTCTACTGCGCCCGCACACTCCTAGGTGGCTGAGGCTGCCAGCAAGCTGAAAAGGGACATCGTTTCCCAGGGTCGATGCAAGCTATGCAGCCACAGCCAAGTCCGGTGCGACGTATTGGGCCATTGCGAACTCGCACCTCGTTGCAGCATCAGCCAGCGCCGATGGGAAGCCGACGCCGATGGTGCCAAAAGCATCGCCATGTAGTGGACGGGTCACGGACCTAGGAGTGACCGTTGCAGAAGCACTGGAGCAAAATCGGAGGTTAATTATCAAAGCTGGAGCTTTTATTGTGTGTTAGATTGAAAGTTTCAATAAGTTTCACATCGCCGATGTTGAGACTTATTATTGTGGATGTCATTACATATAATTATCAAGGATATGTTGCTTCACAACGTGGATGCTGATATTTGTTTGTGGAGATGAAATATACATTTATTTCGTGGATTGAATCGAACCCCTCCTCAGTTTCATGAGGATTCTGGCATGATCACTCTCAAGCAACTAGCTTTGGGGATAGCTGCTAGCTATTTGGGGCTGGCCAGGGATTTTGCATCCATGGTGGCTGGTAACCACCAAGCACCAACCGTTGGATAATAGGGAATAGGGGTCAACTGAGCACTACTAAATTCATTTGGGAAAAACCTATTAAAACTTGGACTGATACTTAGTAGTGTATATTCCTCCATATCCTCGCTACAATCTAGCCTGGCGTTTGGAAATCGTGTTCGTTTTATGGGAAACTCGTCTATATATAAAGTTGCAAGCCAAGACTTGCATTGTTTTAATGTGTCTCATGTTCTTACTGTTCTTCGCAGAAACAAAATGCAGCAATTTTTATTGGTGCTGTATGAGCTACAAGCTGGTGCCTCCCAGTTAGACATTGTTTTGCAAATCGATTAGATCCCATGAAGTCATACGTTTCAGGCTGTTCCACCATCGAATAAACAAATCACCATTTCTCCCATAAAAAATAAGTCACTGAAGTCACCTAAAATATCAAAAATGATGACCATAAAATATGGTAATATTACCCACAGACGCAGTGTGTGTTGCCCAGACATTAACGTTGAGGATGTATGAGGATGTTACAGAAGATACTGCATATACGCAGTGTTTTCTTTAAGGTTTTAGGGTTTTAGGTTTGAGGGTTTTAGGGTTTAGGGCTTAGGGTTCGTCGTTTGAGAAATCTCAATATACACTGGCCCTGCGCAGGTGTTTGAGCATGTTGAAGGATAATGCTTAAACGCTATTTGAACCTTCCGGGCAACACACAGCGCCTGGCCGTAATATGATGTAATAGTGTAATATTTACAATGCTCATGGTAGTTGAATGTAATTAATATCTACAATCACTACCCTCTGGTAATTTGTTACATAGCTATTGAAAATGGTCCATAGAAATTGTTGATGTACCTATCAAAGATGGTGATTTTCCACAGCTATGTTAGTTTACCAGAGGGTATTTATCATCACCACTGTTGGTTTTCACCCTGAAATATGTCGCCCAAGGTCTCCGACGCCCCGGCTGTCTCCGACGCCCCGGCTGAGCCGGAAACACCCAAGACACCCAAGGCACCGAAAAAACGGGGGCGGTGAGGTGAGGTTCCCCCGGGCACGGAAAGCAAGTGCCAGAAAATTCGCAAAGTTATGAGAATTTCATGGGATTTGTTGGGATTTAACTGATTTAACTATGGAAACTGATGATTTATGATGATTTCAAGGTGATTACCTGAGAAACATGGTGATTTGATGCTGATGTCCATGAGATTTGACGATGAACAATGGTGATTCAGTGGTGATTGGCTGAGGAAACAACGATGATATGATGATATTTAAGCAACATACCCGGAGGGAAGTTAATGGTATGATTCAACCAAGAGAAAATATTAGGTCCATTTGGATTTCACCAAACTTGGATACAAAACCCAACACCAATAATGACTTGGGAGGATGATCATGAGATGGACGAAAGCCCAGGATGGTAAATAGATATGTTTTCAAACTATCCATGAAGTCAACCGGCAAAAGCGTGTGATGATTTTTACGGCACCAACATGTGCACTTGAAAATTACCAGCAGCTCAACTCCACAAAACAGCCAGGAAATGACCTATGATGATGCTACCAGGTTTTTGCAGGTATATTTCTGGTTGGTGGTTTGGATATGTTTGGATCATTTTTTATGTTCCCCAATAGTTGGGATGATGATCCAATCTGACTATATATTATTTTTCAGAGGGGTTGAAACCACCAAATATATATATATATTATATATATGTGCGGTTCATTCATGCAGATACCCTGAAAGTAAGCATTAACTTGAGTCAAAGTAAAATTCTGCAACTCACGTTGTTTGTGAAAAATACAGATTTTATGTCTAGCCCCGGTAGTTCACCAACGTCAGTAGTGGTAGTAGCTCATAGTAGCTCCCAAGAGCGATGAACTCACCTGGGGCTCAATGTTTGTACACCATGTCCCCAGATTTCGACATGCTACAGTTTGATACACCATTTGTGGCTATTCAACATAGCCTATTGAATGGTGGTTTGGAACATGAATGGATTATTGCTTTAATTTTTCCCATCATATTGGGAATTTCATCATCCCAACTGACTTTCATATTTATCAGATGGGTAGGTATACCACCAGCCAGGCGATTTTTTGAAAAATAGCATAGCTATCAGACTTTTGTTTAATTTTACAATGTGATGCATAGCTATTTGACACATATTCATTTGAGACACATCAGGCTATTTTTTGAAAAATTGCATAGTTCCACCAGGTGATTTTATAAATGTATGGTATATATATATATGTATATATGAATATCTATAGACACATGATGCATAGTTCCATATGTTGGGATGATTTATGATATTTCACTGTGATTTACCCCAAAAAAACACGGGTGATTTTTCACCTCGCCAAGCCGGCGACAGGTGGAGAGAAGCCACTCCGCCGAGGGATCGGAATCGTGGTGAGATCATGGCGGTGGTGGTGCAATCATGGTATATTTCTTCGCTGGTTGGTGGTATAACCATAGGAAAACCATAGGAAAACTATGGGATACTGGTGGTAAGATAGATAAAAAAGATAGACACAAATATATAAGTTAGATTGGTAGATTGAATATATACATTTATGTATACTGGTTGCTGGTTTGGAACATGACTTTCAGGACTGTCCATTTAGTTGGGAATAATAATCCCAACTGACGAACTCATTTTTTTAAAGAGGGGTTCACACCACCAACCAAATGGTATGTATACATGTATACATGTATATATATATTATATATATATATGTGCTATAATGCTGCTACACTTGTGGTACAATGTTTTTTTTTAAGGGTGGTACAATGGTGGAGAGTAGACCCTTCTCAGGAAATGTCACATCAGTTTCTTTAAATGTGATCTCAGCAAGACCGATGCAGAACTTGGTTCAGTTTCTGCTTCGCGATGATGGCAAGTCCCCATGCTCCATGATGCTCCATGTGTGGATGTCTTTTTATCGACTTCCGTTCAAACATTTACTGTCCAAAAATGACCCAGTCATCATGGTACACACACAGACGGATATATATATATGTATATATCCCTATGGATCCAAGTACCTTCTTAGGAAGTGTTTGGGGTATGATTTGGGGGGTGATTTGTATCTTCTCAGGAAGTGTTTGGATCCATAGGGTATAGATAGATAGATAGATAGATAGATAGATAGATAGACCAACTCCGGTTGCGGCATGGGACCGATGTTTTTTCTCATCAAGGATGACGAAGCTGGCTTCGGCGAGGTGCTTTGCAACAAAACGGGCCATGAGTTGGATCGATTGGCTTCAGAAAGGCTGAAATCAGTGGCTGAAATCGATGGTTTCATGGTTTATGGTGATTAATAGCAATTTTAATAGGGATTTAATGATGATTTCATGGGATTTAACTAATGTATGGTAGATATGACAAACCACCCATGACTGGGAATGGTTTATACCACCCTTAAAAATGGTGATTAACCATAGTGAAATTGGAGTTATGTTCACCAACTTAGCTATCTTGGGGGCCCGCATTGTATTAAGAGTCCTATTGACTATAATGTGGTTAAAACAATGTCATAAACCATCCATGGCTGGGAATGGTAAACATACCACCCATAAATTGATGGTGATCATTTGGGGATTGTTTATGGCATTGTTTTAACCACATTAATAGGGTTTATGAAGCAACTTATAACTGGGGGGCACCGTCCTGCAGGTACCTATCGTGTCATTGATAGGAAAATTGCCCATCTTGGCAATGGAAAATTGCCCATTCATCGATGATTTTCCCCATGAGAGCTCAGAATTTTAGAGGGATTTCTCATTGCCATGTTTGATGACCAGAGGACATTTCCATTGTTTGTCTTGGATGGAACCTCATAGTGTAATAATATGTCATAATTCTGTTGAACCCTCATCAAGATCATTGAGACTCGTGACACTGTACTGTCAACCCAAGAGGAGTAGATCCAACTCATTAATTTGTGGGTGGCCTCATACAGTGACAACTGAGCCATTAAACATACCCTTTTTGGTTGAGTATTGCAGAAGGTTCTGTCAGCAAGTTTCGTATGGATTGTGAGAACGGCCATAAACGAGGCAACCAGTATAATGGGATGGGACAAGTGTATTTTTCATGGCTCAACAATTATGGGTAAATGTTCCATTTTGGGGATTTTGAACATCACTTTCAAGTATCTTTTGGATATTATATCCCCAATATGTTGGTGATGTTCAAGTAGGACATTTACCAGCCCCTGTTCATGCAAACAGTATGGCCTGTATTTTCCGCTGATATCAGTAATCCTGAAATTGGCAGGATTTGTTTGCAAGACATCCCAATTTTGAGTGGTAAATAGACCCCGCAAATCCTGCATCTGAAATTTGCCCAAATATTTAAACTTAGATGATACACATATTTTTTTGCATAAATGTGGGCTCATATACAACTGAAGTCCGAATGAAGTGCTACCTATATCATATGTCTAAATTCCAAGCCATTTTTCATTGGAATTGGTGGGGAAATCTTCACCGGCAACCATGTTTTTTTTTACCATGGGGTTTTCAATGATCCAATGGGTTCTCCGGTTCCAATTAAAATTTACCATTAAGATCATGGGGAACCCAATGGGTTTTCATCTTTTCCATTCAGATCATGGGGCTTTTCCGGTTCCAATTTCGCTCCTTCGGCGGAACCGTGGCTTCCGTGGAGGATGAGCTCTCGCCCGTGACCCCGGCCATTACCATCGTGCAGCCCACCGGCGGCGAAGGGGCGTCCCATCCTCCTTCCGAGCAGCCGGGGGGCCTCAGTTTGAAATCCATGGAGGTTTAGTGACCAAGACTTGGTTGGATACTACTGGTTAATAAGGGGAATCATCCCCAAATGGCCTTCATTCAGGTTAGTGAAATATTATAATTTGCCCAGATACTAGATATTTTGATATATTTTGGCATATGGTTCAGCAAAATGGGAAGGTAGCCTGCAAAAGTCAGAACAAAAATCTATTTTATCATATTTCATTGCACAAAGATGTAGGTTTAAGATGGTTTAACCCAAAACAGATCGGGATTTGACCTGTGGAAAAGTGGAATTTGAAGTTCGCCATCGAGTTTGGAGCAGCAAAAGCATGAACTTAGGGATGCGCATCTAAAGAAGGGTCATAGGTTCATACGTTACAACAGTTATAACAGTTATAACATACATATATATATATAATTATATAACCCACATTTTGGTCGGTAAATTCATGTTTCATCCGCGAATTGTCCAAAATGGGATGCCAAGTTCCGCCTCATGGTCAATCATCATCATTTTCCCCTTAAGATTGCAACGGTGCAACGCAACTTTTTTCCGTCCCCATAAATCTGTGACAAACCCATCGAAAAATTGTTGGTTATCTCAGTATATCCATATCATGGGTCAGATTTGCATCACTTTTTACGTAGTTTTGCACGTTGAACCAGTGAAACAAGCAAATATGGCATGTCGCACTTACTCCCCGTTCTGGACTATGGGTAAAGGCTGCTATAGGTTCATCATATTGCCAATATCATGCTGTTTGGGATTTTCTGTATATATAATTATTAGTTATAATATATACAAATATATATATATATAATTATGTATGTATATATATATATAAACATATGTGCGATGGTCAAACCTTTTGCAAACTGCCGATGTTGCGGGATGGTCTCAATCCATTCATCCAATGGGATTTGCCCATGACTGGCCCATGACACCAATTCTGGGGATGACCATACCCCAGATGACAACATGATATTTACTTAAGATCATTCTGTTTGAGTTGATTTTAGGGTCTAATTATAGATCATTCAAATCCATCGATGACCTATGGGTACCATACTGGTTTCTGAAGGCAATACCCCTATCCCATCTCATGAAATACTAGTTGGTTCATAGGTGTCCCTACCATAGGTTGTTATAATATGTTATAATCCCCAATAAGCCAGGTAGTATAAGTCCCATTTCATAGCCAACCAAGAATTTTGTTATCTCATGTTTTATCTCCATGGTTGATGATTAAAACTTAAAACCCACATATTTTTCCATGTCATCACCAATCAACCATCATTCATCAACTATATCCCTATGTTTCATCATATTTCATCGTTAAAAGTGAAGGCCCCTCCAAAAAAGGACCATGATTTATATTGAACAACAATGCCCTATGGATCCAGTCTCACTTCGAAGATACAAATCACCCAATCATCATACCCCAGTCACACTTCCTAAGCTACGGCTGGATCCATAGGGATGAAAATCCCTACGTTACCCGCCTTTCCCAGCAGGAATTCGCGGAGGACCTCGCGGAGAACTTCCGAGGCGCCTCCGCGAAGACCATGGCGATTCCGGATTTCATGGGATTGAACCATTTGAACTAGTCATATGCATATATTATATATATGTATATAGTTATATATATATATGCATATTTCAGCAACAGAAATGGTGATTTCAAAAAAGGGATTGAGTAATCCAATGGGATTTTGGGTTCTTTTTCTGGGATCATCCCGCGAAACTGATCCCCAACTCAGGGAGGCTCCCCACCAGGCCCTTGTAACCACGATCTTCCAGGAAATCCCCGAAAAAAGACCATGGAGTTATTTATTTCGGATCACATCATCTATATAGTCACATGGGTGTGTCTGAAAATACTGAAAACACCTCCAAATAGCTATTTTGATAGGGAAAATTATGATAATCCAGTGGATTTAGGGCTACACTATTTTCAGACAAACTCACATGGCGCTTCAAGGAGGGTCGATGAACTCTTGAGATGAGCTTTGAATTTTAAGCGTTGCCGGCGTTGACACACCCAGATTTCATCCCAAATGTGAATGGCACAATGGCATAACTTTAGGATTTTAAGGTGATTTCATACCATGTGTGTTATATTTGTTTACAACATATGTGTCTTAATCACCTTAAAATCTTTACCATGAAATGAGCAGGGTGGCCAGTGCTGAGCAGGGTGGCCAGTGCTGAGCTGAGCATTCACTGCAAAACCCCTGTTGATGATTTTTGATGATCTTAAAGGGGGTGATACTACCCCTCATGTATAGCGGGGATGATCATAATCCGTTATGGGAATACCTATGAACCACCTGTACTTATGTCATTTTCCTTCAACTAGAGCTGAAGAAATGGCTAGAGGACACTTGATACTCGGAGAATGATCTCTTCAAGACGGTTTTGTGGCCATGGTCAAAATTCACAAAACCATGGAATGAGGCTGATTGGTAGCTGTGATTTCTTCGCAAGTTACCAAGTCTGATGATTATGGATCATGCATCCCAATACAAGTTACTGGCTTCCACTTGCTACCTGTATATAAACGCAGCCCTTGGCAGAGGGCTGGGCGGCCGCGTTTGTCAATGGCAGTGGGGGGGAGGAATGAACTACTACTACTACTACTACTACTACTACTACTACTACTACTACTACTACTACTACTACTACTGTCAATGGCACTGCCGAGATGTTGGGCTATGTTGGGCTTCATTGGCAAAGCTATGATCTTCACCGAGCAAGCCGCGCTCGATCCGGGTCGGCTGCAGCTGGCTTGGTTGCTCACCACCAGGAGCCCATTGCTCAGATGTTTCCAAGAAGCATCCTCCGGGGCTCTTCAGCCCTTCAGTCACCTAGCTTTGCCCAGTTGGGTATCTGCAAACCTGGCATACATGAAGGACCTAGATTACCTCGAGGATGGCAAGCCTGAGCAAGCCTTCCAAGCCTCGGGGAGATGCACGTGTAGACGAAAAGGAACCACAGGCTGCCCCAGCGGAGAGCTAACCACTATTTATAACCATCAAAAGCTCATGCTTAACAACCCCAACACAGGAAATCTAAGGACCTTTGCAGAAATTACTTTATGTCATGTTGATGTTGGGGCAAAAATATCAACCCAAACATGGATGGTTTACTACAAAAGTCATCCAATATTGAAAAACAGATTATATCAATAGTTGCCAATGATTAGTCTTTTAGCTGGATCTATCTTTTGGGTGGGTTACCATTGGTTGCCAATCCCATTAAATCCCGCTAAACCCCGTTTAAATCACTATTGTTCATAGTTAAATCATGTCAAGTCACCATGTTTCATGGTTACATCACGTTAAATCACCATTTTTCATGCTTAAATCATGTTAAAACACAACTTTGATGGTGAAAAAACGACCCAAACATGCTGGATCTGCACAGGACTCCAGCGCAGAAGGTGAAAGCGACGCAGCTGGGGACGAGTGCGCGACCACCCGGGCCACGGCTGCCACGCGAAGATCGGCTTTTTTCCACACTTGGTGGATCGTCCCAGGAATTTCGGAAATGATCATTTTCCATGGGATTTAACCACCAACCATGGTGATTTAATACCCATAGGATCCATGTATGCTATATATGGTAACATGTACCATCCATATACCCCAAATGTTAGCATATATACCATACATGGATCCTATGGGATATGATTTCATGGGCTTTAATGGGGTTGAACTGGTTAGTAACTATACTTATCGCCCATTTATATAGTATATGGGATAAACCATGCATTGGGGACTTACCAACCAGGGCTACTACTTGTAACTACTACTTACTGAGAGAATCATCAGCACTATCCTCGTGGCAATCAAACATGGCAATGGGAAGTCCCGGATTTTTTGATGAGAAACCTATCTCAAAGTATAGAAACAGTGATCTTCAAATGGGGTATTTGTTCCCGCCAGTCAGGTTAGATTTCCGGACGGAAAAGGATTTTCTTTACAGATGAATTAGGGTTTTTAGCCTGGTTTTGAGCCATACCCGAGTCCCATAAGAAGAGTTTTGTCTCAGATGTTGGAGCCTCATGGTTTTGGTGCAAGGTGAGGCCCACCATTTTATGTGTGGTTTGATAAAAATGTTTACCACATGAATATCCATGACATTTCATGACAGTCCATAAGTGATGATATTCCCCACCAAACATCACCCAACAGTTCAGATCCATCCTGCGGGGGATGACGATTCGTGAGCCATGCATTACCTACTGATGCCCCATGAAATATATGACTAAGTACAGTGACTTCTGATGCTATCACAGGGCGAAATTGGGTATAGTATCTATAATATAAGCGTGTGTATAATATAAATACCCTCTGGTAATTTAACATTGCCATGGAAAATCACCATTTTTAATAGGTAAATCATCTATTTCTATGGGCCATCTATACCATGGCTATGTTAGTCATAACCAGAGGGTATAATATATATATACATATCAATGACACTTAGATGATGTTTCTTGATTTGGATTCACCCCATGAATGCTATATGTTTGCTCCCCACAAAACCCGACAGTTAACCAGGTTCTAAGTCAACTTAGCTATCATAAATCAGTTATAATTCCCATTACCCATAGGATCCATGTATGCTATATATGGTAACATGAAGCTCTGAAAGGCTGAAAAACCGCTGAAGAATAAACAAGGTGAAAACACAACAAACAAGATAAACAAGGGCACAGTGGCACAGATCATCAGATCATCAGATCCAAAGATGGAAGCAATTTCTATTGGTGAGTACCTCACTTGCGACCCATCGCCGCGGCGTGGAAGGCGACATCCGAAGTCTCATTTGGGGCTGAATGTAGCGGTGATCAAAAAGGGAACCGGGAAGTCCATGGAATTCCGCTATGCAGATTAGAAAATTAATTTATTTCATGTAATTTCTATAAATATCTATAAATCAAAGCAAACCAGTTCAGAATGTCCCAAGTTTGTCCTCTCTGATAGGGAAACCAATGGGTTTGGGGCACAATGTGTCCCATTTGTGCGAAGCACCAATTTAGTTGTTCAAAAGATGTTGTGTTTTCCATCTTTTGGTTTCTTGAAAAGAACAAGGTGCGTATGAAAAAAAAAACACATTTCAAGGTTTGCAGAGAGAAAAACACACGGAGGGCAATAGTTTTTCACCAGCAAATATGTGGTTTCCCCATGTCATTTTTTCCTAATAAATACATATATAACGAAGTCATCAAACAGTTGAGGTTGGTGATGTTTCCAGATATTCATATTCAGCCAGTATGATACAGGAAATAGAATCCATCAATATCCCCCAGTTAATGAACTGCAGTACAAGTGGGGATTAACTAAGTTGATATACTATCTGCAGGGTAACAGTGGAAAACAAAAGATGTATTATCTCACCTTAAGTCCCGTAAGTGTATAGCACAGTACCCTCTGGTAAACTAACATAGCTATGGAAAATCACCATTTTTGATGGGTAAATCCACTATAAATGGTAATTTTCAATAGTTATGTTAAATTACCAGAGGGTAGTTGGTTTTAAGCCAACTAGCTGTGTTTGCTCAATGTTGATGGGTTCCTTTTCTCGTAAACAAACATGGCAATGGAGAACTTTCCACGACAGTAGAGCGCCTCCCAAACATGGTGATGTTTTCGATTGCCTTAGATGGGGATTAACCCCAGAGCTGCCATAAACTATCCAAAGTTATGCCAGTATTTTTTGCCATTTTAGGGTTCATTTTCCAGCCATAAAATTTGGGTTGCCCCTTTTATTACCAGCCACAAAAAAATGGCTTGACGATAGGGGGATCATCCTGCAATTTCGCACGTGGCTTTGTAATGAACCATCAGCTGACTATTTCTGTGGACAGTAAGCGTTGTGTTAAAGCCAGAGGATACTGTGCAGTTCCAAATAATGAGCTGGGCGAACATCAACCAACATGCAGTTCACTGATGTTTCCCCCGCAAAACGGAACGGTGGTTTCACTGATTTTTTTCCCTGCCGTATGGCTCCAGTCGAAGATACAGTCATCACCCAGTCATACCCCAGTCCCACTTCCTAAGCTACGGCTGGATCCAGTTGGTTAAACCATGTCAAGTGTAGCTTGGTTCAATCCCATCCACCCCACATTTTTACAAGGTGAGGCCCTGAGACCCCCCAGTCTGTGCCTCCGGACCAGGGCCATGAATGGATCCGGCACGAAGGTGGAGTTGACGTGCGAGAACCCGCGGTTTGATTTTCCCGGAAATGGGATTTTAACGAGATTTAACGGGATTGAAATATATTGAAATTGAATTCATTGGATTTCATGTGATTCATGGGATTTGATATTGGATTTCATGGGGGATTTATATCGGACCTTATGGGATTTACATGGGATTTATATCGGACTTTATGGGATTGGGTTCAATCTTATTTAGTCTGATTTTATGTATATCATGTGGAGGTATTGGGAGAAGCTCATTTGGTTTAATCATCAAACGTGGGGATTTTGGGGTGATATGATGAGGCAGCAAGATTTATCCAACAAACATTCGGGGCTGAACGAATGCGAGATCATTCTCAAGCTAAGTGAGACTTGACCAGATCTTGTTTTTATGGATTTGCTGCTGCAAGTCATTCAAAGAATAACAAAAAACCCATGTGACATAATGAATCGGGATATATATGATGATATTTAACCACCAATATGATGTTTGGATGTGTCTAAAGATGGAGGATGGACCCCAACATTGCAATTTTGATGGGAATGATGATGTTAATGATGATGATAATGATGATGACGGTGATGGATTTGATGATGGCTATGACGACCATGGTGGATGTTCTGACAATGGATACGTTAATGTTGCTGATGAAAAGGGCGTACCAGGTCTAAGGAAGAACAACTCCACAGATATGAGTTGTCCAGTCATGTTTCATGTTGGGTTGGTACTCTTTGGACATATCAAATCATGCGACAAAGAATGTCCTAGTACTAGGTTGGGAATTGTTCACGGTGGGTGATTTGATCGCCGGAGGCTATATATAAGGAGTACGCATCAACTTCACTATCCAAAATATCAGAGTTCTGTCAACCTGGTTTGTACCTTATTCATCCTTATTCACAGTCTATATCATGAACTAGCATGATATATCTATAGTTAACTTGGGTTAACCAACCAACATGGTCATTGCACGGCCGCCCCAAGGTCGCTGTTGGAAAAGGCCCAGCAGACCTCCGCAGATCAGTGGGAGCTCATCCAAACCCTGCTGGAAGCTGTTTGGTGGGTCCGGGCCAGAGACCGGCCCAGAGACGCGAAAAAAGCAACGGTGGTGAACATGGATAACAAAACAATGGTGGTTTCACGGAAAATTGCTGGTTTATGGGTATAGGATGTCTATAGAACTATAAAACCAGCAAAATGTTACGGGGTAAACTTATCCGATCAATTGAGTGTCTAGGCCAATTGGGCTGAGTTTGTTGCTGTTAAATCAGGCTAGAAATGTGTTGGTGGCAGCTGCGTTAGCTACCGGTAATGAGGGTTTTGTCATGTTCCGAAGAGAAGGTGCTACAAGGTGGTGCCCCAATTCGGAATTGCTAAAGTTGGTCTAGTTCCAACAGAACCGGCAAACATGTTGATTTTCATGGAAATTAATGTACCCAGTATGCTGCCTAATAGTAAACCCCCTCCCTAAATAAAATATTTAAAAAAAAAACAGGGGGGTCAGCATTCCAATAGTAAATTAAATTAGGCTAATTAACTTTTAATATTGGATACTATACCATGCCCTCTGGACAAGGTCAGAACATGACTCTTTTGGCAATACTAAAAGTAAATGGAGCTAATTGACTTTTAGTATTGGAGAAAAATTGGAGTTGCGGAAAAATGTTTCCACTATTGCCATGTTGGGTCCACTATTGGCCATGCCCTCTGGACAAGGTCAGAACATGACTCTTTTGGCAATACTAAAAGTAAATGGAGCTAATTGACTTTTAGTATTGGAGAAAAATTGGAGTTGCGGAAAAATGTTTCTACTATTGACAAGATACCACTATTGGCTAGACAACATTAATGGGATTGACTTAGCTAAGTTGATTTACTGTATAACCAGCAGAACTAGGATTTGTGGTGGATATATCATGATATATCATGATATATTTATAGTTACTGGAGTTTACAAGAGCAGCAAACATGACTGGGTTGCACCGCCTTGTGATCAAAGATTAGAGACAGCAAAATATTTCAAGCAGGTCAGCGAGACCATTGTGGGAAGGGCATCAACCAGTCTTGGTACCCCTGAGGTAGGCCCCTTAACATTGATAGCTTCCATGGTTTGTGATAAGTCCCAAATTTAATGGCACAAAGTCATCATCAAGTGATTATGTATATATATATACCCATACATGTATTTATATATATATATATATTTATATCCCCATATATGTATATATTTATATATAAACATTTATCCATGAATATATATATATATATTATATATATAAATATATACACCTGGATCTTCAATTATATAGCACTTTTTTCCGCGCATAGCAGGTTTTGCTTGGATTTACGTTCATTCTGACTTTTTGTGCTCACTCGAACTTGAAAACGCTAATCTGAATCTTGATGGACGGGTATTTACGCTTTTATCCAGGGTAATTGCGCTTATTTCCCGGGAAAATCCGCCCATATTTTCAGCTTCAAACTGCACAAAGTGCAAAAATGCCAAAAGCGGTGCAATTACGCTCATGTGAACAAAAACTACTCAAAAAGTAGAAGTCTCTCAAATGAACATTGATTCCCCACCTGCCAGGTGAGGGTTGTTAGCTTTTATCAGAGCTGTTCTCCTCCTCCTCCTCCGCCTCCGCCTCGTCCGCCTCCACCTCCACCTCCTGCGCCGCCTCCTCCTCGCAGTCCAGATCCCAGTGGGCACAGCCGGACCTCCACCGCGAGCTCCAGATCCCAGTGGGCACTGCCGGACCTCAACCGCGAGCTCCAGATCCCAGTGGGCACTGCTGGACCTCAACCGCGACTTCCAGGTCGCAGTGGGCACTGCCGGACCTCAACGGCCAGATAGAATGCCAGAAGATATGCCAGATGGAATGTCAGATACAATGCCAGAAGATATGTCAGATAGAATGCCAGAAGATATGCCAGATAGAATGCCAGAAGATATGTCAGATAGAATGCCAGAAGATATGCCAGATAGAATGCCAGAAGATTTGCCAGATAGAATGCCAGAAGATATGCCAGAACATATGCCAGAAGATATGCGAGATAGAATGCCAGATAGAATGCCAGAAGATAAGTCAGATAGAATGCCAGAAGATTTGCCAGTAAGAAAATGTATAAATGTCATGTTGGGGATCACACGAAGTAAAGTAATTTGTTTTTTTTTTTTTGCGGACGCAGGTATATATATATATCTATGTCCCCAAAGAAAAATGCCATAAAAGAACCAATGACCTCCATTGGAACCACCATTTTTTACCCCCATCATTTTTGTTGGCCCCGGGCTCAGCGAGGTCAAAGGTGAGCTCCATGAGGTCGCTGACAAACACCACAAGAGCGAGGCGTGGCCTGGGGGCTTCGTAGACATCGGACACCACAACGGGTCAAGTGACTGGGTACCCTCTGGTAAACGTTTACATAGCTATGGAAAACCACCATTTTTTGGGGGTAAATCAACTATTTTGGTTAACTTTACGACTCTAATCATGTTGCTATCAATGGTAAAATGATGTAAAATGTATTGAAATTTACCAACCAGCTGACGAAAATAGATTTCTTGGCAGGTATTTGTTTACCATTTTTCCATTTTATGTGGATGATATAATGGGAGAAGGTAGTGAGGATAAGTATGGGTTTGAACACGGGGTATACCGTATACCGGTATAGCCTCAAAATCCTAATGGGGAAATTGACGATCAAGCAGTCGAGTTAGGAACGACGTCACGATGTAAACTCGATGGTTGGTAGGGGAACATCCCCAAATGGCACCATGTCAGGTTGGTGAATGCACAAAGGTTTGAAAGGTCGTGTTCCAGGATCAACTGGAAATTTTGTGTTGTTTTCCATTTTGAGACAACTCCACATGTACCTCAAACAGCAAAAGCAGGCTGCAAGCTCAACAAACAATATAGTGGTTGCAGAAAGGGCCCTCAACGAACGGGTAAGTTGGTTTTTGATTCCAATACATATATATATATATTTAATAAGTATTTGTAAGTATATATATAATATATATATAATATATAATATATATAATATATATATATAAGTATATATGTATATAAGTAATGTATGCTGCCTAATAATAACCCCCCCCTAATAAGTCAGGGGGGGGGGTCAGCATTCCAATAGTAAATTTTTGGAACCTTATGGCTGGGATGGAGGCGCAGGAGGAGGACGAGGAGGAGGAGGAGAAGAAGGAGAAGAAGGAGAAGGAGAAGGAGAAGGAGGACAACAAAATTGGAGTTGCGGAAAAAATAATCCACTATTGCCATGCCTGGTGCAGGTTTGTTATTGCTATTCTGGGGCTTGCAAAGGGGGTACCCTTTGTGGACCTGTTTTCTTGCTTTTTTTAATAAGGGTTTTATAAAGGAAATCAGCTGTTTGGTAATTGCATCAAATTTCTGGAATCTAAGCTTTTGCTAATCAAAAGTGAAGCCTGCTTTGAAAAGGATTTGCTTTTGGCAATACTTTAAGTAAATGGAGCTAATTGACTTTTAGTATTGGAGAAAAAATTGGAGTTGGGAAAAAAGTTCCCACTATTGCCATGTTGGGTCCACTATTGGCCATGCCCTCTGGACAAGGTCTGAACATGACTCTTTTGGCAATACTAAAAGTAAATGGAGCTCATTGACTTTTAGTATTGGAGAAAAATTGGAGTTGCGGAAAAATGTTTCTACTATTGACAAGATATCACTATTGGCTAGACAACATTAGTGTTGGATGTATGGCGGATATACCTATGTAGGGTTGGATAGGGTTATATATATAAATTATATGAAACAACTTATATATATATATAGTTGGGAGGAACTTTATTTACTGTGCTATAGTTTCTATAATTTACGATCAACGGACTTTGGTTTGATGGTCCTCGAGGACTGTTGCTGTTAGGATGGTTGAAGCGACCAATCAGCCAAGGACTATGAGTTGGAAAAGAAAGTTCAGGCAGAGTCAATTCACCCTCAATTTCCTTCAATAGTGGTTGTACATGGTCGAAACTCTGAATGCACGACCAGCTGGAAATGATACAGGCAACTGTCGCTAGATGCATGAGTTTGTTGCATGGTTTGGCCCGTTCCATCGCAAAATTATGCACTCATTTCACTCATCCCATCACGATTCTCCATTTTGATGCGCATCGCAGTTTGTAAGTGGATATATGGGGTAATCATATTATTCACCAGATCATGTGCCAGAAAAACATGGAAAAAAACCTCAGTTACACACGATTTATTGATCACTTACTACATGGGTCCCACATCCCGAAGATAATTGGGATCCTATTAAAGAAAAAAACATCCGTTTGTGAGTGGATGTTTCCTTGTAGCATTTTCAACTAAATAATGTCCGATCAAATCCCTTCCTGGGTAATATTCCCCTCACAAATTTTATTAAATTTGTTTATATCGTCATGGGTTGAACAGTTGAACATGTAATCTGCAGGCCCCGTCGCCCGAACGGGCACCAATTAAGAAAAACCGAAGCCATGCCAGGCGAAGTTCCTGGAACAGGAAGCGCGCATCGCCGCGCTGGAACAAGCGATGGCTGCCTTGAGGCTCTCGCAGGCCCCGGCCCCGGCGCCGTCGCCGCCCGCGGCAGCGCAGCCGGTCCCCGCCGTGTCCGCCGGAGAGCCGCCGGCAAAGCCGGTGCCTGCGGCAGCGGTGCCGGCGGCGGCGGTGCCGGCGGCGGCGGTGCCAGCGTTAGCAGCGCTGGTTGGGGAACTCAAGGGTGACGGCAACGCCAGAGCCATTTTTGGATTAAACTGATTAAGATATATATTGGGTGGGGGCTGGATCGTTTTAATCCATACCGATTGAAACTATCAAGGGTATACAGTCATTTTTTTCGTTTGGTGGTTTCAAATATGCATTGTTCTTCTTATGCTTAGGACGAGGATCCTGTCTTGGGATTGGTTCAGACCATCAACCAGACAATTGTTTATCATTTTTTGGCGTGATATTGGCGTGATAAAGGATGTTTACGTCTACGATTGTGTAGGGTAATTCATCCAAAAGCTGTCTTCATTCAAGGTTTGAGACTGATGATGTACCAAATACATCCAAATACCCTCCGCCAAATAAATAAGGGTTGTTTGTTATCAACACACAACATGACGTCCGTTCTGGCAACAGTATTGGGAGGTCGGAGTTGCCATATCCGGAATTGTCGACAAGCATTCCTTCGCAGTCCTTCTGTTCTTTGGAAGTTTACACTTTCCAGCATGTTTTGTAAACTTCCGAAAGAACATGGTTTTCCAACATATTTTCCAACAAGTTCCAACATGATCCATTTTAGATTGGGATTTTCCATGAAATATACCCCCTGGTTATTTAACATAGCCATGGTATAGATGGCCCATAGAAATAGATGGTTTACCGTTCTTAAAAATGGTGGATCTTTCCATGGCAAACTGTTAGTCATAACCAGATGGTAGACCATCCAGCTATTGGGGCACCCCCCAGGGAATCTCCATATCCCTTTTGCAAAACGTCTGTAGATTGAGGCCATTCCGAAAGCCAGCACTTCGCCAGCTGCGGCCGGGTGCCGAGTTTTTCCGCGGCCAAGTGCAATGTGGTGCCCGAGTTAGTTAAGTTGGCCAAGTAAGTTGGCCAAGTAAGTTGGCCAAGTAAGTTGGCCAAGTAAGTTTGTGGTACATATATATATAATATATATATATATTTGGAGAGAGAGAATATTATATATATATATATACATATACATACAATATATATATATATAACTATATATATATAGTTGATGAGGTTTAGGAACCAACTTCTAACTGAGGGGAACACCACCTCGTATAGGAGAAAACATGAACAATGATAAATTGTGGTATCCCCCCATGCTGTGTGAAGGTGAATCAGGGGGCCAGTTCTAGAAGTGTTGTCTGATTCTGCTGCGTCTGACTGAGTTTGGGGATAGCTAATGCAAATTAAATGATAAATCTTTGGATTGTTCAGACACAGCCACATGTTTCTGAGTGTTTGATTACACTTCATGGGTTTCCTGTGCGTTTCCCTGACATCAATCAATCCATTGTTCAAGCCTCCACAGCGGTTGAAGAATGAGCAATGTTTACACTGTCAGTCTATACTTTATAGTATTATAGTTTCCTATTGTTCCTTCAAATCCGCATTTATTGATTGGATATTGGATGCAAATCCTCAGTATATGCACCCTCAATTGTCAAGATGTTTCAGTCAATGTATGATACTATGGAAGTATTCATGATGGTTAAGTCTCCATTTTACAGTTAGGTTCATTAAACCTCTATAAAATTGTTGGTCATTAAACCTATATTTATGTTGTTGAAACGCCACAAAATCACCATGTTCCTTGGTTAAGTTCCATTAAATCACCATCTCTCCCTATTGCCGCGGCTGAGAATTCAGACTTGCTCGGATTGGACGACCTCTTCCTGAAAAAGGCACGAAGAAAAAAGTCCGAGTCGCTGTGAAATGGGACTTGATATACTCGGCAACATATATGTTATGTATGTGTAAATTTGATCACGACCTCACTGTTCTCCCTCACTGGAACCATGGTCTTTATATGGGAAATCATCCCCAAATGGCCGAACTAATTCAGGTTATAGTGAAATATTTATTTCATTTAGCCAGTAATGTTATGTGTATCACCACCAGGATGTGTTCTTCAAATGATAAGTATAATATCATTATATGTATATTATATATCTAACATGTACAACCATATGTACACATGTATATGGTATATATTAGGGTTGTACCAACCGAGAAGGCAAGACTTAAGCAACAAAGTTATGGGGTACGATAACTAACAATTTGTCAGATAGAGTTATGGGGTACGATAACTAACAATTTGTCAGATATAATCTATATAATCATTCATATCAGTTTATATTGCGGTAGTTACATTATAACTGCAATATATCTTCCCATGTTTTCCTGGGTTTTTCCCGGATTTTTCCATGGATGTTTCCATGATATTCCTAGGTTTTCCGCGGTTATTCCTATATAGTCATATCAATCTAAAGTCAGGCACAAGTCTAGCCCGGCAACGGTTGGATGGTGCAGGACCGAAGTCCGACCACGTATCCGAGCACTGCAAAGGTGGAAGAACCCAAGGACAATGTTTTCAGAATCGCTGTCGCAAACATGGTGAAATATGGGATAACCTTTGGTAAACGTTTACGTAACTATGGAAAATCACATTTTTTTAATGGGTAAATCAACCTATGTTCGATTACCAGAGGGTAAGTATGATGAGGGTAGGTATGATGAACATGTGGGATGGATTAGGTAAAGTATGGGACAATGTGGTGAAACATGGTACAATGTGGCAGAGTATGACGAATCAACATGTGGTACCCTTCACAATGGGAGGATTAGTCCCAAATCCATGGTCCCATCATCGGATTTAAGTGCGGATTGATCTGCGATACATTGGGAAAATAAACCACCCATATTAACAATGTGGGGCCTCCCAGTTATAAGTTGGTTTATAACCACCAGTAAGTATAGTTATAAGTATCATAAACCAGAGTTATTGGAGGTATGTTCACCAACTTAGCTATCTTGGGGGCACCAGCAATATTTTCATGAATCACCCAGATTGTATTTGTTATAACTCAATATTTTTTGGGATGAGATACTTGATCATCCACCAGTGCTGACGCACCGCGTAGCTTTAAAAACGCTCGATGCAACAATGCCAAGTGCTAGCCACCAGGATGGTAGTCTGATGATCGTTTCCCTATTGGCTTACCTTGGCTGTACTGCAGGCAGGTTGCCCTCTGGTAATTTATGATAGCTGCAATGGAAAACAACCGTGTTAAAGGGTGTAAATCACAGTAAAAAAATATGGGACATGTTCCATAGTTATATTACCCTCTGGTAAACAAGCATAGCTATTGAAAATGGCCATAGAAATAGTTGATTTTCCCATCAATAGCATGGTGATTTCCCAGTTCGTTATGTAAACGTTTACCAGAGGGTATACCCAATCTTTGGTGAGTTGGAAAAAATGAATCATCTGTAGCTGGCATGGAAAGCATGTGCCAATCACTTTCTGTGGTTCCATGGCAATCAATTCATATCAATTCCCACTATTAATTCCTGCATGCCCCCAAACGAATTCCTGGCTTTGTAGATTGGATTGCTCTTTATTTTGGGGTGCCTATCCTATTGGGGCTATTTGATAAATGCAGGACCCTATTGTGAAAAAAAATAAATGGTGTAGGATGCAGGACTTTTGCTGCAACTGCTAGATTATCAGTTTACATGGCCACAGGACATAAAGTAAACAGTTTAGACGACGGTCCCGGTGCTCTGATCTCGACGCAAAGTTCACCAGCTTTCTGCTTTCGGTGAAGGAAGCGGGTCAGCCGGAATGACCTAGCAATATATGACAATCAGTTGTATGTATATTAATCACGTATACTACTGTATTATTGAATAGATTGAATAGATGCTCTATATATAGCAATGATAGGGAAAATCTTTCGTGCTCTCACCATGACTAGTTGAGGGAAAGACAGGACTTTCTGAATCAGCTTTTTCTGAACTCCTCCATCGCAGAGGAAGTTGTGAACCATGCAGCCAGCTGAACCATGACTGTGGCACATACGGCTCAAAATGTTGCACCTAGAATGCTTGAATATTGTTTTGAGTTTTGAATGAAGTGTTTCTTTTGAGTTTCTGAACCAATGCTTCGAGTTAGCATATCGTTGCCGAGTGGTTGTGGTGAAACCCTGCTCCTTCCTGAAGTGTCGACAGTTGGGGACTTGAAAGTTCTGGCCCAAAAATCTCTTGGACACGGCCTACTGAAACTTGTCACCGTGAAGGGACATGTCCTCACCAACCCCACCGAGTCCCTGCAAGCTGCAGGTGTGCAAGATGGAGAGCAATTAATGGCTGTGGTGCAACAAGGGAAAGTCGCAGCGACCAAAAGACATTTTGCTGCATGGTGCTATGGAGGTGACAGGATTGTGACCTGGGGTCGCTTAGGCGATAATTCCTTAACTAATCAAGGTCAGCTCAGGAATGTGCGGCAAATTCATGCCACTAAGTCTGCGTTTGCCGCGATCTTGGCCAATGGATCAATTGTTGCCTGGGGCAATCCAGGCTATGGTGGTGACTGCTCGGCAGTTCAAGATCAGCTCAGCAATGTCCAACAGATTCAGGTGACACACAGAGCTTTTGCGGCCATCTTGGCCGATGGATCAGTTGTTGCTTGGGGCCATCCAAAGTTTGGGGGTGACTGTTCCACCGTTCAATCTCAGCTAAGGAATGTACAGCAAATTCAGGGCAGCGCTGGTGCATTTGCTGCGATCTTGCCCGACAGATCGGTTGTTGCGTGGGGCCCTCCAATTTTTGGTGGTCACCTCTCCAAAATTCAGAATCAACTCATTGATGTGCAGCAAATCCATTCTGCATACTTCGCATTTGCTGCAATCTTGGCGAATGGGTCAGTGGTTACTTGGGGCCATCATAGGTGGGGTGGTGACAGCTCCGCAGTTCAAGACCAGCTCAGGAATGTGAAGAAAATTCAGGGCAATCCTGGCGCATTTGCTGCGATCCTGGCTGATGGATCAATTGTTGCCTGGGGCGATCCAGAGAAAGGTGGTGACTGCACTGCAGTTCAAGATCAGCTCAACAATGTGCAGCAAATTCAGTTCACCGATAAAGCTTTTGCTGCCGTCTTGGCCGATGGATCAGTGGTTGCCTGGGGCGGTCGAGATTATGGCGGTGACTGCTCAGCCGTTCAAGATCAGCTCAGAAACGTGCAACAAATTCATGCCACAGATAGTGCTTTTGCGGCGATCTTGGCCGATGGATCAGTAGTTGCATGGGGGGATCCAAAGAATGGTGGTGACTGCTTTGCGGTTCAAGATCAGCTCAGGACTGTTCAGCAAATTCAGGGCAGCAGTGGCGCATTTGCCGCAATCTTGGCTGATGGATCAATCGTCTCCTGGGGCGATCCAGACAAAGGCGGTGATTGCTCGGCAGTTTGTGATCAGCTCCAGTATTTGTAGGCATGCATATGGCTCAACAATATTGATCCCTCAAATTTGGATTAATCCCTTCCTCCTAATACTAAACGTCCCCCTAATACTAAAAACAGGCATCCATCTCCAATTTCCGAAAATTTCAGTTTGGCCAATTTGACTTTTAATTGATCCCCTTTAAAAAACAATTTAAAAATCAACCTACCATTTGTGGGTTCTCCCCCCTAATACTAAAAACTAGTTCACCCCGGGGTGTTTAGTATTAGGGGGGCCTAGTCCCAATCCCTCACTCCAAGCTGCCTGGCTACTCTAGCAATTAGGGGTAAGCTTCGAACTGCCATTTTTGGCAATATTTTAATTGCGTTATATAAGGAAATTTAATTGATTTTGAGATCGGAAAAAATAGTTTTTAGTATTAAGGGTTTTAATTTAGTATTAGGGGTAAGCTTCGAACTGCCATTTTTGGCAATATTTTAATTGCGTTATATAAGGAAATTTAATTGATTTTGAGATCGGAAAAAATAGTTTTTTATTAAGGGTTTTAATTTAGTATTAGGGGTAAGCTTCGAACTGCCATTTTTGGCAATATTTTAATTGCGTTATATAAGGAAATTTAATTGATTTTGAGATCGGAAAAAATAGTTTTTAGTATTAAGGGTTTTAATTTAGTATTAGGGGTAAGCTTCGAACTGCCATTTTTGGCAATATTTTAATTGCGTTATATAAGGAAATTTAATTGATTTTGAGATCGGAAAAAATAGTTTTTAGTATTAAGGGTTTTTATTTAGTATTAGGGGTAAGCTTCGAACTGCCATTTTTGGCAATATTTTAATTGCGTTATATAAGGAAATTTAATTAATTAATTAACATGACTTCGATTTGGTTCCCTAATAATAAATACCCCCCTAATACTAAAAACTACCTGCCGTGTTTTGTATTAGGGGGGGGGGGTTAGTATTAGGAGGAAGGGATTATTGAATGATACCTTCAACCGGATATTCAACACCCCTCCTTGAAACCCTGATTTCGTTCATTTTTGGGGCCTTTAAAATTGGGTGTTCTTGAAATTTCTTGGCGGGATTTCCCGCAAAATGACCCTGATGTCGCTCCGTTTGGTGACCTCAAAAAGAGGTCGCCATGGCAACAGTACGGTGGGAAAGAGATGCGGGCGTGCTCGCTGAGCACCTTGGGTGTAGCTCAATACTTGTTGCCATGAATCTGGTCTTGTGCTATACATGTGCTAATATGTTCACCAGCTTTTTTCTGCAGGGTATCTGAGGTGGGCCATGAATGTGGATTAGCATGATTAGCCATGACGGGGGATATCAATTGCAGTCAACTATTTGACCACTGCGACCGAGCAAAGAGTCCTGCAATGGAACCAAGATAGCTCAGTTGGTTTATGACTCCAGTGACTATGCTTAGTGTACTTACAACATCTTACAACTATAGTATTGGGTATACACCAACTGATAATTATGGTTTACTCCAGTGACTATGGCTTATAAACTAGTTACAACTATGGTGACGTTGGTTTATCCGACTTAAAACCAGCGTCCAGCTGTGAGGAGAGCAGCTCTGATCCGCTCATGGAGACGGGAAACCCTGGCTGCCGGTATACCACTTTGGGATGGTTTTTATATGGTGATGTTGGGTATTATATGCTAGTTTGATCTTTACCAGACATTAGTCCAATATTCCATGGTTCTGCTTCGAGTATGTTTGAGTCGTATTTCAGAATGGTCATTTTTTGCTGAATGTCGTTGTGTTGAATATTCCAAAATCATTCCTTCTCAGGTCCCATGATTGTCGGATATGTTTCAGCTTCCACAAAGAGCACCAAAGTTTCAATGACATTTGAACAAATGCAGTTGTTCAAATGTTTACAGATTCACCTTCTGGACCTCAAATAAAACAATGGTTCAAAGTTGGAGATGATCTAAAGATGGCTCAACATTTTGATTCGTTGAAGTACTGACAGTGTTATTGACAATCGAGTATATATTGATTTGTATGTAACGATATCAACATTCAATAAATTTTCACATTTTGATGTGGCTTGGAACCAAGATACTATAGCTATATATATACATGACGTGGTAGGCGAAAAAACATCAACAAATATGTGTATCCTCCAAAACAATATGTATGGAAAGCCCGCAAGAAACCACATGTAGATTATTTTCCTTTGGTTTCCCCTTGGGTTGTCCATATCGTTTTGTCACAGCTCCCACATCAGTGAGCGCCTCAGAGCATGCAAAACAGACGTCAAAGATCCCCATTAATCTGTTGGTGATATCCCAATGACCTATGAGTCGGACCCAATCTGGTTGGTGGTTTGGAACATTATTTTTCCATGATATATGGGATAATCCTTCCCATTGACAATTGACTAATATTTTTCAGAGGGGTTGAAACCACCAACCAGCATTTTTTTGCTTGGTTTCATATCTCCAATTATCCAGGTGATGGTCATAAACTCTTCCCGAAAACGGGACGAGGTCAGACCCCTGGGGTGAGAGGCGCTTTTCCGTTGTAACTCAGTAACTCAGCGCCGGCGAGTTGACGGGGTAGGTCACGGGCTAGCAAGCTTCGTTTTGGGTCAAAATATAAGGATATGTTGATGTGTTAAATAAATCAACTATAAATAGAGGGTTCCATGGAATGCATCCTCTGGTAATTCAACAGTTGGATCCTGAAAATAACCATTTGTTAGTGGAAACTAATATGAACCAACCCCAATGGCTGCCAGGGTCGAACTATGAATTTACTGGAGGGGAAGGGCTGTTTGTAACATTCTGTAACGAATGGCTTGGTGATAGTTATATATACAGATATATTTAGTCCTGAGCCTTCCAATGATAGGGGTAATTACCATGCACCCAATTTTGAACCATACCCAGCTGGCTGACTAAGATGGTTTTACCAAGTTCAGGTGGTTCCAAGAACAGGGAAATGCGGTGCGATTTGTGCCCAATCATGGTGTCCCTGGGACTTACAGATGTTGAATCTACGGTAGTCCTATGTAGTCTGTAGTCCTTGTTTTCTCTCAAAGAAACCGTTCTATTTTGAGGCACTAAAGGACTTGACCTGTATCCATGGCTGGCGTTATCCAAAACTTACACCGGCAAATCATCAATATCCCTATTGAACTGCCAACAGTTAGGGGGTCGATGCCATCTACATATATATATAATATGTAATACAATTATATTATATTAATGTGAACATGTGCGCGCAGATGGTTAATCTTTCATCCCATGAGATTCCGATCATGTGACTATAAGTGGCTGGTATTACAACGTATTACACCTGATTTCTCTGATAAGACCTTAAATCCCCGAACTGTTCCTCCGTGTCGACCCCAATGACACCTTTGTTCACAACGCGCAACGCGCTGTTCCAGGGACCCTGATCTGGATGCAAAGGCCGCACCGGGGAATCGGGGAATGGGGATTAATCGAATGAATATCCATTCCCATAGGATCCATAGGATCCATGGTGCTGCTATATATGGTAACATTTACCATATTTTACCATCAATATACCTCAGTCATGTTAGCATGTATACCAGCACCATGGATCCTTTGGGATTTATAACATATATTTCATAAATGGACATATATTTAATGTTTTTTTTATGCGCTTTTAATAGATCGTTGAGATTCGCCCCTGATTGTTGTGCTTGGTGCTTGTCTCGACATCTCAATTCTCCAGACAAAGATGGTGCACAAACTCCCTGTTTTGCTTAATATCGTCATTGTTCGAGGCTGAGCCGGTTGGCAGCAGAACGACCAACAAGGTTTGGCGGGGATGTGGGGCCATTTTGTGCGACTTTCTTCACCAGAGACTTGTTCATTGGGGGATTCTCAAGACCCCATGCTTGTTTCTTTTTGTGTCAAACATGTTGGATGATTTTCGTAGATTAATCCAGCCTATTCCAGTCTGGAAATTTCAAGAACCTCGATTTGGGATGATTTGGGCTCATTTTACCAAAGATGATGAGCAAGGGGAAATGACAACCTGTGTTTTCGACTGGTAAATATAATCGAAATTGCCCAGCAACGCTTTCATAAACCTTGGCGTCGGTCCATGATTATACGTTTGGGGTTATAAAGCTTTAACGGCCGGCAAAATTAGATGGACAGGTGAAATCCTAGAACGTGAGGCCCCCAGGTACAAGTTGATTTATAAACCGCGTGATTACTATAGTTGTATCCCTCATAAACACAAACGTTATAGAACTTTAAGTAACGAGTCAACTTAGCTATGTTGGTAATAGTTGTAAATATGATTTCTACCTGTGATTATCATCTCATCCATGATCTGGGGAATTTCCACAAAAACCAAACTGCATGGAACCGGAGACATATTGTCCCAGTGAGACGATTGTGTGCAAATCTTGGTGAATGGCTTGTTCAGAGGTCCTTGTGTAGCAATAAATGGAAGAACACATATGGGGGGTTCCATAAATAGATGGTTAGTTTAATAAAATGGATGATTTGGGGGTAACCCTCTTTTTAGGTAAGCTACGCCCCCTGCCATCGATTAATATCCCAACACACATCCATGCAACAAACAACAACCACACTAACGTTGTTTTCTGACGCAGCTAGAAACTAGCTCCGAATTCCAGCTTGCAAGCGTCCAAGACCTTCCCTCCGCAGGACCGAAACACCATGGAACTAAAGGACGGACGGGGCCTTCGGCTGGCAGCCGCCTCTGCCTAACGTTGCTTTCTGACGCCGCTAGATTCCAGCTTGCAAGCCTCCAAAGCCTTCCTTCCGCAGGACCGAAACACCATGGAACTAAAGGACGAACGGGGCCTTCAGCTGGCAGCTGCTTGTGCCTAACCTTGCTTTCCCTAACGTCGCTTTCTCGTGCCTCTCGTCTTTCTCGCTCTTGCTGCCTGAAGCTGGACATGCCTAACTACCAAGGCTCGAATCCAGAAGATACTCGCCGCCTGCGGCCTGAAGCTTACCGTGCCTGACGTCAACTCCCTGGCCTCTTGCTTTCTTCTTCAATTCTCTCTCTTCCTGCCTTTCCCCTTGCTGCTAGCAATTGCTTCTCTGACGCGCTCCCCCTTGCCGTCGGCTGGGGTCGGCGGATATTGCTACTTTTGTTATTGTTCTTGTTATTGTTCTTGTTTTTGTTTGTTTTATTGTTGTTGTTGTTGTTGTTGTTGTTGTTGTTCTTGTTGTTGCTGCTGTTGTTGTTGTGGTGGTTGTGGTTGTGGTTGTGGTTGGGGTGGTTACGGTTGTGGTTGTGGTTGTGGTTGTTGTTGTGGACTAAGCGTGATTGTGTATACGGGTTACTTGTTTGCTATCAGTTGGAGAAGATCATACCCAGCCAGGAATGCATCCCCCTGCAAGGTATCTAAGAATCGCAAGGCATATTTCATTTTTTGTGTGTTTTGCTTACAGCGCAATATGTATTCAAATCTTGCCTGTATCCTGTTTGGATTGTTGAGACATGCTCAATACACTGCACAGAATTTACATGGCGATCCACATGAGCAAGTTTTGGATAATATCATGTGAATTAACAGTTTTAAAAAATGATCGGTTCCCCAAGCTCCATTTGGGTATGGCTCACGACTTTAGACCCGATGGATCATAGATCTTAGTCAATGTTTGATATTAGTATATAGTAGTCATCTAGTGATCATCTACTTGATTATCTAGATGATTAATATGTAGATGATGAGTATGAAGTGAACATGAATTACGGGTTGGTGGTTTCAAACATGTTTTTTATTTTCCATTTCAGATATGGGATAATCCTTCCCATTGACGAACTCATAGTTTTCAAGATGGTTATTGCACCACCAACCAGATTAAGTCTGCGTATCAATCATGTGATTCTTGTCCCCAATTTTGACCACCCGGGGGATATCTCCCCAGGCAGCTATTGGCTCCAGGTGGGCCCGTGGGCCTAAAAAGGTGTATGGGTTTTGGAGGAGAAAGAAAAGCGATTCCCCTCTGTTCCAACTGTGATTTACTTTTCTTTTTTTTTTCCAAAATTCCTCTATATATTATATATATATATTATAATATACCCTCTGGTTCACTAACATAACTATGGAAAATAACAAAATTTTATGGGTAAATTAAGTATAAATGGCAATGTTCAATAGCTACGTTTGTTTACCAGAGGGTATATATATATATGGCCATCAAGGGATTTTCTTTCCCACCGCCACTGCAGCAGGAATTCAGAACCAATCTTTGGTTGATCGGACGGAATCCGTGATAGTAGTTCCGGAATAAAACTGAAGAACCAGAAAAGGTCTTGGATTTGTTTTTGTTTGCTACGGTGAGAGGGTTCCTCATACATGAGCTTCCACAGTCTACTGTATAGCTCGACCCAATCCTGGATCATGAATATGGCTATTAGCTATGGATATCTATAGATATTGATATATAATGATATGTATGGATATCTGCATATCTATGTATATCTATGGATAGTTGCCTACGTTTATACCAAGGCTATCCCTTAAATGTCCTTAAATCTGCCATCATCGGAGTGGCTTCAGGTACTTTAAAGGTCGACCTGTAGCCATTTGAGGCCATTCAGTAAGCGTCTAGTTACACTGTAACAATGAAACATGACCATGGGAAATGATGAAATTGCTAACAGGTGATTGCCACAGTGTAACCAGGTCATGGTCATATTAGTATCATTGTCTATTAATTACATTGTATGTCTATATGGTGAATCAAATGATGAAAATGATTGCTGTTGATAGGACAATTTGATTAACCATATAGATAATACGATATAATTAATACGTATATATACATCTTGAATCATAGAGAAAATTAAGTAAAGAACTTGATATTTACTTGGCTATACATGTAGTTGACTCTCTTTGATTATACTATATTTCATCAAACCTATACTTAATGATCTTAATTGCATGTATCATCATGTATCTATTAGCATACTAAACAAATTACAAAGGTAAATTTCTCATTGGATTGCTTTAAGGGAAAATTTACAGGACACCCCTATGATCCTAATGGTGAAAACCATGGTTTCCTGTAAATTTTCCCTTAAACCAATCCAATGAATTTCCCTTGATGGGGGAACTGTCTACTGCCTCCCGTACCAGGCCGAATGATTTCAGCCAAGCGAGTCGGACGACCGGTACGTCGAGGCCCCGAAGGAGTTTCAGCAAGGAGGGATCATGCAGAAAAGTGGTAAACACTATCCGTATTACATATTGTGTATATATATATATTGGTTAATAATGGTTAATAATGGTTAATAACGATTTATCATCTATAGTCAATGGGAAGGATGACATCCCATATATTACAAGGTGGTGCCCCCAAGATAGCGTTCAGTTGGTGAACATAACTCCAATTTCACTATGGTTTATGGTACTTATAACTATAGTTAATGGGGTTTATAAACCAACTTATAACTGGGGGGCACCACCTTGTATATATATATAATGTTGGATGCTGATTAGTGTGGTGGTACACTATTGTGTCCCCAGACTCCAAAACACTTGCGAATCTGTGGAAATGTTTGGGTGGTACACTATTGTGTCCCCAGGATTTTGGGGTAAGTTTTTCATTTGTTTAAAAAGATTCAAATTGGGTTAACCTATTTTTGTTTAGTTTATTTTATGTTTTTAAAGTTCATTTTTTACAATTCATGTTTTGTTGTTTGTTTTTACATTTGTTCTTTTAGTTTTAAAAAATGCTTTTTTAATGAGCAATATTGATCCTAAACAATGTGTTTGTTGTGTGCGGGGGGTCCACTATTGTGTCCAGCTGCTTCCTGATGTGACTTTTTTTTAAAGCATACCCTTTGATTTTTCCTTTGCTATTGTTTTTCTTTTACTTTCTTACTTTCTTTCACTTGATCCCTTGAAATTTCCTTTCACTTGAAATTACACTCTGATCCACAATAGTATGTTTGTTCGGGGGGTCCACTATTGTGCCCAGCTGCTTCCTGAGGTGATATTTTTTTCAAACATGCCTTATTATTTTCCTTTGCTAAAGTTTTTTCTTTTAATTTATTATTTTCTTAGTTTCTTTCATTTGAAATTCTCACAAATGCACAGTTTCCCAAAATATACGATGTCTTTTTAAACCCAATTAAAAAACATCACCCAAACAAGTTTTCAAGGGTGTAGTCCATAAGCAACCCTGATCCACAATAGTATGTTTGTTGGGGGGGTCCACTATTGTGTCCAGCTGCTTCCTGAGGTGTTTGTTTTTCAAGCATTCCTTTTATCCTTTTCCTTTGCTAAAGTTTTTTTCTGTTAATTAAATACTGTCTTAGCTTCTTTCATTTGAAATTCTCAGAAATGTCCAATTTCCCAAAATATATCATGCCTTATGAAAACCCCAATTTAAAAAACATCACCCGAACAATTTTTCAAGGGGGTAGTCCCTGAGCAACCCTGATCCACAATAGTATGTTTGTTTTGGGGGTCCACTATTGTGTCCAGCTGCTTCCTGAGGTGATTTGTTTTTTTCAAACAGTCCCTTTACCTTTCCTTTGCTAAAGTTTTTTCTTTTTTTGTATTTCTATGGTATACTATTGAATTTCTATGGGATTCCCGTGGAATTTCCATGATGTTTCTATGATATTTCTGGAGGATTTCTATGATATTTCTGAAGGGATGCTATGGGGGTTCTATTGTATTCTTATGGGATTTCCATGGGATTCCTATGTGATTCCTATGGTATTTCTTTGATGTTCCTATGATATTTCTATGGGGGTTCTATTGGATTCCTGTGGGATTTCTATTGGGTTCCTGTGGGATTTCCAAGGTAAATCCATGATATTTCTATGGGATTACTATGGGAATTCTTAAGGGATTTCTTTGTGGTTCCTCTGCTATTTCCATGTTATATCTATGATCTTTCTATGGGATTTCTGTGGGATACTTATGGGATTTCCATGATATTTCTATGATATGTCTATGGGATTACTATGGGATGTCAATTGAAAGTTAGTTGAAATCAGTTGAAAATAAGTTCAAACTAAATTGAATCAATTGAAATAGATTGAAAGTAAGTTGGCATCAATTGAAAGTAAATTGAAATCAATTGACAGTAAATTGAAAATCAATTGAAAGTAAATTGAAATCAATTGAAAGTAAATTGAAAACCAATTGAAAGTAGGTTGAAAATTCATTGTAAGTGAATTGAAATCAATTGAAAGTAAATGGGAATCAATTGGAAGTAAATTCAAATCAATTGAAAGTAAATTGAAATCAATTGAAGATCACTTAAAATCTATTACTTTTTTGATTCCACACTATTCAGAACCCGAAACCTTAAAATTTCCACACTAAAGAGTATCCATTTTTTTTGGGGGGGGGAGGAGGGGGGGGGCCCTACACTAATCAGAATCCAACATTATATATTATATTGTTTGTACTGCGCCATATATATATACATGTATATATATACATATATATATATTTATATTTATATATATATACATATACCCATAGGTATATATTAAGTGTGTATATATAGATATTGTATTTGTTTATATAGATTCATTTAAAAATAGGTTCCCAAAAATTCACTCGTCAATCACCACATGCCCATTGAAAACAATATTTGGTAGATTTTTTTTCAGACAAATCCATATATAAACCATTTTTAAGCATTATAGTCCGGTTTATGTTTTTCATAGCTGGGTGCACTAATCGGTTATCATGTAGTTTTTTCATCCCATGTGGCAGGACATGTCCCTTTTCCCCATGTTGGTGTAAGGGATTTGTTTTACAGCAAACAATGTTTTTTTTACCACTAAACATTCATCATCATCATCATCGTCGTCGTCGTCCTCCTCATCATCATCATCATCATATTTTTCCGTAGTGATATTGACCACTAAACTCAACATAATTTACCACTACGCATGATCATCATTTTTTGTAAATTTGCCCTTCATTTTTTTGCCTGCTTCTGGGTCACACCCTCATGATCCACTGTCCCCAAGATCTCTGGAGAGTGATCCTCCCGTGAGGTCAAGTGAAGTGAAAACCAAAGCCATGTGCGGAACCCGGGGGGCAGACCGAACCAACTAAGCACAAACTATGCAGTTTAAAAAAATTGGATTTGGGGCATTTACCACTAAGTTCGGGTGTCTTGCGACTTCAGCAACCATGCCACGATTCCAGACTAAGTACAGTTCCAAATATGAGTCGATATATGGAGGTTTCCCTTTTTTTCACCATCCATTTGGGGTACCCCCATTTATGGAAACCCTATATACATAGTGTTTTCATGTATAGCTCTGGTTTTTTCAGGGTTGGATCAGTTGGATCCCAACTTATGGGGGGTTTTTCGGTCTTTTTCACCATAAAAAATCCGCAGCCGCGACTGGTTGTTGGTAGTGAAAAATCCTTTAGTTTTTTGCGTTGCAAAAAAAAACAAGAGATGAATGATTTGTGGAGCAAAGATTCACCATGGTCACATTTGAAATTTGTAACCTCGACTGCAGCTCCACAAAATGATTTTGGGTTGCTGGGTCCATTTCTCGTGCCAGGCCAGTCGGTTTAGCCCAGAGGCGGGGGAAAATCTCGGGAAAAACCCCATGGGAAAAATCTCGAGCTGTATTTTTTTTAAAATGCATAATTGTACTAATAGGATTGTTTTTGTTTAGATTCTTTGTATAATTTTACTAGTAATTATAACTTAATTCTATATTAGTCAGTATTTTTAGTCATTCATTATAATACTATAAAGTAAGGTAAAACAATTTTAAAATTTGGTTCTGTAGCTCAGTGGTAGAGCACAAGCCTGATAAGTTTGGGGTCCTCGGGACATCCCTCCTGTGAATCATCGGCAACTAAATGGTGGATTTATAGTGGGTATAGCCTCTGGTAAACGTAAACATAGCTGACTGGATGCTATTAATGGGTAAATCCACTATTTCGACTGGGCCATTTTCAAGAGCTATGTAAACGTTTACCAGAGGGTAATATTGTCATGTTTGACTACCGGAGGGCATCTAACATCAACCCTGGTTATGTAAGTCAGCTGACTATGGAGCACTACCTTGTACAAAAACAAGCAGGACTGGTAAAAAAGATAGAAATAAACACCAGTGGTCAGTTTGACATTTGTTTCTGGTGTGAAACTTTGAGCAATGCCCATTTATAGGATGATGTCAGATATGTGATGTCATAATGTGTTACATTCTATGTCCCCAGAGTTGAAAGTGGAATTCTTAAACAGCCATGCTGAACGAGAACAAATAATACAATCTAAATGTTCTTCGCCAGCCCTCAATAATGCGACCTAGGAGTGCAAAAGTCCGCATTCGTAACTATGATTACTGTAGTCATGTTAAACCTCGGGAATATTGAGACGTGAACAGAAACCACTCCCATCCCTTATTCCAAAATATTGGGACCCCAAAATAATGCAAAAAGCCTAGGAGGTGAGAATTATACAAGATTTGGGCGGTTTATCACACGTTTTATCACATGTGGTTTGGGGGGGTGTTTGGTTCTCTATCGGCTCAAAAGCGAAACATGTAGCAGGGATGATAGGCTCTCATTTATCTGGGTAAATTATAACGACCTCACTGCGACCTCACTGGAATCATGGTTAGTAAGGGGAATCATCCCAAAATGACCTTATTTCAGGTTAGTGAATTATTATAATTTACCCAGATTTATCTAAGTCCCAATCCCTCTGTTGTAATCTTATGTCCGACATCTTGGAGCCAGCAACATTTGGGTGGAAAATTGGTCACCTTGTACCGTACAAAAATCCACCCCGTCTTCCCCCCGGAATTTCGGTGTTGGGACCGAACCTGGTTGCTAAAGAATGGGTCTGTCTGAAAATGGGCATACCTCGAAATTAACATCTTAATGGCAACAATTATGAGCAACATTGAGTAACCATCATTTTTCCCCCTAACTTGTCAGAGAAAATTCGATTAATTAATCTCCAAAAACATTAGCATTGTTCTTCGCAATTGTGACGGATGAATCATGATGAATCAAAGGTATTTGTCTCCCCTAAAAGCCCTAAATTGGGGTTTCTTAAAACAAGGGATTCCCAAAACCATAGGTTTCAATACTAAGTCATGGTCTAATGACTTGGATGATTTTGGGGTACCCCAGTTCAGGAAACCCTTCAAGTATCATTTGGATGGATTATAACCAGGCCCCATGAGACAGGACTTCTGTCGACTTTGGATTTGTCGGTCGATCGTCAGGGCCAAGGCTAAGGCAAAGGCACCCGATGCAAATCTGACAGAAGCTGGGCGTTGATTATGTTGCGTGGAAGTACCCTTTGGTAATCAAACGTGGCTTGCTGTATATACATATTATATACAATTATATACATAATGTAGTATATAGATATGTACAATTATATATATATATAATATTATATATATATATTATTCAATGTAATGGGGTTTCATGGGATTTAAGGGTATTCCATTGGATTCTCTCAGGAAGCTGTTGGGATTTAACCGTTATATTATATTGTGATATATTAGATAATCATATATTGGTATTATATGTTCACTATTATGTAATAATCATAAATATCTAATAGATAATATTATAATCACCAACATAAATATTATATTGTGAACGATAGTCATATGGGGATATACCCTCTGAAACAGTAATCGAACATGGCGTGCTGGAGAATCATACATCAAAGGTTCCTTGATTTTCCCAGCTGTAAACCTCCATTTATAGTGGATTTCTAAGTGCCATCCTTGCTTACTGGAGGGTATTTGTGGTGTATTTATTGGTTTAATAAGTTGTTAGTTCGGCTCACCGACCGCATTCTTTTTGGTTGCTTGATGTTGGGTTGGTGGAGTTCCAGTTGTTGGTGTCAACATCATGAATTTCCCCCTGCAGCTGCTGCTTAACAGACGCGTTATCCCACATTCCCGGTTGATCAAACGCTTCAATTCCTGAGCGTTTGATCCTTGCAGCCCCTTGGGTCGATTGTTGTTTGATGTGTTTACTGTTTTGACCACTGGATGTGTTCGTCCACAAATAGGGACCATAGATCCGTTGCATAATCATAGTCACAATGGCCATAGTGTGGCTACACTTCCCAGGCGAAGTTAATGGCCAAAGTGGCTGAGAAGAGCCAAAAGGAACTCACCGTTGCACCTCGGCAGTGATGAATCTCAGTATGAATGGTACACTTCAATTGAATTCAATGATGATTTACCCTCTGGTAATTTAACATAGCTATTGAAAATGGCCCAGTCGAAATAGTGAGTTTTCCCATTGTACACGGTGATTTTCCATAGTTATGTAAACGTTTACCGGAGGGTAATGGGATGATCCGTGGGACTTAATACATAGAAAAATAGGGATGTTCAAAGATTTCAAAGCCCCTGTTGGTTGATGATTCCCAATTAATTTGGGATGTACCCTCTGGTTATTTGTTACATAGCCATGGTATAGATGGCCCTAATCGAAATAGATGGTTTTCCCAGCTAGAAACCTCCATTTATTAGGGATTTTCCATGGCTATGTTAAATAACCAGATGGTAGAATAATCCAATAGGGGAATTCCGTTGAACCAACCAGTAGAATGGAATGAATGAGGGTTCTTAATTCCATCCATCTAATTTTTTCAGCACCCCCATTGCATGGTCCCCATTGCATGGCGAAATCCCCTATTATTAAACCATGGTTTCTTGGGGGTGTTGAATCTTGGGGGGAAGAGATTTTGCTTGCATCCCCAGTTCACCCACATCACGTGCACCCAATTTTGCTATGTGGGATAAACTACCAAAAACACCTACCGTCTCGCGATGAACCACCACCCATCTCCGCCACTGAGGCAGCTTTGGCGGCCAAGGCTCAAACCCTGATGGGCGATGAAGGTGCAAATTGTTTGTTGCACTTGTGTTTCCAAGAGATTTTGTTTTCAACCTCCATGGATCTCAATGTTAAATTTGGATATGTTATGATATGTTGTTTTGTTTCAGTCTGTGTGCCTTTTTGTATTGTTGGTTTGTCATGCTCTGCACTTAGTGCAGTGTTTTATCGTGTGCTCAAGAGAGCATTCCTCATAGACCATCTGGTTATTTAACATAGCAATGGAAAATCACAATTTTTAATAGGTAAACCATCTATAAATGGGCCATTTTCCATGGCTATGTTAAATAACCACAGGGTAATATGTGGTGTGCTCGCAAGTTGCGAGTTTCCGGCCAGCAGCAAAAGATCACCCCTTTAAAAAAATCTTTGTCCGTGTCCATGTGTTAAAACACTTGTTGGATTGGTTTAAGGGAAAACCTACAGGAAACCATGGTTTTTATTTTACCATTTAGTATGGGGGTTTCCTGTAAATTTTCCCTTAAACCAACCCAGTGAAACACCATTTCTAACACATTTGTAAATCCTGTAACTCTTTCTTTGAACGTCAGTTTCAAATTATGTCGGATCGCATTTTGTATCATTTTGTGATTTTCATGTCGGATCTTGATTAGTGTTTTTTGGAGCCAGTATTACTATGTTATACTACATTATGACTATTTTGCATACCCCATAGGATCCATGTATGGCATATATGCTCACATGACTGGGGTATATGGATGGTAAATGTTACCATATATAGCATACATGGATCCTATGGGATACCTTACCCCGTATTTTTTGCAACGCCCCAACCATCCAACCGCTCTCCGGAGGTGCCTCATCGCCACCGCCGCCGCCAGCCAAGGCCTGGGTGTGACAAAAAAACGTGTCACCGAAAAACGGTGAATCCATCGGATTTTTTGCGGTACACAATGGGAATTTGGGCTGATGTTGTTTTTGCACAACCCCATATCGTTATATTTTGATGAATTTTGTTTTTTTTGTTTGGGAGACGAATGCCTAGTTTTCCAAACGGGGATGCCCACGCATTATCCAATGTGAGGCTATGTTTGACCCATGAATCTGCAGATTTCCGAAGTTTCCATGCAACCATGAAATATTTATGGGACTCAGGAATGTATATATACTGGATATACGGTGGATATAGTATCCCTGTGATCTGTTTTTCAAAAAGTACGCATGGACTATTTGCACACATCTTCTAAACCCACCCGGCAAGAGTTGAGACCTGTCTGTTTTCCCTGTGGAAAATCCAATGTGCTGGACATATTGATTCCATTTTTGTATCAAGGCCGCAAAACAGGATCAACAATTTTCCGAGGTGGTTTGGGGTACGCATACGATTACATATACTCTACATACATATATATATATTATATTAATATATAATTATATATACACAGCATGTCGTGCGTATATAAGTATCAAGTATCCTACCTGTGCCAAATCAATATCAATGATCATAATCATCCATTTAACAATATGAGTTTGCCATCCCAAAGTTGTGTCTAGTCTTTGATTTTGAGCTTTGTTAGTTTTAGATAAGCGTAGATAGGTTTGCCACATATCCCCACCAAAGGTTGTTGGCCATTGGCTGGGAACCAAAAACGATTCCTATAACGTGGCGCCCCCAAATCAAAAGTCCGTTTGGAGACCCCATTACGTGTAGATAAATCTACCATAAGTCCTAGTTGATTCGTTGACCTGCTGATAAACCAACCTAGCTAACTATGGCCTCAACTTGTAAGTAGTGAATCAGAAATTGTTGTTTGGTTCCCTGGATGTTTCTTGTTAGTTGGTTTATAACTCCAATAACTATGGTTTATGGTACTTATAACTATAGTTAATGGGGTTTAATGGGGTTTTTAACCACATTGATCCCATCTTCACCAACTAAAATGGCCAAGAAACCACCACCGAAGAAGGCAAGGTTGGTGAAATCGCTGGTTGCCCATGGAAATCATCATGTTTTCCTGCAATGTGGTGCCACCAAACGTGATGTGAACGTTGGTTTATAAACCCCATGAATACTATAGTTATAAGTACCATAAACCATAGTGAAATTGGAGTTATAAACCAACTTAGACTTAGCTATCTTGGGGGCCCCACATTGTGGTGAAGCTCCTTTGAAAACCACCATTTTTCAGCGTCAAATGCCATGAAATCATCGGAAATCTCCTAAATTCCCATATGGAAATTGCTGAAAAAGTGCTATGCTAGGCTGCCCCGGTGGAAGCCAAATCACCCGAGGGCGAAACGGTGCTCCGGGGATTTCGGGAGAAGTCCGGCGAGAAAAATCGATGGAAGATATGGAAATTCATGAAATTGACCTGGGAAATTCATGGAGATGGGTATGAAAATTCTTACCTGGAAATACCTGGAATATAATGGGAGATTAGTGGAAAATTCATGGAATATACCTATGGAGATGTCAATGAAAATTCGTGGATACCAGTTTTTTTTTTGTGGGTAGAACCATAGAATGGCCACTTAAATAAGGGCAATGATTGATATATGTTGGGATATAATCGGAATATAGTTGGATATTAAACATGGTCAGACATGAATGGGAATGTGTGGAATATATGGATATAACAAAGCCACTTGTATTGATGGCAGTGAGGGATTACAGAAACCCACAAATACACGGACAAACAACGGACTATATGCGGTGCGTGTATTTGGGGATACATATCGGAATATTGTAGGGATATATGAATGAAACGGTACTTATAGTTATGTACCCTCTGGTAAACTAACATAACTATGGAAAATCACATTTTTTAATGGGTAAATCCACTATAAATGGCCATTTTCAATAGCTATGTTAGTTTACCAGAGGGTAATTGGTTATTCTTTGATCAGTAATATTGTCTTAGTTTAAGGGAAACTGTGGTGACTATAATGGGATAAACATGGAGATACTACTGTGCAATTATAATCGGAAACCAACCAGACTAGGATGTCAATGTATTTATTTATATATACATTCAATGGATTGGTTTAAGGGAAAATCTTAACCGGAAACCATAGATTTTCCCCTTAAATATGGGGCTTTCCGGGCTTTCCTGTAAATTTTCCCCTAATCCAATCCATTGATACATGCATTTTATGTGTATATTTAAATATATAAATATGTAATCATATTATAGTCAATAAGTGGTGAGTTATTATAGTTGACAGATGTTTATGCAGATTTATCATTTGTTTTTATATCTTGGGGTTACTATATGTATGCCATTACATGTATATCTACACAGAGGAAAGGCATCCTTAGATAGACAAGTTGGTTTATAACTCCAATAGCTCTTGGATTTGCAAGGTAGATATGTAAATATATGTGCTATCGAACTAGATGGGTTTACCAACAATCAATCATAACTGGTGGATACTGTTGGGGTGAATGGAATGTACAACTACCATAGCAATCGCTGACTGAGATCATATGTGGGTAAATTATAACGACCTCACCGTTCTCCCTCACTGGAATGATGGTTAGGATTCGAATGTTGGTTCGGATTTAGGGCAACTATCCCAACATAGCAGAACTTTTCAGCTTTGTGAACTAACCCATAGGATCCATGTATGGTATATATGCTAACATTTGGGGTATATGGATGGTAAATGTTACCATATATAGCAGCACCATGGATCTTATGGGTAATGTTGATAGTGCGCGCTGTAGTAAAAACCATATGGATTGATGGCTCAAAAACCACCCATAAGAATAAATTTAAGCGATGGTTTTAATTTTTGCTTTACTAACATGAAATTATGTGGTTGGTGCTTTGGAACATGAATGGATTAGTTTTCCCATCGTATTGGGAATTTCATCATCCCAACTGACGAACTCATATTTTTCAGAGTGGTTGAAACCACCAAACAGTCATAAATTCTCCAACTATTTAGCCATGTTGATCAAGGATTCATAGCACTCCAGGTAGCCAAAGCTGCCAGCCGTCCCCCGGCGAAGGCGGGAATTCTGCGGAATTCTCTTGGTTTTTATCATCCAAATGGTTGAGATTTCAGCCAAACACTTGGAATTGGTATAGTTATTATAGGTACTGTATACTGGACACCCAACAGATTTGTATATTGGAAATATTGGTATATATAAACCACAGTGTGTGTTTTTTTCCTGAGAAACATGATCATTAAATTATGAAATCTGCGAAAACCATGAAGATTCATCTGTCACATTTTAGCGTTGCCTGGAACACCGTTTTCGATAGGTAAAAAGTTCCAGTTGTCCTTTGCTGCACCTTCATCAACTGTTTACGGAAACCCATTTTCTTATGGTTTGAAATTGAAATGCTTCAATTCCAAATGCGGAAAGCAATCACTTCCGGATCCGGTCCAAGTTCCTTTTTTACAACATTTTTGGAGACTCCAAGGTGTTAGAGCGTTCAGTTCCGCATTTCTTCCCGTTGGTTTTCCGTGTTGCGAAGCTTCATCAAACACGGTTCCAGACCCCATTGGAGAAATGTTGAGGCACCACCTACGGCCCTGATCAACAAGATCAAGGAGTCTGAGAGCGGCGAGCCCACCACATGACAGCGACCCAGGCTTTTCATGCAGCCTGAGCCGAAGATTGTCGATGTCTGAAGTGTCATTAAAAAATCCCCAACCGACTGGATAGGTAGCAACCAATCAGCTTAATCCTTTAGTTCTTTGTTCGAAATGGAAAGTAACCATAAGCAGCAACATATTACTTGTTTTTCGTGGACTGCCAAAGATTGACCATGCTTCGAAAAAGTCCAAAAAATCGAAAGCACCAAGCATGAAGTTCACCCCGAACCATGGAAATATTGATGAGAATGGATTGTTTCACTCCTTATCAGTTGAAAATGGAATTAGAATCACACTAAGTGGAGTAGAATGACGTTAGGGACCCCTGTGATATCCTCCCATTGATGGACGCCCCCACAATTCGTGCTTTTCTGGAATCGGCTTGTCAGCAGCATGAAGATGGGTACCCGTTCTGCTGAGCGCATGAGTCCTGAGGTCCTGACGATTTTGGCATATGTTATGATCACCACTTGCAGGCTGACATTGATATATTATTTCACTATAGAAAAAAATGTGATTTTGGCAAAATCATAGAAAGTGTAGCTGGGCTCAACTGGTGATCAGAAGCATACGGGTCTTGCTCACATATGGGTCACGAACAGATGGGATGAATTTGTCATTTTTAGTGAGTCCTATTTGGAGGTAACAAATTTTGACCCAATTCCCATGTAAACGTAAAAAGGAAACCATTCTGAAATGTCAGAATTTGCCCACCCAAGAACCGGATATAAACAATCAAAGATCGGACTGAACCAACCCAAACTGGAGATTTGTCAGATTTGGCTGTGGATCAACACCGCCTATGATACCATTTTCGGGGAGATGAAAGTGCAAGAGCAGCTGTTTTGGTGTGTAGCAGGGGTATGAGGTGTTTGATCTATAGCCATGTGAACTATGAACCCAGTAAATGATTTGGAACTTACAGAAAGAGAGAGAGATCAAAGTTCATCTCCATGTTTTTGCAAAGGTGACTATGGAGTAAACTAACATAGATGTGGAACATCTACTAGTTTTTAGATTGTTTTCCCCACCATAGTTTTTTTTGTTTTTTCCAGATTTTGGGACTCCTATTCCATTGGATCTGGTTATAGGAGGGGTTCCTCAATGGGGGTAATTACCCGAATAGCTGATAGCTGGATGGTGTATCATGGTTTCACTGGATGATTCAAGGTACCACTTTAGGAAACCTTCATCTTGATATCTGTACAATATAAAAATTGACAAATATTGTTAGTTGTTTATTGTACAATATAAAAGTTGATATAACTAATACACATATTTATCATCCATACCGATATCTGCACAATATTTTGTTTCATATGATCCTATTCAATCTTGATCTTCATGGGTTATATGCAGGGTCTGCTTATGATTCTTTCCTATATTTCATGATGAATTCTTATCTGGTTGAATCATATCGCTATTTGATCCGGAGAACGAAGAATTTCTCCTTCAGGGACATCAGCGTTGCTCCCGTGCGTTGAGCGTCTCCTTCACGGGGCTGTGAGACCTTGCGGTTCAAGAAGATCCTTTCTCAGTGAGAAGGGGACCTTGGTTATCAGAGGCGAAATGTGGCCCTCATCACTGGCACATCTCGAATAACCAGACTGGAATCCTGTGAAGTTGTGTTCTACTTCGACAGGAATATCACTTTAAGGCCGTTTTGATGTTGCGGGTAGAACCTTAACAGTAACAGTTGAGTCGTTTCAACAGTGATTATGAGGGGAATTAGTTCCACACAGATGATCTAGACCAATGATAGGGGCCTATTAGTTTTACATAGTAGGAAACTGGCTGCGGCCACAAGATAATAAGAGATCGCCTTCAGAGTTTGGATGTGACCAGTTGGATACCCAACTTACCCTCTGTTAAATTAACATAGACCCTGGCTAAAAATGGGGTTGGAAGACTAGTTTCCATTAAAAATTGGTGATTTTCAGGGTCTATGTCAATTTACCATGGGGGTAAGATGTTTTCTTCATACCAAAACAACTATGAACTATGAACAAAGCGGTATCCAATGGCCTGAGGCAGTGGCTGTCAGGCCGGCAGCACGGATTGCTGACATCTTGGGATCCCATGCCTTGTTTCCGGTTGCGCTGAGTATTGATCAAAATTCAACACCTGAAACCACAGATTGAATTAATGATTTTTGAGGATCTGAAAGTATATCACCGGAAACACCTTTTTCAAATCGTAGGTTCATATTTTCGGTCGCATGAGCGTTCCATTTTTAGGGCTACCCAATGAATCAATGACTTCACCGAGGAAACATCCAAACTCGTGGCAAACAGTGACCGGTCCACCGCGAGTGAACTGAAAAGCTCCGAAAGTCCCGGTGGTGGCTCCACTGGCGGGAACGACGTAAGGGGGGAAGCTCACCAGGCTGACCAGCCCACTTTATGGCAATTCTGTGGTGATAGTGAATGATAACGGTGTGTTTATATATATATAATATAATATATATATATATAGGAGCTACATATATATATATATAATTATATATAATTTAATATATATATATATATTATATATGTGGATAGTCATATATAGTTTTCGTCCAATAGTTGTCCGTTAATGATCTTTTTGGGCCCTTAGCTCCATCCGTTGGCTCTGGCCGTCGTCCGTCATTGGGTGACTACTGACCAATTGAGATGGGACTCGACATCTACTTATATTATTTGTTTACCATTGTTTACCATTGTTTACCATTGTTTACCATTGTTTACCCTAGACCTAGATTTCATTCAAAACAACTATGGCATCTCTATTTAGCACATTCGAGTGTTGATACATTTAACCCATAGCCGTTGTGTGATGAAAAGCTTCGATCCTCGGATCTGGTGTTCACTCCGTGGGTGGTCAAGTCCTTCGGCAGATCCCAAGATTGAATTGTAGCAACTTCAGCCAACATGTTTGGATGCTTTTCCGCATTATATATATATATACATACTTCGGTTATTTAATATGGTCCATTCATATCCATTCTCAATATATTAATATCATCACATATTTGAGTAGTATATTATCATCTGGATGTTTCCTAAGTCATGGGGATAGCTCCTTAAATCAATCATCCAGCTATTAGATTGAGCTCCAAATAATCATCCATTTTAAATAGATTGGGATTTTCCCATGGAAATCGTCACCATCCAGCGGTTGTTGGGGTACCGCCTTCGTCGTGGTCGCCCGCAGTTGGCCGCCGAAGCCGCCCATTGTCCGCTTCAGGGCGCAGATGGAGTGGGAACGCCCGGTGGGGCAGGGCCGCAGGGATGGGATGAAAAAAAGGGAGGAGGAAGCCGTAGAAATCATCGGAAAATATGGAAAAATGTGGGATTTAACACGTAGAAATCATCGGAAAATATGGAAAAATGATGGAAAATATGGAAAAAAAAATCAAGTGGGATGATAACTAAGTTGACAAGCACAACTTGTGGAAAACGTTTGGGTCAGAAATCTAGTTATATAGTGACGTAACGTGGTGGCTGTGGGTTGATTAGCATAACCATTCATAATCCATGAATGGGGAAACCCGTTCTCAACCAGTATGTTTGGGGACGACACATGTTTTGGCATACTCAAATAATATGTTTGGTATGTCTGAAAATGGGGATGTCCAAATCCCTTAGAACCATGTTACAATGTTCCTGGGGCAATAAAAAAAACATCCGTATACTAATTAATAATATTAATAGGAATTTTCAATCCATACTAATAGGAAATTTCAATGAGAAGTCTGATGATACGTGACTGAATTCTGGGGTGGCCCATTTTCGGACGAGCTCTTTGAGGGATATGGCCAGCGCTGGGGGGCGTTTCAAACGTCCCGGTTTCTCAGACCCAAAAGTTGGATTTGCCAAGTCGGTGATGTCTTACTTTCCCTGGTGAAACCGCCAGACATGAGGAATCTACATGAATTGACTGGGAAAATTCGGCTGCATATGAGGGGTTGCCACCAACCAAATCTCATGGTGTGTTCAACATCACATACAACAATCTACAACATGGATTTAAATGTCCACTTAAATTGCCAGAAATTGGTGGTATCCCGGTATCCTTATGTTTGGACACCATGGGGATAGTTCAGTGTCAAATTCCATATGGGATTCAGGGGTTGCCGAGAGCATTCACCTGATAAACAAAATTCAGTATATTAATATACATAAATATACAGACATCATTAATATGTATATATTATAACAATGTGTATATGTATATGTATGTATGTATTTATATATTTAAATGATATACATATATACATTATGAATACATACAGATATAATATTGAATTAAAAATACATAATATATATATAATTCTATATATATATATTATAGTATTTGCACACATATGTTACACTAGACTTTAAATGATATATATATATATACATACATAAGAAAACCAAGCATAGAAAGCGAATTTCTGCGCCATGCCCCCAGGTTCTCCAAAGAATTCGAGGCAGGCGCTTTCGTGGCCCCAGCAGGGCATACCTCCCATGGCAATGGGTCAACGGGGAACATGATGATTAACCATCATGGGAATCTACTTAGATGGGCCATGGAGTTAGTTAACTATAGTTATTAAATGGATTATAATTGGTATATAGAGGGTAACAAATCCACAGTTGAGCCAAAATTCGAATCTACTTAGATGGGCCATGGGATTTTGCCGATTCCTGGTTAGTAACTGGGGATTTGTTAGCCACAAAAAATCCCAATGACATAATCCATGGCTACTGACTAGTTAACTAACTCCATGGCCCATCTAAGTAGATAGAATGATGGTTGTATGATGGTTGAATCCCATAACCCATTTTCAGACAAACAAAAAATAGACTTCGTGGGACTCTGCGAGCTTTGGATGCTGTGCCACTTTGGAAATAGTTTGGAAGGCTCAGAGGTAGGCAAAACCGTTAGTGACTAGGCAATGAGCTAATTCCGAGAAGAAGACTTTGGGGTTAGAGCCCCAGTGTAGAAAATGGCGACGTATCGATATAAGCAGTGACCAGTTGACCCTGGCTGCTTGCTGGTTGATTGGTTATAGGGGGGTTACTAGCGACATCTAGTTACTATAGGCCACTATAGGCGGGTTCAATACATGTACGACCTAACCCAATTGTATACTGTCGCACTGTCGCACTTCTGGAATGTCCACCAACGTTTGGGGGTATCTTTGAGGGATGGGTTCACTTAAATCATTGGATTGGTTTCAGGGGAAAAATACAGGACACCCCTATGATTTTAATGGTAAAAACCATGGTTTCCTGTAATTTTTCCCTTAAACCAATCCAGTGATTAAAGAGTGGAATCCTGCGAGCCTCAGCCTTCACCATTGGACCTGACATCCAGCCCTTCTCAGTTCATCCTCGGCGCTCACCCAACTGGTCGGTGGGAACTAAATAGTGGAACTATCTTCAACCCTAAAAAACAGATCATCCCGAACTGCCCTAGTTTTGGACTTGAAACTTCTGTTCATATTTTAGAATCAGCCTGCTCAGCCTGTCACTATCTCGTGTCCCAACATTGGTTGAAGGCAACAAATGCAGGAACCCCCGATCAGTCAATTGGTGGCAAAAAAACATGGTTTCCGCAGTGGAGTGGCTTAAACAAAGCCATTGACGGTGCTGTGTCTGGAAAAAAGGGTACCCGCAAAACCACTGGTTTATCATGTTTCTCCCTATTCAAATGGCCATACATTAAGGTTATAGCCCATTTTCAGACACACCCAAACATCATATCAAGTCACATGAAAAATCACCATGTTTTTGTGGCTGAGATATCCCATGAAGCCACCATCATGTTCCGAAGGGTGAAATCCCCCCAAAAATCACGGCTTTGCAGGGTGTTAAATCCCATGAAATCACAAGTTCTTAGTAGTCAAAGCCCATGAAATCACCATTTTCCGAACGGTGAAATCGGTGAAATCCCCCCAAAAATCACCGTTTTTTTGTTCACATCCCCAGAAAAAACACAACTGGACTGCTGCTGCCTCGGCTGCCAGGCAGAGGAGCAGAAAAAGCACCGGAGGGCATCCCTGGACAAGGCGTCCCATCAGGAAGTGACGCCTGATGAATGGTGACCATAATGGGATAAATCCCATCTGGTTATTTAAGAGTTTGCCATGGAAAATCACTGATGCTATTAATAGGTAAGCCATCTATTTCTATGGGCCATTTATATATATATATACTGGTTGGTGCTTTGGAATTGGAATATGTTTTATTTTCCATTTCATAGATGGGATGTCATCCTTCCCATTGACGAACTCATATTTTTCAAGATGGTTAAAACCACTAACCAGATGGGATTATTATGATTATTAGGAAGTATTATGGATTATTTATTTGATAGATGGTGTATTTTTGGGATTGAAGCAGTTATTGGATTATATTGGATTAATGGGTACCCCCAAAACAGATGGTTTATAATGCACACAACCCTATCAATGGCTGGATGATTTAGGGGTACCCCGATGGATTGGAAACTTCCAAATGGGTGGTTGAGGAATGGATGGATTGACGGGAAATCACCCCGAATAAAACCCTCTTAGCTTGTTAATAGACAGGATATAGCTTAGCTTATTACCTCAAAATAGCTTATTACCTCAAAATAACTTATCCCTAATAAGATATGATATCTTATTGTGTAAGATATGATATCTTATTTTGCCAAGAAAGACAAAAACCTGTTCATCGATTTCATGTTTCAAAATACATGTTTTGTTTTTTTTTTGTTTTTCTGATTTCCTTTTCCAGAGTGTTATAAAATTTCCAGACTGATTTAAAGATGTTCCTCATTTCATTTGCCTGACATGTCATCGATTCAAGAATGATCTGAACACATCTGAAAGGTTTTCTTGAGTTCATTTTGCCAAACTGTGATGTTATTTTCAGATTGATCTGAAATCATTCATGTTTGAAGCTGCAGTGCTTTACAGTGTCAAGATCATTGGCGTTACATTTTCCTGGGATTTGTTCGCAATGCCGGACCCGTATGTTGTCAACGACATTGGTGTTTTTTAAAGGTAGCCTTGCCCACAAGAACTGTTTGGTCGACGAGTCGACCAGGCCAAGGATTACGATTATTGTTCTGGTGTACATGGCCATAATCTGGGGTATGTCATGGTATATTGATTTATTTCACAACCAATCTCTTACGAACATGGATGTAAATCACTAGATCAAATTTCGTAAACTCGTCCAGATGCGGCGTTCAATGTATTTGTAAATAGATGTCAATAGTATGTGCATGTTTACAAGTGGATAGGGACATAGATTGATTATTGATTGGTACATAGATGGATAGATATGATAGATGGAAAGAAACAAAAATAGATGGATTAGATGGATAGATATGATAGATGGAAAGAAACAAAAATAAATGGATTAGATACATAGATATGATAGATGGAAAGAAGCAAAAATAGATGGATTAGATGGATAGATAGATAGATCGATCAAGCGATAGATAAGACAGATATATATAAGATAGATAAACAAAAAACATAGAAACACACACACACATACATATATATATATAAGTTAGATTGGTAGATTGAATATACAAATTTACACATATATATATATTTACATATAGTGACCATACCTAGATCAACCACCAACCAGTATATCGATGGAAACTTGATATATAGGAATTTAGATCATACCTAGATATACCTAGATACATATCTAGATATCTATGGAAACCTAGGTATATTTACAGTGATCATACCTGGATATACAACCAGATGGATTAGATAATCCCAACTGACTTTCATATTTTTCAGAGGGTAGGTATACCACCAACCAGTCCATTATAGATGGGATTTTCCATGAAATAGGAATAGGAATATTGACTCATCTATCTATAGATATATGGTTGATATAAAATAGCATGCATATATATATATCTACCTACAAGGTGGTGACCCCCAAGTTATGTTTGTTGGTTTATAATCCCATTAATTATAGATATATCTACCATAAGTCCTAGTGAAATTAGAGTTATGTTCACCAATTGAACGCTATCGACCGGGGCCCCACCTTGTATATATTATAGGAATTTCGCCCCATCGGAAACATGTCTAGGCCGATGAGTCGAAGAAACTGCAAGGAGCCGATGAGGTCATCCAGGCGCTTTCGGTCGGTGAGGTCTTCGGTCGTTTTTGGGAATTTCCCATGGGAAAATATGTCCGTTTTTTGCACCCAAAAAACGAGGCTTTTCTGGTGGTTTAATGGCTTGATTTAAGGAAAAAAACATGGACAAATGAGTTTATTGATTTTTTTTAGAGTTTCACCAGCAAAAAATGGAGTTTTATGGAGTTTTCATGGCAATTATGGTTGATTTATGATGGCAAAGTTGACGCAGTTCTGTTGGATTGATTAGGAGGATAGAAGCATTCATCGTATTCATCGGGGGTTATAAATCAACCAACATAACTGGGGTGGACCCCTTGATGGCTAAGTTGGTGAACATAATTCCAATTTCACTATGGTTTATGATACATATAACATAGTATTCATGGGGTTGATAAACCAACAAACATAACTGGGGGCCACATTGTAACATAGTTCAAATTTATGGTAGACGTGTAAACCAACAAACATTTCACAACTGGAGGTGGCGCCACCTTGTAGAGACCTGGCTGGTGAGTTTGGAAGATGATTCTTCGTCCATGGTGGGTGTTCAATATTGACCTTGATTTGCTGAAGGGTTTGTTTTGTTTTGTTCAAATTTGTCTTTGTCGTAAAGACATATACGTGTTGTATATTGTATATAACTATATTATATATATATGTATATACGTGCATATTTAGCAAATGAATCCTAGTTTGTAGGATGGGTCTCTCAACCACCAATCAGATCCGCAAAATTTGGTATACATTTTTTCCTGGTATGTTACTTTGGGTGTCATGTTCAAAGGTATTTCCACATGTGTAGTTGCAATGGCCATCAGACCCGCGGCTAAAGGCATGGTGTGCAAAATGGTACGTGCTTTTTAAATGCGCAAGGTTGAAAATTTCTGTCAAGGGATGTACATGGGGTTGTCACGGTTTGTCTGAAAATTGTGTATCCCTAAATCCAATGGATAATCATCATCATCATCATCATCATCATCCCTATGCCATGGCTATAATTGGGGGATATACCGTATACCCCATATTCAGGCATTTATGTGCAGCGAAGAAAAATGTTACAGAAATATATTTGGGTTCTACTTACTTTTTGAAGAGGGATCACATATGAATAGCACCATATGAATAGCTTGAAACACCAAATGATTGACGCTGCTCAATTTATGCGGAACTTGGATGGAGCATTCCTCATTGCTTGACGTCCTGGAATTGACAAGAATCTACATGGATATGCTGGTACTTTTGGATCAACATCAGCCAACAAAACCCGTTCCTTTCCAAGTCAACTAGAAGTTGTTTGTTGCCCCTACCCACCCAAAACAAATCATCCCAATTCAATCCATGAATTCCATGAATTCGATATCAGGACAGTCTAAGTATAGATACATCCCCATAAATCCACCAGCCTGGTGTTTAACCAACCAACTTAGCAGTTTTTGGTGGAGTCATTGTTTTTTATGCTCAACCTTATTTAGGATGATGCTTTTGATTTTTGTGTCCCATTCTTCAGTCAGGTTTTTGTGTACCATCAGCAGTTGTCAGCAGTTCTTCGTTTCGAGGACATGACTTTGACCTGGATCAACATGTACTTCAAACTCAGTGTGTACACCGAACGCCAGCTCACGGTTTCTTGGACTCCACGCTCGGGCACGGTCAAAAAGGGCGAGGTAGGTGAAACACCCTGAAACACGTTTCGAAGGGAGTAGACACCAGTGGGGTGTGTTTATCGTTGTTTTCACCAATATAATCGATAAACATAGGTGAATACAGTTGTAATTATATATGATATATAAAATATATTACATATATCCATAATTGTGCGGAAATAAGAGTTTAACTCTACAATGTTGGGTTTGAGGCTGTGTGATGTCCTGATGTTTCAAAAATATAAGCATCAGCTGAAATAGTGGTATCTGATAGTGTTAAACACCTCCAAGGATCTCCAAAGTTGATGTTGGTACCCTCTGGTTATTTAACATAGCCATGGAAAATGGCCCATTTATAGATGGTTTACCTGGGTTTACCTATTAAAAATGGTGATTTTCCATGGCTATGTTAAATAACTAGAGGGTATATGAAATAAGGAAACCTGAAAAGGGGTTCCAATCGACATGTCTTCTGAATCCTTTTTGCATGGCATCACCATGCCCCCTACCCCGTACCTGTTACCGCTGCAAGGCTGGGTTTCCGATCATTGTCCTGTCCATGATGGATGTGATTTATCCCAAGAAAGTCCGATGGCATCAGGCCTGGGTTGGCCATGGTTGGTGATTAACAACCCACCGCTCCTGGTTTTGTTGGAGAAAAAACATACCCTTTGGTAAGTTCACTGCCTGGCAATTGAAATCCCAACTGCCGGAGACTTTTCTGGGACGATCTAGTCATTGATGTTCCATGGATTTTCCAATGCCAGCTTCACTTGGAAAAAAAAACAAAAAAGCACAAACAAATGATATTTCCTCAAAGTAGTTCTGGATTGTCCATTGTAGATTGGTTTTAAGGGAAAATCGTCCAGACTATATACATTTGGGGACGAAAAACCTACAAGGTGGTGCCCCCCAAGTTATAAGTTGGTTTATAATCCCATTAACTATAGATATATCACCTATAAACCATTTTTGGCTATTTGGAATTATACACCAACTGAACGCTATCAAGGGGGCACCACCTTGTACCTTACTGTACCCTCTGGTAAACTAACACAACTATGGAAAATCACCATTTTTCATGGGAAAATCCACTATAAATGGCAATTTTCAATAGCTATGTTAAATTACCAGAGGGTAGATTTCCCCTTAATCAATCCATTGACACATCCTGTCAGGTCAACTGGAATACTGCCTACATGAGGGCCTCGAACCCAGCGACCATGGGTGGTTTTTCGTAACAAGCCGCGATAGCTGGGGCAGTGGCCCGTTGATGGCAGGGAAAAGCATGGGAAAACAGGGAAAATGCCCTGTAAATGTAGGTTTCTCGCTAGAACCATAGCAAAAAATGGATTATACATGGGGAAATTTCCATGGACATGTGTGATGACAAGAGGGTAAATTGAGAAGCATTGTTGCCAGCTGTGGCTTTGGTTTCGCGATTGCCAGGATGAGAGTTTTTAGGTCTTGCTGGTGGTACATTAGGGCATGAAATTGAGATTTGCAATCTCTGAGCACATTCATCAAGCAAGTCTTGCACAGGTTGACGTGCAGGACTTGTTTATAAATTCAACTACAGCTTCTCACACCATTCAGAGGTTTGTCAGACCCATATCATCCAATAGTTGGGCAAGGGATTGAATCCGTAGTCAATATGTCAAGAAACATCGGTGACATTGACTCCCATTCAGTTCAAAAAAGTAGTTGCAGGGGGGTGATCCACTTCCATTGGTTAGTAGAGATTGCAATCACCATTCTGCCATTCTGAAGGTATTCAATCACATGTTTTTGATAAAAGGTGCCAGTCTTGTCATGGCTCATGTACATACCTGGTTGGTGGTTTGGAACATTTGGATTATGTTTCCATATATTGGGAATAATCATCATCCCATCTGACTAGCTCATATTTTTCAGAGGGGTTGGCTCAACCACCAACTAGACTATTATTAGCCAGTAGAAACCGTTACTAACCATTACTATGGCTGATTAACCATTACTAACCATTACTAACCATTACTATGGGTAGGGCTCAACCACCAACATGGCATTGGACATTTTCCCCATTTTACAGTGGCGAGTTTCCCATGACAACCACCGTGGTGTCGATGTCTAGCCACAAAGCTGTGACCGCGCTACAGGCGCTGAACCAGAATCATGCCGTCCTCAACAAGCATTGGTATGAGGCCCCACTGTGCTTAGATGGGCCATGGAGTTAGTTGACTAGTTAGTAAATGGATTATAATTGGGATATAGAGGGTTATATCCCCAGTTACTAACCAGTTAGTTAATCCCATAGCCCATCTAAGTGGGGCGGGGAACTGTTGGATGGCAGATTGGGGTTAAAGGCACCTTTTTTTTAAGGATTTTTTGAGCTGAACGCTGCGATGCGCATCTCAAACTCTGGCAGGTCAACATGAACAAAGTCAAGGACTGCGGATTTGGGATGTGGGTGATGTGGGTGGTCGTTTTTCCGGAGCAACGCGTCCCATCACACTTTCAGATGCACTTGTTTTTTTTGTTACCAGCCCTTTCTTATCCTTGTTTCAGATGTTTCAGGTCTACCCTCTGGTAATTTAACATAGCTATTGAAAATGGCCATAGGAATAGTGGATTTACCCATTGAAAATGGTGATTTTCCAGTTCGCTATGTAAACGTTTACCAGAGGGTATGGCCGATGTAAGGATTGTAAGAGAATATCTTGGATATCTTAAGGGGTGCAGTTAGGGAAATGTGTATCACCATGCCGACCCTTACCCCATGAGTTGGCTGCGGTGGCGCTGAAAGCAGTGAGGCACAACTGACTCAAAGGAAGGCCTTCGAGTGAAGCCATCATTTTTTTGGGGGATGTCATAGGGATACAATGGGTTATACAATCATATATCTATAGAACATATTAACATTATATCATCTATATCCTTCTGGGTTATACAACATTATACAACCATATATTTTAGTTTTATCCCAACTTCAAGTCACTGAATCCCACATCATCCTGATCATGTAACTGATGACGATGGCAGTAGATTCAGGATTTGTTCGAACTCTCGTGTTGTTCCCACTTGACAAGTTTTTTGTGAAACCTACTCACACTAGCCATTTTTTTTTGGTGAAACCTAATTGTGCGCGCCTGGAACTCAAATCACCATGATTTTGGAGTGTCGCCCACTTTCCGTGCCAAGACCCTTCCAACATATTCCAAAATTGAGGTCACAACGGCGTTTCAGATCAACCTTTCCTGGTAGCATTGGGAACCACTGCAAGAGGTGCCCGTTTTCAGGTCGGTGAATGATCCTAATTTATCCAATACTCAAACAAAGCTTCCTTGAGAATGCTGCATAATGATTTTTGTTAGCTAAAATCATTTGTAGATGGCTTGTTTTACCATGATTTATACATGATGTTCTATTAAATCCTCCATTTATAAGGTATGGCTTCTCGCCATAAACCTTTGTTAGTTAAGCTGATTATAATCATAATCCCATTAAATCCCATCAAATCCAGTATCTTAAATCCCATTAAATCCCATCAATCCCTATTAAATCCCATCAAATCCCATTCAAATCACCATATCTTTTGTTTTTACCAGTACCTTTCCCAGTGGAATGCCGAAACAACATGAAACAACGCCCAGGACCTTCGCCAGGAGGCCGTTGGGCACATTGAGGCGACCTTGCATGCCACTCCAAGGGAGGCAGGGCTAGCCGGCTAGCCACCGGTGCCACGGTGGGCCTCGGAAAAATGCTGAGTTGGCCTTGAAAAATGCTGATTCTAATGGGATTTTATGGGATTTTATGGTTCTTTTTTATGTGATTTTATGTGATTTGAAGTGAGTTTTAATGATGTTTTTATCCCTTGAAACATGGTGATTGAAGGGTGAACACGCTGGTGTTGCGATTTGATTTAAGCCATGAGACATGGCGATGCCACAGGAATGGTGAGTCGAAACATAGAAACTGATGATTTAACATGTTATTTAACATGATTTGTCCATAGAAAATGGGATATATTGGGATATGATATCAACGCATAAATACGTGGGTTTAACATGGTTTAACATTCATCATGGGGGGGAAAGTGGAACACTACTTAGATGGGCCATGGGATTAGCTAATGGTTAATAACTGGGGATTTGTTACCCCCAAAACATCCCAATGAAATAAATAATCCATTTACTAACTAGTTAACTAACTCCATGGCCCATCTAAGTTGCCTGAATTACTGAGGATGAGTTTTTGAATATGTTTATAACTAGTCATTGCCTACTTGACGAGGATCCAGAAATGGCAGCAGGATCCCCAGACCCTGTTTGAACGGAAACGCTCGCAGCGAGCCGAATCTTTGGGCGTTTCATGGAGAAAATGATGGAACATGATAATGATTTTTAGTGGAATGGGGGTAGCCCATGTAAAAATCATTTTTCAGTTAAAATCGTTGCGTCGCCGTGCTTTCGGTGAAATAGCCCTGCGCGCTCAGAAGCTGGACTTCTTAAAGCAAGTGAAGCGGTGGTTCGACTGTCGGCACTGCTGACCTGATTTGATGCTGGTCATGTCCGGCAGGGATGGCTAAGTGGTGGGTTAAGCGTTAGACAAAATGGCGATTCGATGGGGTTCTGGTTGGGATATGTATCGGATACCCTCTGGTAAACTAAGATAGCTATGGAAAATCACATTTTTTAATGGGTAAATCAACTATAAATGGCCATTTTCAATAGCTATGTTAAATTACCAGAGGGTATTGATGGGGATACACAACCAACCATGTGACAGTTTGAGTTTGGGACCTGAAAATTGGTGAATCGCCAAGTTAAAAGCAATACAAAAAAGGGGATCATGATGCACCAGTGGATGCAATGGGGTATACTCAGACAACCCCAACCATTTTCTCAGGGTTGATGATTTCGACCAGCCCAGAGCCATTTGCTGAGCCCGACGTAGTCAGACCCACAGGTTTTGTTCCAGATACTGACAGGTCCAGTCCGCCAGGGACAGGTGAAACGTTAAACAATGCCGTCCTAAGTAATTGAATACCATCCTTAAATTTCTGGCCAAGTATTGGATTAGTTTTTATTTCTGGGTTCCAAGAATTGAGGATAAAAAGGCGATTCTGGGATGACACATTGTGTTTCATGAGTTTTATATATAGTTTTATTGTGTACATGTCTACACCTCATATTTTGATGGGTTACCCTCTGCTTATTTAACGTCGTTATGGAAGCCCTGGCGATAGAAACAAATGATTTACCTACAGAAAATAACTATATGTTCCACAGTTTTGTAACAAATTGGCACAGGGTAAAAAAAACTTCTGTTGGTTTCATGCTAACCATCCCATGCAGAAAATCCCAGACGATTTGGGTGAAGCCGAGACGAAAACGCCAGGGTCTTGCACTCCAATGCCTACAACCCTGTGAAGCGAAGAACCGAGATGGAAAAACAGCGACTTGGCGTCCAATTCGTTGGTTTTTTGGGTGTAACTCTGGGATTTGAACCTCAGTTGGGATATAACCTCTACAACTATGGTGAGATAAGCCTTTTTTTCTAGTGGAATTGCACCCCCAAGTAGAAACGATTGGAGAAGTGTGCGCAACTCTTCAGCAATCTTACAGTACTGAAATGTCAGCTGACTTGTGCAAACTGACTACTTTTTTATGGAAGTATACTGCATTCACTCTGCATTCTCACTCTTGCATCATCTTGCATCCCCATTTGCACTACAGAACTTGATTGGTTTTACCCACTTAACGTGGTTGTCCAAATCCGTTTAAATATATTTTTCTTGCATAATAAAATAGATACATTTTGGCGTACTCTCTGGCATTCAAAGGTGGGTTGCTGGATTTTGTTTCATTCAGTTCGATGATTTTCCCAGCTAAACCTCCATATTGATATCCTACTGATATTCAGTTCGGGAATGTGATTTTCCAGCGATCGCCATCTTTGATGACACCGTATTTTTTGCGGGTTTGTGAACTATCTACACAGTCCATGCTCAGCATTGCTCAGCCCAGCCAAGGATTCGTCTCACAGGGAGGTGGATGAAATTTCCTGTTTGGATGGAGTTTGATAAGGAGGACACCACTGGGTGTCACCTGGAGGTCTTGTTAGGACAAGGGCGCAAAAAGGAAGAGTCAACAAACGAATCACCGTTGAAGTCTAGTTGCTGTAAGCAGGGACATATATATAATATAATATACACAATCATATATATATATACACGTAAATATAGATAAAATCCTGTATATATGTAATTATATATATATGTATATATGTATATATGTATACATACATATCACAATCCCACATAATATATATATATATACACACCAACCATATTACAGTATTTACTGTATCTAAGATGGGCCATATGATCACCAGGCACCTGAAGCCAGCAGCCATCATACCCAGACATCGAGATCCTCCAGCCTGTGTATATTCCATGAGTTCTATGTGCACACATCACATATTTCTGGGTAGATTATAACGACCTCACTGCGACCTCACTGGGAATCATGGTTAATAAGGGGAATCATCCCCAAATGGCCTTAATTCAGGTTAGTGAATGATTATAATTTACCCAGATATCATATCAGCTGGAAAAATGTCACATAGGTTCATCTAATAAATCTACATCTCATATATATATATATACATACATTAATGTGGTAAAGCCAAAAATAAACTTCCATTTGGGGATGTTATCTACCACCCATTAAATAATGACAATTTTGGGTTGGTTTATGCTTGGGTTTACCACATTATGCACTACACATTACATTCGATAGATAAATCCGATAAATCTATATACATAATATATTCTGGGTAAATTATAACGACCTCATAGCGACCTCACTGGAATCATGGTTAGTAAGGAACATCATCCCCAAATGGCCGAACTATTCAGGTTAGTGAAATATTATAATTTACCCAGATATCATATCAGCTGGAAAAAATGTCACATAGCTTAATCTAATAAATCTACATCTCATATATATATATATATATTAACATACATTAATGTGGTAAAGCCAAAAATAAACTTCCATTTGGGGATGTTATCTACCACATTATAGTACATACATATAGTATATACATACACATTATGCAACGTTGCAACGTTGCAGATACCAGGAGATCCAGGCGAACCGTGCGCGGAGACCGGATCCTAAGGATCGGAAGTGTCTCGGAAGTTTGGCATTTTTTCGCCGTTTTGTTTGGGACCAGAAAAACCTGGAAATAAGGTGATTTAATGGGTTTTAATGGTGATTTAATGGGATTTCACACACTAAAATGGTGATCTGGTTGGTGGTTTGGAAGATGTTTTATTTTCCCCAATAGTTGGGATGATGATCCAATCTGACTTTCATATTTTTCAGGAGGATTTCACACACTAAAATGGTGATTTTTCATGGGATTTGACCAAGAGGGACTTAACCAGAATGGTGATTTCATGGGATTTAGACAAGAAGAAATCTATGATTTGGGATGTAACAAATGGTCGCCCCAGAAAATGGGGAAGGAACTGGGAAAATATTGGGATGTCACTAGATACTAGGGACTTACCGTTTCACCATGTTTTTCACCCAACATTTTACGGGATGATTTGTTTTTCCTGGGATATCCTGGGGGATCCGCCAACAAAAATGATCATGATATTGGGGCAATATAAATATATATATATATAATTATACCCTCTGGTTATTTAACACAGCCATGGAAAATCCCCATGTTTCATAGGTAAACCATCTATTTCTATGGGCCATGGCTTAACCATGGCTATGTCAGCCATAACCAGAGGGTATGAATGGAGATTCTGAAGGTGAGATGGATGATCATGCCACATAGACCATGTTGTGACGGCACATAACATTAGGAACTCCTAAAACCTTTACCCTCTGGTAAACATACAAAAAACTATGGAAAATCACCATGTATAATGGGAAAATCCACTATAAATGGTCATTTTCAATAGCTATGTTAAATTACCAGAGAGTAAGACTTATGTTTGATTTATCTTTAACTTGTGGCCGTCTATATTATATCTTTAAAAATGAACATTGGATAATTTAATGCGATAAAGACAACACCATACGCCAACAGCCAGCAATGGGGTGGATTTGTGAATTCCAACCCAGTTGGAGAAAGTCATTGGGCATGGTGCATCGTATACCGCAGTCACTGCATTGGCACGGCTACTAAAAGGCACGCATAAAATCTCTGTTTGGAAAGCAAATTCAACTATATGATATGAGTTTGTTTCTGCACAATGTAAGAACGTTTCGAGAAGTTTGCGGAGAAAAGTTGAGTTTCCGGAATCGTTGCAAGGTCTTATCAGATTATCAGACATATGACATATGATATACCCTCTGGTAAACATACAAAAAACTATGGAAAATCACCATGTTTAATGGGTAAATCCACTATTTCTATGGCCATTTTCAATAGCTATTTTGACATAACCAGGCCGGGTTTCTGTGTTTTTTCTGGAAATCAACCGACTCAGTGGAAAAATGACACTTGAGCAACAGGGGTTTGTGCCAACAGGAAAATAACTACATCAAAGAGAGAAACGTTATATGAAAGACCTAAAAGGGGTTCAAGATGATTCAAGATTTGAAGAAAACAAACACAGGGCTACAATAAGTGGTCATGATTTCTCTGAAATTTGCCTGCTTATATATGTTTTTATCAGTTAAGCTTGATTCATGCAGACCTTGTCCCATCACTTCCATGGAGGTATAGCTGTGATGGGTTGGGTATTGGTCCAATCATGTCAATTCTCCATGCTCGCTGGGTATGTCCAAGATTTTGTTGGCAAAATCTTAGTCCTCATTTTCCAATTGGATTTTTGTTGCTGTATGTTCTCTATTTTCTCTTGGTCCAAGCCCTTGTAGTCTGCCAAGCCACCTTGAAGCTTAAGGTCTGGGAAGAAGGAGGCCACCACGGACTTTGAGAAAATGCCAGAGTTGGGGTACTCAAAAAACGCCTTTCGACGCTACCAAACAAGTTCGCAAACGCAACATCAAAAAGTGGTTGGTGGTTTCAAACATGTTTTATGTTCCATTTCATATATGGGATGTCATCCTTCCCATTGACGAACTCATATTTTTCAAGATGGTTATTGCAGCACCACCAACCAAATATATATATATAATTATATATATACATTAACCATCATAAACCATATAATAACCATTAATATTAACCATATGTTAATAATATTAATAGTATATGACCAACGAATGGTAGGTTGATGTTCCAACGACTTGCCACTGAAAGGGCTTGGGACCTTGGGACGTCAGCCGTGGAAGGCGAATCGGATTAGAACCAAAGGATTGGAATTGGACCAAGAGAAAAAAAAGGTACTACTAACTTATACATAACCCGCATAACTTGATAGAACTTGTCATTTTTGTTTGTTTATTGAAAAAACAAAAAGTGTTGATTGATGTTGGGTATTGACATCTTCCCCTGGGCCCATCACCACCATCCCGTGGGCTCAAGGTGTCCCGAAGGTCCCGAATGGCCTGATCATTCCCCGGCTGAAATTCACAAGTGGCTTAGAAGAACCATGGTTCCTTAATGTGGGTAAAACATGGTAGTTTACCATGTCATAAACCACCCATGACTGGGAATTGTTGAACAACAATTTATGGTGATTTAGGGGGTGGTTTATTACTTCATATCAAACCGGCTTCATCGAATGTTTACAATTCAAAACTCGTCTACAGCAAGTATGAACACAATGTGTGCTTCAATTGTTGCTCTTAAAATCAAGTTCTCATAGTAGCATTGATCCTTCCATGATTGTTAGTATCAAGATGAAATCCATTGTTAACAGCATTAATAATTCCAGTATACATTAATCAGTACCATAAATAGCGAGTTAAATGAATCCTTCCAGTATTGTCAATCATCATTCATCCTTCCATTGGTGTGAATTATTAATCAGTTTAATAGCTCTAATCTCAAATCATTCAATCATGAATCATTAGTCATGAATCATGATTAACAATCATCATGATTGATCATTCATCAACTATAGACTTTAGATGATGATAAATGATGATTGATCCATACAACATCGAACATGAACAACGAATCATTATTGATCCATATGGCCTTGAGTCAAATCCCTCCCAAACGGTACCCAATTCTATAGCGGGGCTGGATGTTTCGTCCCCCAGTCATATGGTAATCTCATTGGTTTTGACACATCTCCATAGGGGAAAACATCATCTCTACATATCTCTACCATCTATATATACATATCTATACCATCTATACATATCTATACCATCTAATCATGATCCATTAAATGATCCAATAACTGATCCCAAGCTGCCTGGGTATCCTGCCTTCGGTCAAAAGGTTCCGACGTCTGCTGTGGTTCCTGGGCTCTTCGGAGCACCAGACCATGCCACTTGGCTGCTGTCCGGTTGGGGTTGGATTTCGCAACCATCCACAGTATCTACCCTCTGGTAAACTAACATAGCCTAGCTATTGAAAATTGCCATTTATAGTGGATTTACCCATTCAAAATGGCCAGAGGGTAAACATATTGTAATATATACTGGGTAAATTATAACCACCTCACTGCGACCTCACTACAATATAATTATAGTTAGTAAGGGAAATCATCCCAAAATGGCCTTAATTCAGGCTAGTGAAATATTGTAATTTACCCATATATATATATTATATGATGGGTTAGGGGTAACTATCCCCAAATGGCACAACTGTTCAGGTTAGTGAATTGTTATATGTTTCCCGATAGACACAATGCGGGGACCCTCAAAGTAGCTAAGCTGGTGAACATAACTAAGTAAAAAAACTGTTGGGTTAAGAGGGGATATATCTATATATCTACATGGGGGTACAAACCGACTTACTTATAACTGGGGGGTTGCCATTTTGTATATATATATATGTATATTTATATATATACATATCATACATTGTATGTAAGACACACCTTACAACAAATGAACTAATGATTTATCACTATTCTAGCAGGATGTGGTTTTCTATCTCTAAATTTTAAATGGTTCTGGGTTTGCTGGGGAACTTGGATGGGTTCGTTGTTGAGCTATGAGGGATTACATGGAAAACCATATGGAGGTGTCTTAAGTCATGGGGGTACCCCCCAGTCATCCACTGGTTGGTGGTTTGGAACATGGCTTTTATTTTCCATTTCATATATGGGATGTCATCCTTCCCATTGACGAACTCCATGATTTTTCAAGATGGTGAAATTGCACCACCAAGCAGTCCATTTATAGATGGGATTTTCCCATGGAAATAGTCACCATCCATGTGAGGGTACCTTCATTGAAACATCGCTACCCGTTACCCATGGGATACCTCCACCCGATTTCATTTTGAATTAGACATGATGATCAACCGATGAAATGAGGTACCCTATCCCACCAACAAACCGACAAAAGACTATGAGCCTGGCCATAGATTGATAGGAGAAACTGTTGCGGGATATACAAACACCTTCTGAGATTGTACTTTGGGTTGGTTTTTGGACGTGTTTTGCTATATAAACACCTTCTCAGAGCCTATTTGGAGTAAAATTGGAGCATTAGGGTTTGGCCTCAGGAAAATGTGTATCCCCATTTGTAGGTCTACCGTCTATTTGCCATATATTCACTTGTATCCCGATGTGTCCACCCTTTTCCAAATGGTCAGACGGTCATTAAAAACAGGCTTGCTCCAACCATCAAAAAGGATCAATGATAGCCACTTTTGGGGTCAAACCTGGGGTGTTTGGAGCCCCGAAAAACATCTCATCACATCTGAAAGCACCCGATCTGCACCGGTAGGTGAGATGAGGGTTTCACCGATGGCGACCGCGGGCTCAACCGGGGCCGGTCGCGCGGTCGCGGTCGTTGCGATGATGGAAATCCTGAGGAAAGCTGGGAGAAGCAGCATTTGAAGCACCGTTGCATCACAAGATGATACTAATAGCATTGGTTAATAATGGATGATAATGGTTAATAATGATCATTGTGTAATCTAGAACCAGAATCTAGAACCAGAATGATCATCATTGGTTCATATAGCTTCATACTGGTTAATAATGGATGATAATCGTTAATAATAATGCTAATAATGATGGATAATGGTTCATATAAATGTTAATATGAAGGTCATCGATAATGGTTAATGAAATGGCCAATATCATGGCGAATAGAATCTTAGAACGGTTAATTTGATGGTTAATATAGTGGTTCATATAATGTTTCGGTTCGGAGTGATTCCCATTTGGTCATCCAACATTCCCAGCGGAAAACTCGACCATGGCCTATGGATCCAGATATTTCCATAGAAGGTGGTGCCCCCAAGATAGCTAAGTTAGTTTATAACTCTAATAACTAGGACTTATGGTAGATATATCTATAGTTAATGGGATTATAAACCAACTTATAACTTGGGGGGCGCCACATTGTAGAAGGTGCTTACCCCCCTAAAACCTGCGGCCTCAATACGTCAGAAACTGTGAAAACGGTTTCAGAAAAAGGTCAGATCAGCTCTCAGCGTTGCATCCACATTTGGGCCCATGACCTCCAGAAGAAGATGAAAAACTGACCTGGGTCCCACAAAAAAGCATAGAGTATTAGAGTTCCATTCATAATTTTCCGCATGCCAATGATTGGTTTCAGGGAAACCGGGTTCCCCTCCCAAAATATGTCATGATTTCCAATGGAGAAAAAAAAAACATGGGTTTTGACAGATTTTCCCAACTCAACCAATCCAATGAGCCAACTCGTTCCGTGCTTTCTTCGCTTGTGTCCAGTGAGCCCGCGCCAGTCACCGCGGATGAAAAAGATGTCCGTGGAACCCTCTTAAGTTAGGGGTCGTTTGGAGGAGATGTCAAGCAAAGCCACCACCAAAGCTTGTTCGAGTGGAAGCCTAGAGGTATACCAAGTGCCCAAGTTGCATAGAGATCATAGGATGATCCTCCCACCTGTCGGATGGTTTTGACCCATGTCCACAGAACCACACACTTTCCTATCAAAGTCCCAGCTGGTCATGTTTTTTTTTCATCCAGGGACCGTTCTTCGGGTAGCGCAACAAAGCAGACGTCGTTTGTTGATGGGTCTGAAACCAGATGCTGACGCTCCAGTAGCTTTATTGCGACATCCTATGAATCTATGTGTACATGGTTTACACTGTAGCTATAAAATGAACCTACTTGGACGGGCCATGGAGCTATATAACTGATGAATTGCAGGCGTATATCCTCATAAACTATGTCACCAGAAAATATACACAATATATATATATAGATGCAGCTCCATGCCCCATTGAACCTAGCACGGTTCAATTTCCCATCCATTTGACATTTGAAATTGCCAGAAGTTAGAAGAGAGTTCGGCTTGAGGAAGCGTCTACAAGAGTGCAGAAGGGGCATATAATGGAATAATTAATATAATATATCTGTATATATTGGGGTTTCCATAAATGGGGGGTACCCGAAAATGGATGGTTTAGAACGAGAAATCTTATGAAAATGGATGATTTGGGGTACCCCAATTTTAGGAAACTTTCATATGTATGCATACATGTCACTGTTCTTGCGTGTACTTGTCTTTTTTTATGTAGAATTATCATGAATTATACACGGGTGCATCATGGTGCATCATATTTATATGGCTATGGATCAATACCTATAAGTACCATTTTTAGTGGGATGAACATCCATTTACCAGCTATTTTGATGTTCACCAGGAGTACACGGTTTTGACCCACTGCCATATGTGTTTATTCATTATAGATATTATAGTACAATTGGCAAACATATGCCAAAGATGCGTCTCAAACACAAGGCAAATCACGCGAGGTGAGGCTCTACATCCCCCATAGATGGCCCACCAGGCTCAAGCACCGGAGGGAAAAAATCTGACCCAATGCCAAGTGTTCAAGACCGGCTGGATACAGAGGCCGCTGGAAATCGCCGAAGAAGTGGGGATTGACGCATGGAACATGCATGAAAAATTGGCAATCATTCTGGGAAAAAATTGGTGTCCCGGTGGGTTCAGAGGTTCGACACCACCAAAGTGAGGTTGCACGCAAAGTTGCCCATAGGGTCCTCAGTGCAAGATGTTTGACATTGTTTGACCACTCTTTGTTTACAGAAATTGGAAGTTCAGTCATGGGGGTACCCGGGGTACCCCATTTATCATCCATTCTCGAGGAGGATTTTCATAGCCCGGTGATTTGGATTCACCCCAAGTCCGACTTGTTTTAGGAGGTCATTAGCTACGCGCCATAAGAACTGTTATAGCTGGTTGGTGCTTTCAAACATGTTTTATTTTCCATCATGTATGGGATAATCCTTCCCATTGACTAATATGTTTCAAGATGGTTAAAACCACCAACCAGATAGGGTATGGTTATCACATGGTTATGCCTTCAAGATGTTCGGCATGGGTCCCAAGTGTCATGTGTGCGAGGATCAGATGGTCCACTTTATCTACCGGATTCGCACCATTCCATGGATGGATATCCAGAGCACATGTTATAATCCCAAGTGTAACTTGACCATGGCACATATACTTGTTATATCTCTAATTATAGATATTTACCCATGTTGACATATGTATAAACAGCCAAAAGTGTCATATATATATACAAATATATTAATACATATATATATATATACAAATATATTAATACATATATATATATACATAGATATACATTATTGTGTAAAATGTAAATAAATGAATAACTAAATAAATAAATAGATCAACAAATATATGAATATAAAGAAATATAAATAAATATATGTTGTACGTATACATATATATATAAGAATACAAGCATAGATAGACTCGGTGAGCAAGAATTGCTTTGGTGGCCTGATTGTTTTGTATTTGATACCTCGAACGTTTAAACCGGATATCCAAAGGTTAGCTTTTCTTCTGCACAGTCAAGGTATGCGGCATATTTTATAAATATATATTAAAACAAAAAAAACATATTATACAACCAATAATTAATCCATATGTTCCCACCCTGGGTGGTGGTCATCAATCCGTTTGACAGGGACTTACCCATTATGCTTGGATTCCGATGGAATGATGGAATGGGATGACCATGCCCCGTTCGTCCCACGTAACCCTACCCACGCATGGAATTACCTAGTTTGCAAAAAAAAATGAGTGCATGAATAATATAGCTATATATAATTCATGATAATAATGATATCATATAATCATGATATCATATTTCTACCAAACATCAGGCCATACTCAACTAACATCAACTAACTCTTTCACCTACTGTAGTGTATATTGACCCTATAGGCCACATGATTTTGCTATTCTTCACTCGCAGGATGGCGCCGAAAGCTTGTTGACTTCGGCGGTGCCACTACCTTCCAGGAATGCCAGCTCCAAAATGCAGGCGAGGTGGCGAAAAATGTTCATTTCAGCCACGAGAAAAAGGATTAAAACATATTAAGACAGTAAAGATGGTGTAACTAAATATGTTTTGACCAATCCCAGAATGTTGTTTCAAAAAGACCTGTCCATCTCGGAATTTCCCGCTTGTTGGGAGTTGTTCCCCATGGTTTCCTAGAGATGTTCCGAATCAAACCAAGCGATTCTGAGATTCTGTATGTTGGTAAAGTATTGCAAGCCAAGAGTCATGCCAACAAGAATAGACAATGAACTTGAACCAGGTTGTGTCTAACTTCGTCCGGAAGTTATTTTTGTTTTAGCGGCCCAGATATTCCAAATGCAAACATGGCAGGGCTACAGAGCCAATATTGATGATAAGGGTGGAGAAAATTGGGCAACATCATAAATAGTGGCAGGCGATGGAAAAGCACCCCGAAAAGATAGAGGAACAAATTCCAACCAAGATGGTGGTAAGTTGTAATTCTATCATCGTTGGGGCTAACCGGTAGCACGTATCACGTTGTTTCAGTCGTGTTTTGTTTGTTACAGGAACACCTAGTCATTTCACCAAGTGACATTCATAGGGATCATATGAGCTATGGTCAATACTCATGGTTAATAACCATTAATAGGGGTTAGTCATCCAATGGTTCATAGGGATTTATAATAACCATTATAAGGATCCTTATTGTGGATGGGATGACCATCAACCATATAGTGAGTATTGACCATGGCTCATATGTCATTTTCACAACGGGGAAGATTTCGATCCTAGGTTTGGGGCTTAAAACCACTGACGACTGCTACGGAAGGCTGCTAGGAAGGCTGCTAGGAAGCCAGTCCCAGGATGGCCTTTTCAGATTACCCGGTAAGGTATTTGTGAACAACAAACAGGTCGCGAACTGGAAATTCACCATGTTTAATGAGTAAATCAACTATTTCTATGGGCCATTTTCCATAGCAAACTGACACACTGCATGTTCATCCATTTTCTTCATATTCATCTTCAAGACTATGGTGATGACTGGGGGATGGTTTATAGCATGGTTTTACCGACATTATATCAGCGGGATTTTCAGGACCCTAAAATTGAGGTACTATACCATATGAGGCCATTTTTTGAGGGGATATTCCCTTACATGGGCCTTACATAGGCCTTATATATGGTAGGTACCTCCAGTCTAGATTCCTGAGTCATGGCCATTGATTGTATTGTTCTGTTGTGGTTGTAGTGTCATGTGTAGGAGACGTTCCTTTTTTATGTGTTCCCCATTGTTGATGTTTGAGTCAAAAATCCCCAGTGTGAGTCAGTCTTGCAAACCCCCATCAATGTTGGTAAGTTTCCCGACATCCATCAAGGAATCCTAATACATGTTCATTTTTGTGTGCTAGATTTTTATCATCCTTTATTAAATCATGTTCCCACTTAAAACACAAAAATGGAGGATTGTATCCGGATCTATCACTGTTGATATCGCATGATGTATCCCATTATATCGCACTATCTCTCCCAGTATCTCCCCATATTCCCGCGTTGTTGTTTACACTGTATACATAACATACACGTATATATATATATATACATACATGCATATATATATACATACATGCATATATATATACATACATAATTACATACTATATAATATTATATACATATAAGTACATACTCTATATATATATGTACATATGTACATCCAATTGTATCTCCACTGTATCCCCATCATAGTTTGGCAAAATCACCAGTTTTGTCGATTAAATCTCATTCAACCACATTTTTCTGGATTCCCATTGAAACCCTTATTGTTTTTTGTTAAATGCCATCAAATACCATTCAATCATATCTAATCTCTGTTTCTGGGTACATCCCAGTGCCCTCCTTTTTTATGTCCCATTCGGTGTTGGTTCATCGCCTCGCTTTCATTGGGTCAGGATCGGAGTGCAAAGGCCAACGCTCCGATGATTGTCGCTCAGCCAAAAATGGGGGAAACCAGCCGGCGGCTGTCTCCTCAAATCGGAGTTCACCAGCAACAACAGGGATTTCATCAAACACAAACGGAGAGTTCATTGTACAGTTATGGCCATTTATCAGTTATAACTGGTTATAAGTTGGATTATACACTCTATAAATGGGGTTATAAGTACTTATAACTGGTAAAGGGCCATAACTGTATTCTGATTTTTGACAACATGATGTTTGATTTTCTTAGCTAAGTTGGTGTATGACTGCTACAACCCGGGGTTATGGTAGATTTGCACCTGGCTTTATGTTTACCACGTGGAAAGCTTGAGGGGGACAAGACTTGGCATTGTTGATGATGACAACTCGTCCGACAAGTCCTTCCAGGATGCTATAGATGATGTTTTCCCCTAGTATGGGGATGGGTCAAAACCTATGAAATTACCATATCATTACCATATTATTACCATATTTTGGGGGAGTAGACCAGTAAACATCCATTAACCAGCTATTTTTTCGGGTAGCGTTTGGATGCCCGGGCCTGGTCCGTTGACTGAGGCTTCACTCTCCTTTGGCCCCTTGGTATCCGGCTGGTGGTGGCGAAAAAATCGGCAGATGGAGGTTCCGGTATGGAATACCAATTTTTTATGTGTGGAAAAATAAAAAATACACCAAATTTTATGGTTTATCATGATTTTCCCTATAAAACATGTTCCCTATTTAACAGTTTGCTATAGAAAATGGATGAAAATGGCCCAGTGAAATAGTTGTTAGAAACCTATTAAAGATGGTGATTTTCCAGTTCACTATGTTAGTTTACCAGAGGGTAGTTGTTGTTGAAGACTAGCTGAGTAGTACTCCGTGGCAGGAATATGTTGTAAGTTGATACACTTTACATCGTCCAGTCCAGTGCCGATATCGGCTATAGCTTGGGGTGTATGCTGTAAAGTAGCGGCCATGCCCAATTTTTGCCACGCTCCGATGACCATGTTATTTAATTGATCTGTCAGAGCTGACTGCCCCAAGAATCACAACAATTGGCTACCGGCCAATGGCGGCGAGTTTGTTCTATCTTTCATGGAAAACAACTTGACCAAACACCATGATGTTGGAGGCATCACCATGAAACGCAGCTTGGACCTTTCCGGTTTCCCATAAGTTCAAGCCTCTGGGAAACATCCCATCCCCTTAATACTAAATACCCCTGATATGGGACCCCAGCACGAAAAGATCTAAACTAAACCGGTGGGTCTAGATGGATCTAGAGGGGGGAAAATATTGGGGTAATGGGATTAATTGGGTTATATTATAGTTATATTGGGTTATTTACCCAATCAAAGGCCCGGGTAGAAGATGTTTGTAATACTATCAGTCTCATCATGTGTCAACCTACCTACCTGGTTTGGGGGTGATAGAAACAAGTTTGCTCATTAAGCTAACTCGTTTTGTTGGGGATGATGTAAACTATAATATTATATATATATATATATATGGAGATATATATATATATGGATATATATGGTGCTTCCGATAGGAATTCCCTTCTGAAAAAGCAACGTATAACTTGGGATAGGTTTTTTTTACGGAACGACTTTTCACTGGGACATCATATGGAGCCCTCAGATGGATTAGATCGTCATAGAAGCAGATTTATTACAGTTATGGCCCTTTACCAGTTATAAGTACTTATAACCCCATTTATCGAAGGAAGTTTAGAAGTGAAACTTCCGACAATATGGACAGTTGAAAAGCAGAGGTGAGAAGAGTCAGAAGAGAAAAGATCAGAAGAAAGAAGAGGTAGATGCGCGAAAAGATAGGAAAGTCGCGATTCACTGTGTTTTTCCAATGATTTGTGGCTCCGGAGGGTCGAAAAGTAGGCTCGCTAAAGCGGCGGGTGCGGAGCCAGCTGGCCAGATGAGACATGAAAAAGTGCACGCCGTTGTGGCGCGAAGCACATTTCCAAGTCAAAATGGACAAAACACTAGAGGAGCGGACCACTTTTGGAAGTTGAGATGTCGAAAAAGTGCACGCCGTTGTGGCGCGAAGCACATTTGAAGTCAAAATGTACAAAACACCGCAACCTCGGACCACTTTTGGAAGTTGAGATGTCGAAAAAGTGCACGCCGTTGTGGCGCGAAGCACATTTGGAAGTCAAAATGTACAAAACACACCAATGTCGGACCACTTTTGGAAGTTGAGATGTCGAAAAAGTGCACGCCGTTGTGGCGCGAAGCACATTTCCAAGTCAAAATGCACAAAACACCAGGGGTTCGGACCACTTTTGGAAGTTGAGATGTCGAAAAAGTGCACGCCGTTGTGGCGCGAAGCACATTTCGAAGTCAAAATGTACAAAACACCAGGGGTTCGGACCACTTTTGGAAGTTCAGATGTCGAAAAAGTGCACGCCGTTGTGGCGCGAAGCACATTTCCAAGTCAAAATGCACAAAACACAAGGGGTTCGGACCACTTTTGGAGGTTCAGATGTCGACGAAGTGTCGAAAAAGTGCACGCCGTTGTGGCGCGAAGCACATTTCGAAGTCAAAAGTGTAAAAAACTGAGGGTTTTGAGCCTTTTTTTGACGTGAAGATGTCGAAAAAGTAGACACTGATTAACTTAACTAACTTGACTAACTTAACTAACTTCACTAACTTAACTACCCTAACTTCGACGACAACAGCAACAGCAGCAACAACAACAACAACACCAACCACAACAACTACAACTACAACAACTACAACTAGAACTACAACTACAACAACTACAACAACAACAGCAGCAACAACAACAACAGCAACAACAACAACTACTACTACTACAACTACCACAACTACAACAACAACAACTACTACAACTACAACTACTACTACTACTGCTGCTACTACTACTACTACAACTACACTACACAACAACTACAACCACACAACAACTACAGCTACAACTACAACAACAACAACAGCAACAACAACAACTACAACTACTACAACTACAGCTACAACTACAAAACAACTACAGCTACAACTATATGACTGCAACTACACTAATTACATTACACCACAACTACAACTCCACTACGCTACAACTACCACTACAGTTGCAGTACATCACACTACATCCAGCAGTTGTGGGTGAGGTGACCACTGCAACCATTGCAACCACTCCAGCAAACACAACTCCAACCACTTTTCGGTCAATCAGTGGATTCGCTCTGCCATCCGTGATTCACAACAACCAACCTCTCCTATAGGTTTCTTATTTTTGAAACTTCCGCCACCGCCTTGCGCGGTACTACTGGTAGAATGTATAATCCCACTTATAACCAGTTATAACTGATAAATGGCCATAACTGTAGATGGATGGGAAACGAACATTTGTCTATCTTCTTGGTGAATTGCCAAATTTATTTTTTTAAAAAAATGCCACTCAAGTTTAGCAAAGCCAACTTAGCAGAGGAGCAATGCCTCAGGCTCGATCGGATGTTTATCACCATCCGTGGTGCCCTAGTGCCGGTTAGAACAGTTGGTTGAATAACTGGGCGAATTGTTTGGTTTATGGTGATGAGGAATAGATGTACGTGTAGTTTTGTAAGTTTGTGTAAATCACATAACAGTTGACAAAACTGCTGGGTTTGTTGCAGTTCATGGTATATAAATGTATACAATATAGTTATTTTGGGATGGATCAAAACCTATTATTAGATATTATTAGCATATATGGGGGAACGATCATCCATGAATTGACTATTTTAGGGTACCGTTTGGAACCGTTTGGATGCCAGGGTTTTGATTCATAGGCATATTATATATATATTATATATATTATATATATATAATATATATATATATATGTATTACAATAATTAGTATTCCATAGTTAACATCGGTTAACTGGGTTTCAAAACCAAACAAAAAAAAACAACAGGGGCGCCACGTGCCCCAGGGGTGCCCGGTGCCCTAGGTGTTACATTGCTCGGCATCCTGGGCATTGGGCTTTGGAATCGCGGCTCCTTCCGACGAATCGAAGACAACGATGTGGAGCCGAGTCGCGTTGAATTTCGGTCGTGGTGGTGGCACGAAGGGAGAGCAAAATGGTTATGATACCCTCTGGTAATTTAACATAGCTATTGAAAATCACCATTTATAGTGGATTTACCCATAAAAAATGGTGATTTTCCATAGTTATGCTAGTTTACCAGAGGGTAGCTAAGTTGACGCACATAGCTTGGTCAACTGTGTTTGTAAATAGTGATACAACTATATTATACTATATTTAATATACAGTGATACAACTATATACTGTACAACTTAACCCAAGATGGGTTTATGGGTGGCACAACTATATACAGTCAACATAGTCAACAGTGTTTATAAACCAACTCATAGCTGAGGGAAGATAAAAAGGCTGAACAATTGAAGAATGGCTAATCTAATGGGGAAATGAATGGTACAACAAGCATGGTGATTTAATGGGATGTGATGGGGCTGCCAATCCCATCCCCTGAATACGAAATACACCCGTTGTCGTTGTCGTTGTGGTTGCTGTTTCTGTTGTTGTTGTGGTTGTTGTTGTTGTTGTTGTTGTTGTTTTGGCCGTTTTGGCCGTTTTGGCCGTTTTGGCCGTTTTGGTTGTTTTGGTTGTTTTGGTTGACCGTAACTGTGGGGCACCACTTTGTATCAACTGCATGCAGTCCCTTCATTGTTGGTTAAATCGCCATGGTTCCACAATTGATTCCCATGGTAAGTCGCCGTATTCTTAAAACCAGATGCTTAGTTTTATACCACATGTCACATGTGTGTTGAATAAGTCCCATTAAATCACCATAAATCTGTTGGTTAGATCAGTTAACAAGTCCATATAAATATAAATTAATCATATTAAATCATAATTTCTTCAAAAAAATGTTCCTCAACCTGCAGGCAAATCCCGCAGAAAATCACCAGATTTGCCCAAGAATCTCTTTTGCAGGAGAGTTTCTACAAGTTCAAGTTTGGACAGGTCCAAGACATGTTGCACTGGAAGAGTGGCGTCCCTCGGTGACTGCTTGTATTTACATGTTTGGAGGTTTCCTGAAACATGGTGGTACTGTACCCCAAAATAGATGCTGTACAATGGAACATCCTATTAAAATATGCAAAATAGATGATTTGGGGGTACCCGCATGTTAGGAAAATATTCATATTGTGTATAGATAATAGATGTCCAAACTATGCGTGTAAATGTAAATTGTTTCTCCAAAGCATTCACATCGACCCTGAAAATAACATGTTTTTAGTGAAAACAAATCTTCCAATGTCCAAGTCATGGCAAGATCTATGTTAAATGACTGGAGTGATCTGGAGTGTACATGCTTTGGGCAGGTAGGTAATGTATTTGTTGTACTATGTGCATCTATGTGCACTATCAATTTGCTGGACTTTTACATCCTCTAGTTTTGGGTGATTAACCAAGGACGACCACACATCAGTTGGGTTTAGTGTTTATTGTTTGGCAGGTTGGTGTGCATCACACTTTGTAAGTTGAGTGGTTCATATCCCATGTATATTACGTATGTATGTCATGTAGTGCAGTGTAATGTAGGGTGTTTCTCATGGAACATGATAACGCATTGTTTCTAAACATGTTTCGTAAATGATGTTCAGAGTGTGCTGTCCGCTGCATTTGAATGAAATTCATGTACCTTTGCATTTCTTTTGGCTGAGCTTCGAGTGAAGCATAAGGGCAAGTGCCCTATGTCATGACATGTTCTTCATGTGTCAAGTGTTCATATGACATATCAAGATAGACATAACATGCCGTGAGTCAAAGATGTCATTTCAACTTCAACTTCTCATTTCTCATCCCACCCCCTCACGGGGTCCTAATATGGCCGATGCCATCGAACCGACTTTGAGCCAATTGTTGGAAGCGATTTGTTTCATCGACCGTCAGATTCAATTTGTTCAAGTGACACTTGAAACTCTGACAGAGATGGACGATGCGCTCGAAGATCAACAGCTCGTGGCCGAGACCGTGCGCCACTTACAGCATTTGCGATACAGTTATGGCCATTTATCAGTTATAACTGGTTATAAGTGGGATTATACATTCTATAAATGGGGTTTTGTTAGTACTTATAACTGGTATTTCGGGCCATAACTGTACCAATTGCAAGTTGCCAAACACTTGGCGTTCGTGCAGTTCCTTCGAGCCCTGCATCTCCACAGACGTCACTGGCATCGTTCTCCAGGGCTTGATTTGTGATGTCTCCGGTGACCTTTTTCCACTTTAAAGGGCCTAGCCCCGCCGCTGTAAGAGTGCGGCTGTGACAGACCATTGTAGTGTAGTGTAGTGTAATGTAGCGTTATGTTATTTTATGTTATGTATGTATATGTATATAATATATATATAATATATGTATATAATATATGTATATAATATATGTATATAATATATGTATGCCTATAATCCATATTAATCCATATATAAGTGGGACATGCCATTTATAACTGGAACGGTCATTCTTCTTACTAAGTGGGACTGAATGGGGTCTCAAAGTTCGGCCAGGCACATCAGAATGACCTCCATGTGATGTCACTGGAACGATGGTTATGATTCGGGGAATCATCCACATAGCTGGCCTTACTTCAGCTGTTTTCAGTTTAGTGCATCCAGAAAATCCATAACACAACCACCCACGGAGAACCAACGGCGAGACTTCCCCACAACAGCGGCAAAGTACTGACTTTTCTGTAAGCATTACAAATTATAAATCCTGTAACCGGTGATTGGTAGGGATGCGCTTTATCCATCTTCATCCCATCCGCGTCCTTATCGCGATGCCGATGTAGACTCGAGATCTGATTCTGCCTGGGAAGATGGACTTGAACACCTCATATTCTACTAATTTTGATATATTATATATATATGTATATATATATAGATATATACCATGTATAAATCTAACAGCCAGCATATCCCAAGATTTCCATTTTCAAGTACAGTGCCAGTTCCTCATTCGATTTGTCGGGTTCCCCACATTGACCCCAGCAATGATAGCGATGTTTCGCCCTACCAATGCTGTGGGCCACGTTGGAAAAAAAAGCACCGCACTTTCACTTCCTAAGCGCCAACAGCAACAAACACTAAGAAACTACAGTTATGGCCATTTATCAGTTATAACTGGTTATTTCAGTGGGATTATACATTCTATAAATGGGGTTTTGTTAGTACTTATAACTGGTAAAGGGCCATAACTGTATAAGGGATCTTCAGGGTTTCGCAAAGCCATCGATTGTTTCTATTGGGGCAATTGGGGTTACCGGGGTTACCCTTCCTTCGACCATCCTCCTGAGGTCATGCATCTCTGTAAGTTTAGTGAGGAGACAGACCCCCTTGAGGCCGGGAGAGGGGCGAGCTGGCGAGCCCGAGCTGTGCGATGTTTTTTGGTGATGAATGGGTGATAAAATGGCTGATATGAGGATGATTTCAAGGATTATAGGCAGATTTCAAGGATTCTAGCGATGTTGCTAGGAACAAACGGTGATTTCATGGGTGAATGGAATATAGGATTGGGGTACAATGAGGACATGTGAGCAACTAGAGATGATATGATATGATATGATATGATATGATATTAAAATAGATGGTTACCTATTAATGGCATGGTGATTTTCCATGGCGAACTGTTAAATAACCAGATGGTAGTTTTTTTGTTGGGGGGAGTTCATTGGATTTATATTCTGGTGGGTGGTTTTAACATGTTTGAACCCCTCTGAAACATATGAGTTCGTCAATGGGAAGGATCATCCCATATATGAAATGGAAAAATAAAATTCATGTTCCAAACCACCAAACAGTATATTATGGGGTTAATGTCTGGAATCATCACACTGTGAATAGACAACATCCTGCACCAGTTGGTGACTCCTGGTGACTATAAAAACACTATTAACATTAGTAATGGGATTATCGTGTGACAACTGGTGCAGGATTTCTTTCACGATCCACAATAGGATGGAACATCAAATATCATATCATTCCTATACTGACCAACATGGACACAATAAAGAATAGATCAAGTACTAAAACTAGAACTTATGTTCCTTTTTCCCGGATGCGTGTTTATAGGAAGAAGGATGAACGGCATTTTTTAAATCACCAACCAGATAAATGGTGAGCCCACTATATAGCTGCATATATATATATATGCATATAGATATACACGTGTGCATTCATTCATATACATATGCATCATATATGTACTAGTAGACATATAATATAATGTGTATATATATATATATACACATGTTGATATATGTTGATATGTTGCTGTTTTCCGATGTTCATAGAACAGCTCATTCCCAGCCATTGTTTTTTGAGCACTGACATGAACTGACCGGTTGCCCCACACCTCCAGTCCGCTGGAACGGAGGTCAAAGAGAATGGGCATGTGATTGTCAAGTCCTCCGCGGGGTCATAGGCAGGTCGTATCATGTCATCCTCTTTCCCAATTTATATGGGACATATGTGGGAAAATATTGGACATACTCATGAAACTACCTAAGATATGTACACATAATATAGATATAGATATTATCAGGGATCCCTATGTTGCAAAAAAAACTTTTTCGTAATCGTGATATATATATATATACATACTGGTTGGTGGTTTTACCCATCTTGAAAAATATTAGTCAGCTGGGATGATTATTCCCCATATATGATGGAAACATAAAATTCATGTTCCAAACCACCAACCAGTATATATATATAGATATGAAAGTTAATCCCTTTGCCACAACCCCAATATCAGGGATCTCTGTGTAACACAACATCGAATATATTCAAATAGAATCATGTCCGATAGGTTGATTAATCCCTTAGCCCTGATATTAAACACCACCCGGAAATCATGGGGAATTGTAGGGGATTTGCACATATGTGGGACCGTTTGAGGGATGTTTAATATTACTCCCGAGCTACTGATTTTATCTGCTTGGTGGTTTGAACAGTTTGAACATTGCCCAACATCCACATTCAGAAAGTCAGGGCTTAACCAGAAACAAATCAATATAGTAATATATATATATTATATATATATGGATAATTTAATTATATGGATAATTTAATTAAATGGATAATTATATATATATATGGATAATTATATGATATATGACATAACCATATAACCAATGATTAACTTGGCTGTTCATTCCAAACTTAGAGACTAACCGTAGTGAACACCCTGCACCGCTGCACCCATCACCTTTCATCAAATCTCAGGCTGGGTCCTAACCAGGCCCAGGGCTGCAAGCAGAATTTCCTCAGTGCCGCGGTCACGGGCTGTTGCTCCTTGTTATGGGCGACCAGGTCGATCATCAACCCATCAACCTTGGACAACGCCATATTATGCCATATTCATAATACCATATAGTTAAAATCATATATATATAGATCCCATTTGCTTGATTGAACTCCATCTATTTAAGTTGGTTGACACCCCGTTGTCCATAGGAACATATAGGAACCATCCTATATTCGTTTTGTTGAACCGCCCAGTGGCAAACTCGCGAAAAGGAAACCGCTCACCAACAACGTCAGCACGAAGAGGAGTAACGACTCGCTGAGGAGGAAGACAACGACCATGGTCTGGGTCGGTCCCCCGTGAAAAGGTAACTCTACCCGTTTCATGCTTGGGGTTATCATGGTTATCTCTACAGAAGGGCTTATGACGCATGTATCTTAATGTATTTTTGGGGTGTCACCGTGTCACCATGAATTTTTGGGCAGGCAAGTCGGCAATTCAACACAACCGGAAAACTTTACTCCCTGGTCTGAGGTCATCCAAAGCCATTGCATGATTGAAATGGTGAGATAACGGCCGGAGGCAAAATGGTCTTGTGACTCATGGTTTATGTACAAGATATGGGGGCAGATATGCGTCAAACATAGGGGGACAGTCACCAACACTTTCGATTTTTCGCGAACTTTCACCTTAAAAAACGTGTCAACAAATCCAACATGTGCACATGATGGACGTGATCATTCTGGCGAGATAGAATGGGACCATCTTGGACCACTCAGTTGGAGGTGTTTCTTGTTGAAACTGTCCGCAATCTTCTCCAACAAATCTGGTGCAGCCAACCAGGTAAACCAGGTAACTGTCAACTTCTTCTGGTTGTCTTCGCCATTCAAGCCCTTTCAAAATGAGATCCGGAAAAACTGCAGGAAAAAACAGATCAATTTTGGGTAACAATTTGGGGTAACAACATGCAAGCATGGTTTCCTGTAGATGCTTTAAACCAATCCATTGAAACTGTTGAATTGGTAGGTGTTCCATTTTAATCCAACATGATCCCCATATTATCCACCTGAATAGATCACAGATCATTCATAAAAGGTCCATCCTGGCACGCTGAATGAAAAGAAATATTGTTGTTCCATGCTTATAAGGACTTACTAACTAAGCATGACCATGGGTGTGTATATATATATTATATTAGGTTGTATTCTCTTCCATCATCTATGAGACAGATGTTGAACTTATCCTTGTAAATTGGTACACAAAAACATAGGACTTTCCATGACCGAGCTATCAATGGTCGCCAGGACACAGAAATGCCAATCGCCTCGGAAGCAGATTGGGAGAGGAACCAACAAACAATCTTCAGATTAAAGATATGATGTACCCTCTGGTAATTTAACATAGCTATTGAAAATGGTGATTTATAGTGGGTTTTCCCATTGAAAATGGTGATTTTCCATAGCTATGTTAAATTACCAGAGGGTAAGTGAATATACTTAGGGAAAAATGCAGGGGATACCACCAACGATAAAAAATGGATAACCAAGCCAATTTGAGACTCGTTTGACATGTAGATTTTTATTTTTCGCTCCAAAAGTACACATGTCCCATTTCTGGTTACTTCATGTTAATCCCAGTTAACTACTGGTAGATATATCTATAGTTAATGGGATTATAACTATTAGAGTTCTGGTTACTTCATCATGCCTTCGTCTACAACCCAGTTAATCCTAGGTCCTAGCTGACGACTGAATCAACTGAACTGACTGGGCTCCAGCATCAACTCATAACCTGCTCGCTCTGCTGGAAATTCACACGGTTGGTGGTGCCCCCGGTCGATAGCTAATTTATAACTCTAATTTCACTAGGACTTATGGTAGCTGGTAGATATATCGAACTAGTGAATGGGATTATAAACCAACAAACATAACTTGGGGAAGGTTGACTTCTGCTTCGGTAAACCATGGCTCGTAACACCACCTTGCAGAGATATGTCTGGGACAACTCCAGTTGTGCCTAACATCACGCTGAACCACTGATTCCCAAGTGCGACGCACGTCCGGGGAGATGGTTAGGGGTCAACAAGATCTGTGCTTTCCATGGCTTTAGAATCTACTCTGACCCGTGTCCACACAGCCGTCCACACTACTTTCTAAGAGGGCACGAACACTGATGAACACGGGATGGCATATAATATGTCACGATGCCAAGAAAAAAGTGAGTTCCTGACCATATACCTTGACATTGATCTGTAGAAGAAAACCAGGGATATGTTTGGTTTTCAAGTATAAAACACAACCACAGGTGGAAACAACCCATTCACCATTGGCTTTCTGCAGACCTCTCCGACTTTTTAACTGGTGAAGCCCAACGGTTCTTCGGTGAAAAAAACATCCAGAAATCCCGAAAAGTTCTGCAATGTTTCGCTGATTCAATCACAATTGATGTTGTTTTTCACATGAAATTATGCAATTGTCCAGTTTTTTTAACACCGATGATCACTAGATATCACTAGATATTTCCTCTTGAAACCATGTGAACTTACACTTGAAAAAAGGTATGAATATCACTGGTATTTAAATAGTTCAAGAGGAACAGTGATATTCAATGGGATGTACTGGGATATATAACCAACTAATGGGTAGTTCGAAAATTATGAATGCCCAACATATGAATTGCATTGGCCCATTGCATATTGCAGTTGGCATTTTTCAAGGTTGGTCTGCCGGGACACCAGTAGCAACACCACAAAGGTCTGCAGCAGCCATCGACGTGCTCCCACGCCTAATCTTAGGTTTGACTTTGTTGAGGGGGGTAGAATGATGCTTATAGTAAGGGTATGTAAGGGTGCTCAGTAAGGGCTAATATATATAAATGTTAACAAACTATCATAAATCATTCTACCCGATTCTACCCAGTGAAATGGGATATTAATGGTGGTTCACCTGCACCATCGGGTTGAAAAGTGGCCTGCTGGTAGAGATACCCTCTGGTAAACGTTTATATAACGAACTGGAAAATCACCATGCTATCAATGGCTAAATCCACTATGAATGGGCCATGTTCAATAGAAATAGTTGATTTACCCATCAA